TCTCTCTCGTTTCTTCATCAAGCCTACTAGGTGTGTATATTCTTGTATCGTACTCTGTTCTCCGAATTGTTTATTATACTATTTGAAATAAGATGAGATGAGTGGACGATACTTTATTTGACTTTCGTTTCCTTTTCTTTCCTTCTTTCTTTCTTTCTTTTCTTTTCTTTCTTTACTTTCCTCTACTTTGCTCTTCTGCTTACCTACCTACCTACCCACCTACCTTCCCACCAACCAACCCTCCAATCCAATCTAATCCAAACTCCAAGCTCAACCATTCATCCCTCTCTTTATCCCCAAACCACCAGTGAACCCCAAACCCCAAACCCAACCATACAATCAATCTCCTCCCCTCCCCTCCCCTACCACACCACAAACCACAGAACAAGCCAAGACCAAGCAAAGAGCAAATACAAATGCTTAAATCTGGAACAATCTAGGATCATATCACACACTCACACACATACACACACTTGTTCTCCGTCCCAGACTCCCAGTCCTACTGTAGATGCGTATCTATATATCTATATCTATATATATCTATATGCACAGCACAGCACTACAGTGCATCGAACTACTCAATTTATAATACTTACTTATACTATGAGACTATACTACAAAACTACTAAACCCCAACGCGATAAATACTGACTTGACTAGGTCCACGGGTATCTATATATCGTAGATTGTAAATTGTAAATCGTAACAGTGAGTATTCATCCCCATGGCCCTGAAATGAATAAATAAATAAATAAATAAATGATTGGTCACCTGCACCACACACACCCAAAATAAGAAATTTCAGCGCATCCCCGGGCACACCTATGAATGAACAATTACAATTACAATTACAATTACAATTACAATTACAATTACAATTACAATTACAATTACCCGCCCTCAGCGCCACAGCGTTAAGGTTAAACTAATCATGCGAAATGCAACATGCGAATGCATCCAACCCGTCTTCCCTTGTATACCAATGAAAAGCGAGTAATACCTGTATAAGTACAAATACCATTCAAAAGGAGATATGTACATACATACAGATAAATACTCCATACATACTCCATTAGTAATATAACTAAGTAATGTAAATAAGCAGCCTCTTGAACCCTTCTCTTCATCAAACTCCATACAGATTCTCGATTCCCGGTATCCCAGTATCGATATCCATGTACTCCATGTACTCCTTGAATTCCGCACTATATCATACATATCATACATATCATACATATCATACATATCATACATATGGATCATACACAAGACGTTTCAACTTTTCTATCTTTATTCATCATATATCGGTATGGATCTTGCGTATTGTATTGTATTGTATTGTATTTTATTTTATTGTGTTGTATGGTGGTATGGTATGGTATGGTATGGTATGGTATCGAATCGAATTACTTACTGATGAACGAACTGATGAACGAAGTGATGGGGTGAAGAGATACTCTCTCTCTCTTTTGAACTTCCAATTGATATTTCGGTTTTGTGAAATTTATATTTAACGGTAATAACCTCATATAGCATCATTCCATGTATTGATACCTCAAATGTCAGGAATATAACCAAAATAATCTCAATTAGCATTTTTGATATTTCAGTTTCGATTTTTTTTTAATAATATTGCTATTCTAGTTTCGATTTGATTTAAATAAAAAATTGATATTCTGATCTCAAAAATATATAATATTCTGATTTTAAAAATCATATATTATTTTAATCTCAAAAACTATATATCATTTTGATCCCAAAAGTCATATTCTAATTGTAATATAATATAAAATATATTAAATAATTATAAACTTAAAATCTCTTTTTTAATTTTTTAAATCTATAAATATTTTTTTTTTCCCTTTTTCTTTTTATATTTTTTTTTATATTTTTTATATTTTTTTTATATTGAAATTAAAGAGAAAGAAGAATATTTAAAAGATATATTAATAAAAATAAGAAATATAAAATAAAACAAAGTTTATTTAAGAAATAGAAATTTTGAGATTTAATTTGAGATTAGAATCTGATTTTTTTAATTTGATTAATTATATTTAAATAGAAAATCCAAATTTTATATTATATTTAAACTAATATTATTTTTGAATCTGAAATCAGAATATTAATATCTTTATGAATTTGAATCAAATTAATATTTTTCAAATTGAGATTAGAATAATAATATTTTGAAAATCAAAACAATCTGAAATAGTATATACTAGACTCCAACTAGCACTTTTGATATTTGAGATATCAATATATGAAATAATGCTATATAAGATTATTACCATATATTTAATTATAGATAACATACTTTAAGTATATATATATATATGTATGTATATACTATACGATTTTTACGGTTCTTGATATACCTAGTATGCTACAGGTAGGGAGGGAGGGAGGTATCTAATACGATGAAATGAAATAGAGGAAAAGGATCCTGATAATCATATTATATTATAATCCTCTACTCTACTCTACCTATTTTCTGTAATATAGTATAGTATAATTAGTACACCTAGGTAGCTAACATAGTTAGCAGGTATAAGTAAACTATCCATAATACCTATCCTATACCTACCTACTAAACACAAATCCTCGCACTCGTACTCGCACTCGCACTCCCATCTATCCCCCCATCCACCACGCACACCCACACTCATCTCCTTTCCTTTCTTTTTCCAAAAAAGGAGGGGGGGGGATATCCATATCCGTTTGATATACGGGGTACGGAATAGCGTATACCATACCAACTGTATTTATTTATACTTTCTTTTGTTGATTGATTGATTGATTGATTGATTGAGACGGGTAGATATAGATAGTGAGATATGTATGATACGATATGTGCGATGCTACCCACCCGAGCCACCATTCTAACGGTCTGGTTCTGATTCGTGCGTATTGGTGATTACTAGGTAGGCAGGCTCGTAGGGTAGGTAGGTAATAAGATGATGGATTGAATTCAATGTATGCTTGGAAAGCGTAACCGACGAGCCTACCCTACCTGCACCCTGCGCACCCTTAATTTTATATCTCTTCAGCGAAGAAGGGAAATCTTTCTTGAGAGCGGGCGTGGGCTTATTAGATAGGGACCTTGATATGTGATATGTGATATTTGATATTTGAAATTTGATATTTGAAATTTAAATTGAAATACTGGTAGAAAACTCCAGAATTTTTACTGGCTCGACTGGTAGAGACGTGTATATCTATGCAGGTAAGAGATGAACTATATACGTATCGACTAGCTCAAGACTACTATCTCAAGATTACATACTTCATATATAATGGGAAGCGAAAATGCACTACACCGCAGAGAAGGGAAGAGAGAATGAATAAATACGTGGAGAATATGATATAATTGGGAGATAGATATGGTAGATAGATACTAGGTAGATACTAGATCTGATTGTGCGTGTCTAGGTGATAATAAAGGAATTTTATGTACCTCGCGAGTTGAGAGTTGAGAGTTGAGAATCGAGAGTTAAAGAGTTTGTTTTATATATGATAATCCAAACATCCAAGTCTACTATTACTAGTCCAGTACGTTGTAATATAATACTAGTACCACCCACATATCCCCCTTTTTGAATATATACACCTCCACAGACTAGTATGATTTTGATATACTCATCCCTTCTAATTCCAGATCTCTATTCCTCATCCATCACTAACGAAATATGCTAGGTGATTCTGAATTGATGGATGGATGGATGGAAGACTGTGTTGTGCTGTGCTGTGTTATGTTTAGGGTCTGAACTTGATGTTGAGTTATGTTTATGCAATGAAATATAATGTGTAATGCTATATACAATGCCATACTATACGATAGCTATAAAATATAAGATAGATCGATACAAAATAGGATAGGATAGTATGATATCGATTCTATCCGTGCGTATAGGCGCATTGGATATAGATATGGATTGGGGGGGTGGGGTTCCTTTCTGTTTCCTTGGATTCTAGATTCTAGATTCTAGATTCTGGGGTTTCTTTTGTTTTTTTGGGGAGGGGGAGAGAGGGAGAGAGGAGATATCATTCGTAGATATTGCTTTCTAGGAATCATAATCATGATAAATACCTAGTAGGTATATAGATGAGTAGTTAGTAAATAGGAGGAGATATGCTCACCCACCTACTTAACTCATACTCCATATTCTGATATCTAGTATTTAGTATTTAATATTTACTTTTTTTACTTTTCAATTCTTCGTCTTTAGTTTTGGTTTTGCATGCCTATAGTATAACATAGTATAGCATAGCATTTTAATATTATGTTACAACAGGATAGGATAGTATAGTATGCATAGTGTACGAAGTAGCATGAATATGTTTAGTATCTACCCCGCCATTTCACCTACCTACTAGGTATATATTATTACTCAAGTATGCGTTACCCAGTACGCATTACTCATTACTCGTTCGTTTTCATTCCGTTTCGTTTCGGTTTCGTTTCTTCAAAGGGTTCAAAGAGTTCAGAGGACTGGGAGGAGAGGAAAGGAAGGAGAGGAGAGGAGAGGAGGAGCGCAAGGAAAGGGGTATCCATTAACTGAAAACTAAACAGCATGTCGAGATACGAATGGGTATGAATGGGGGTATGCTTGCTATACGCATAATCGTATATATAACTTTACGCAGACTATACGAACACCATTCCATCCCAACTCATCCCAACATACACACCCTCTAGCTATAGATACACTTGGGTATACTACAATACAATACCACATGCGAATAATCTTAGATACCTACCTACCCAAGTAAGTTTAGAACAAGCTCAAGCTCAAGCTCAAGTTCAAGCCCAAGTCCAAGTCCAAACCCTCCGATCACGATGATAAAAAAGCGAGGGAAAAAAGGAGTCACCAGTAAGTATAAACGAGCAGCTATAACAACTACAGAATGAAGACTCATCAACCACACGATATGCGAGGTTATCCTCACTGGATGAAATTCTCACAATGCTATTTAGGTATACATACATAAATACAAAATAACAACACGTAAATGTATTCTCAAGTACTTCATGAATATTGTATTATAATTTCTATCTCCTGTCTCCAGTCTCCGCACCTTCAACACCCTAGACCAATCACCTGTTATCCCCGCCACGTCATACAAAACACATTGTGAATGTCTTCAAAAACATTCAAATCGAATCCTAGTATACTCTATTCTTCCCCCAAATTTCGAGACACGTGTCGATATTGAGATCGAATGTGATGTTTGCGACATGGAAATCTCGCGATATGGAGATCTATCCAGCAAGTGGCCAATAAATTGCTCAATATCCAGTTGCCTGAATGGTCAAGTGGAGTTTGGAGAGAAATTCGAACAATGCTAGGGTGGCTGTAATGGATATGCTATGCCATGCAATGTAGTCAGATCAAGCTTGTCCAAACAGCTGATGATAGGTCTTCTCGTCTCCATAGCGTTTAATTTTGGCTACGATTCTTTCCTCTGTATATCGGGCATGACTACCTCGAAGATTGCTTGGATAATTGCCGGGATGAAATTCAACATTTTTCTGTTTCCACGCTGCCAACAAGGAGAGGACTTTTGTCGCTCTAGTTCGAATTCAGAGAGGCTTCATATTTCGGACTGTGTGTAACATCCACTCCCCTCTTCCCTTTGCTTCATCAAATAGGATCTTTCCAATGCATGCGGCTGAAACGCTTCGAAATCTCATCCATTCCGCATCCCATCTCAGAAATTTGATTCACTTATCCAAACCTCGAGCTTTAATAAATCGATTTATTTGTTCCCTTGTAAGCTTTTCATTGTAGTGCTCTTGAGCTTCATAAAATGATATCATTTCTTGCGTGCAATCAACAATCGCTTCGACATCAATAGTACTTTCAGCGAGCCAACTTGCTAATTTTTGAACTTTAGTTCTTCCTCCTTGTCTCTCAGGAGTTCCGCCTTTCGCTTGACCAGCAGTCGTTAATGCAGCTTGTGCGGCACTTGCAATATTGCTAGCCGAGGAACCACTAGCAGATTGGATTCCAGTCGCATTTGGGCGAAGTACAAGCGCTAGAAGAATAGCCATAATAGCAATGGTATGTGGCGCGTAAAATAGAGGTAAATCCGTCATGTAATGATCATTTACAATAGACCAAGCAAGATTGGATTCTTCTGCTGTGAGGGAGAAAGTCCCTTGAAGAGCAGTCAAACTCCTATAAGGATGATGGACAATCATTTGTGAACTCATTTCGGAGATCAAAAAGAATTCACATTCCCCAAGCCTCGAAGTATCATTACTGAAATATTCTATTATTGTCGTTAGCGAGTTCGGTGCTTGTAATGTCCACGATTGAAGGTACTAGGAAACATACCAGGCCATAAACCTCTACCTTCACTAACCACGAGCCTGATGTGATGTGGACATTCTTCCATTTTACATGCCAAATATACTGCTGTTGCGAGAACTAAATATGGGTTCGTTTTCCGAATTTCGACCTTTGAGTAAAATCGACGAATGTACAATTGTGCCGTAGCCATTGCTTGCTGTCGCACACCGAGACGTTTTCCAAGTCGAGTCATTTCTGCATTGAAACATCAATCATTTATCCCTCCAAACAATCTGCAACGGTCCATACGTTGATTAAAATATATACTCAAGTGTCTGAGTTGTGGCAGAGGATATGCTTGTACCAGAGCTTGATCTTCATCTTCAAGTTTGGATCGTAAATCCTCCAATTGTTCTCGTGTAAATTGCCAGTGTTTTCGTTGACTCGACTATTGAAAGATTAGCTTCTATCCTAAGGATGATTCTTCAACAAATGTAACTTACTTCCCAGTAATTGGCAGCCATCGCAGATAGCTTGAAGGCAAGACGGTTTCTCTGCTGATACTTCGAACTTGATATCTCCAAAAGAGTCAAAGAAGAGGCACTAACCTATCCCAAAGCTCACTTAAATCTACAGAAATCACGATTTGTTCACTTTCTTTAAAGATAATTCTTCACGAATATATCTTGATCGACGTAGAATGGAAAACCGCTCGTTCACTGAACTTTCGGATATGAATGAGGATGAGAATACAACTCTCACGAGGCCGAGACTTACGATAGCTCCAAGGCTGACAAGGCTGACAAGGCTGACTGTCAATGATTAAGGATCTACATCGGGAACCCTGCCCCCACTACGGTAGTGTAATACAACCAATCAAGCATTTCTCATTGGTCAAGCTTAATCTTTTGACGGAATCTTGGAAGTTTGCGCTCTGAATTATTATTGAAACTTCACTCCTATGCTGCATCACTTCGCATTAAAACTTTGATATGGTATGAAAGTCGAAGAAGAATATGCTCGCTCGTTCGCATCGATGATAACCCCATATCTTCGAATTTGGATCAGTTCATTGATCAATTACTATACGATATGATTGCGAAATCATAACCCCACGGCCGCAACTTAACAAAGATATCATGAAGCTATCAAAAGTAGCCGCAGTAGCAGAAACCCAAAATGCTCGCGACGAGAGGGTTGAGCAGTTATGGAGAAAACTAGATACAAATCAGAAAGGGGAGATTAATTTGCAAGAGCTTCAAAAGGGGCTGCGGAAGATCGATCACCCATTGAAGAATGCCGGTGATATGCTAAGAGATGCAGTAAAGGCTATGGATAAAAATGGGGATGAAGTTATTCAATATGATGGTATGGACTTCCAAGAAAATCTAAAAGCAACATCACTCCGTCGGCTTGCAGCTTCATACATCCTTACTAATAATTCTTTCAACCTCCAGAATTTCGAACTTTCGTCGAGAAAACTGAAAAAGAGTTATTCGTCCTCTTCCAAGGCATTGATAGGGATCATGATAATAGATTGGATAAAGATGAATTGCAAGTTGCATTCAAGAAAGCTGGACTTACTATTTCGAAATCTAAATTAGACCTATTCTTCGAAGAGGTTGATATGAATCACGATGTTTGTACCAAAATCACCGTCTTGAGAATCTACCATTGACCATTTTCTAACTTTACTTCAAGGGATTCATAACATTCGATGAATGGAGGTTAGTACTGTCACTTCTCTTATGTCGAGTGAATGAACCATACCAGATGATGTTGATCCCGTACCAAAGTTTCATTCTGTATGGTTGCTATGCAGCCGCTAAAAACCCCGGCGAACCGTTGAAACTACCTAGTACCGGTAGCCATACTGTGACCATATATTTTCTAAACTTCAAAATCATTGACTCCTCTGAAAGTTAATCTGTCCTAATTGATATTGTTTTTAGAAACTTCTTGCTATTTTTACCCACTACAGCTTCTACCCAACCTTTGAAGGCCGTACTGTCATATTATCAGTCTGCAGTAGCTGTGAACGCCGAGGGCGATACTTCAATTCGAGAAGACACACTCGAAGGCTTAGGTACCAAAACAAATTTTCTTAAGCTTCTTTTTGGGGCAGTTATTAGTATCGCAGAATCGCATCGTGGCCGAACTCCTACAATTCAAATTGGAGAAGCACCTTCACCCACTTCTTCTCACAACCAAACCGCAAACATGGCCATCACAAATGTACAAGCGATCAATTCTATTGACTCTGTTGATGATGTATATGACCACATTGTCGACCCACTTCATCCACGTACTGAAAACATGGCCAATGTTATAAGGAGACGTCGGCCAGAGCTAACCCACGAAGTTCCTAAAAAGTTAGAGTCATCAGAGAGATCAAGACTGACGGAGATATTACCTGATCCAGGCTACTTCGCGGCGGGTGCTATCGCCGGGATTTTCTCTCGTACAGCAACAGCTCCCATAGATCGATTGAAAGTTTACCTCATCGCCAATGTCTCTGCAAAAAGTGCACCTCTCGAAGCAGCGAAGCAGGGAAACCCGGCTGCAGCTGTTAAAATGGCTGGACAGCCTATAATCCTTGCTATCAAGGAGCTTTGGAAAGTAGGCGGTATGCGTAGCTTATTCGCTGGTGAGTTTATCCTAAAATGTTCTTACCACAAACTGACAAATGAATAGGTAATGGCTTAAATGTCCTTAAAGTTATGCCTGAAAGTGCTATCAAATTTGGCTCCTTTGAAGCTGCGAAAAAACACCTGGCTCAGTTGGAGGGACATGGTAATTCCAAGAAGATTAATCCTTATTCAAAGTTTGTTGCTGGTGGTTTCGCTGGAATAATGTCTCAGTATGTACTTGTATTCAAGTCACATGAAATAACTACTAATCCTTGATCGCAGATTGGTTGTCTATCCGATTGATACCTTAAAGTTCCGGTGAGATGCCCTTCTTATCCCTTGTAATCTGAATATTGAACTTATTCGTGTCTAGAATGCAATGTGAAACTGTTGCTGGTGGCCTTCGTGGAAATGCCCTTATTGCCGCCACTGCGAAACAAATGTATAAACAAGGTGGAATTCCATTTGCATACAGAGGTTTGACAATGGGGTTGGTTGGCATGTTCCCCTATTCCGCTATTGATCTTGCTACGTTTGAAACTTTAAAGGGATACGTGGCGCGTCGAAATATGAAGCGCTTTGGATATAGTGAAGCAGATGCCCTGCCAGGACCGTTTGCCACAGGCGCCATTGGCGCATTTTCGGGAGCATTCGGCGCAAGCATTGTCTATCCAATCAATCTCCTCCGTACCCGATTACAAGCTCAAGGCACAGTCCTACACCCTCCAACCTATACTGGGATTGTGGATGTTGCACAGAAGACTCTTAAAAATGAAGGATTCCGTGGTTTGTACAAGGGTCTTGCGCCTAATCTATTCAAGGTCGTACCTGCTGTCAGTATCACATACGTCGTCTACGAACAAGCCAAAAAGACTATGGCCTTAAATTAAAAGCGCTCGACATGCTCAGCTTACTTGACACACTACTTTGTGTCCGCGTCGCATTTTGATTTTCACATATTATTTCCCGCAGGATTCAGTTGAAGGGGTTCTAGCAAGGATTCGGTTTCACAGTAACAATATCCTGTTATCTAAAAATGACCGAAATCAATAATCGATTATATCAATCAGGCTCAGGTCTGTACTCAAATAACAACAAATTAAAATCCGCAAATCGTTTTCATGTTTCGGTTTTTATGTCCTACACACCATTACCCTAACGGCCTTTCCACCTTCCACCATTTGATACCACTGTTGCCGGGCAGCATCTTTAGAAACATACCACATTTTCTTTCCTTTATTAGCGTTAAGATAACAGATCTGCATAAACTGGCGTTTAAATTTACATTTTTCTCATTTGTCATCCACAACACGGCGTTCTAGGGAATGGAGATATACCTATGGATGGTAGGGCTTATGATATATTTGCAGGTATACATTGCAAACTAGATGTGGTATACTGATTCTGTATGCGCATGGAAGTGGATGGAGTGACAGGAGCAAGGGGAATAGTAGAATGGTGTCCTAGATTTGTGCATATTGCGTTGGGGTTCTGTATCATGGTGATGGTGCACAACTCGGAACAATACATATGTCTGTATGTAGTTGTTTGTGGGAAAATTCAGAATGGAGAATCTTACCTGCCCATGCATATATATGGTATGATGATTTGTGTGTGTGGAATGAGGTGACGTGATGTGATTTGACGCGGTGGTGAAATGGTCAGGGATATCTTGGGATGTGTGTGATGCCGTTAATGAATGTGCGTGATAGAAGTTCGGGATACTGGAGGAATTGAAATAGGTATGTATGTATATGTATGGATTTGGGAAGGGGGAAGGGGGAAGGGGGTAAATGAGTGAGCAATTGAGTGAGTCATTGGGATAAGAGGAGTTTGCATTTATTAGGAAGAGGTGTAAAGGGAATCTGGAGGAGATTTATGTGGATGAGGATTAGATGGAAGGAGGTGGATGGGCCGTGAGAGCGTAAGTGATAGAGAGGGTGGGTATATGGTATGTGATGTATACTCGGTAGATTTCAGGGTCGGTGTTGATATTGGTTTTGGTATTGAGAGTATTGCAATGAGGGAGGGGAGGTGAAGGAGAAGTGAATTGGAACTGGGGATTGAAGTTGAAGTTGAAGTTGAAGAAGTTTGATTTAGAATTAGAACCAGAGTTTAAAATTAAAATTAGATGGATTCAAAGATAAACAATCTGAAAGGGAACTTAGAATTTGAAATCACAATGATGCAATCAGCGTAAAGAATCAGGGTAAAGAAGAAGAAAAAAACAAATCGAAAAGAGAAGAAAGGGGTAAAAAGTATATAAGCGGATTTCACCACCTACCACCTAATATACCCTAATATACATAGTACACAAACTCGCAACGAGCTATCTAGGTAATCATCACAGAATCATTATATATGCATATTGCATACCATCATGCCTCATCTCATATGTATTTTCCACCCGAATGTTTATATAACATATAACATATAATATACCTAGTATGTAGAAATCAACATGAACGTCTCGAGTTGGTTTAGTAAGTGGAAAATCAGGATTTTGAGATGGATGGATGTATGTAGAGAAAATGTATATATATATTGATTGAAATCTTGCTAGGCTAAGTAGTATCAATCAACGCCCCAGCTCCGAGTTTCAAGTGAAGATTTCCTTAAGATGGATGTGGATGGATGTCTTTGTTGTAGATAGGAAGATGGGTAACCATCCAAATCCAATCTAATCCACGCTAAGCTAGTTGTTGATGAGATTTCATGAGGGACAAAGTGAAGGTTTTTACAGAGAACTTGTCCTTCTTTTATTCCACTCACCAATGCTTTCACCTGTACTCCTTACTCCGATCCCTGCGCCTCTGTAATCATCACGTTGCCTCCCATAGTCTGCCTGTCAAAGTTTGAAGTTTATTCAATGCCGAGACCGTCTTTCCTCCGCCCTACCGTCATTCATATTCGGAATTTACTTTAAAATAATGATCAACAAGACTAGTATAATGATCAAAATCAAAATAATCGTCATCTGCATATTATCCTTCGCTTTCCTTGCCACGGTCCCCAAATTCTTTCGCGCTTTATCGAGTCTACTCTGATGACGATCCACATGTCTATCCACTTCATCTAACATCTGTACATGTTCATCTAGCTCATCACCGATTTGTATACTCAGTTCTCTCTGTCGGCCAATACTCTCTCCAAGTCTATCAAGCGCCTCATCTTGTTCTGCGAGCACTTGAGAATGATAGGCGTGTATTTGTTGGTTGTCGAGATGGCTTTGATCTGGAGGACCGGAGGGGTCATCGCGGTAAGGAAAGAGTGCGGCGCGGGCGGGATCGGACGCTTCTTGGATGGAAGGAGAGTCGCTGAATCGAACAGATTTTGGGGATGGAGCAACGGCGGAATTGCGGAGAGATTTCTTAAGGAAGGAGGAGGAGGATCCGACACGGGGACGTTCGGTTGCTCGGGCAAAATCGTTGGAGAGGGAGGGGTCATTGGGGTGTGAGAGAGTGGATGAAGTACTGGCGGTAGGATGACCGAGAAATTGAGAGGCTAGGTCGTCATATTGTGTTCGGAGGGTGTGTTCGGTTTCTTGGAGGGTAAGGGATTGACTAGCAAACTGTCAGTTGTGCGAAAATGAAATATATAATGCGCTGCGCAAGAGATATGTGATGCGCGAATCTAGCCCCGAGATGGACTTATATGAAGGGAAATTGCCGGAATAATCTGCGACGCCATTCAAGAGATAGATCTAACATACGATGTCTCTCCTGCTTCTTCTAATCGTATCCTTTCATTCGTTATATTCTCCAAACCTTCCCGCAAAGATTCCAACGACCGTGAAATATGACCATCTTGGGATGTAGGTTCCAAATTCAGGGAAATAGCACGTTGTCTTTCCAGTAATGATAATTTTATATGATCCGCAAGTAGAAAGTATTGATTGGGATTGGTAGACATGATCGCGACCTAGATAGTATCAAGATATACGAGCTCCGGAAAGCCGCAAAGTGTAGGAATTGAGGATGAGATCAAGAGGAAGCAATGGTAGTGAAAGTATCAGATATTGAATTTGAAAGAAGGTTTATGTTGAATCATTCGAATGTTATTATATTTATTGGTATAATTGATGTTTGTCTGGCTTGCAATACTTTAATGGTCTGGGTAAATTGTAAGCCAACGTTTTCATGGAATTGGATTACTTGGCCAGTCTTATGGTCTCATCAAACATGATAAATGGTAGCCCAAGGTTTCCTTCTCTTCCTATGATAGTATATCCGATCCGAAGAGGTTACCGAAAGGTTACCATATTGAGCACGTGAGAAATTATAGGGTTGATGTTGAGACCAGAGACGCAAATTCGCATCTTCTGAAGCCAAAGACATCTCAACCACCACCACCACGACCAGCATAGGCATAATCATAACCATAACCATAAGCCACGACAACAATAACAATAACAATAACGAACTGTGATAAGAGGTTCTCACCAGCCGCTTTCACGTACGTCTATTCAAAAGGTGATATCGGCATTTGTCATAAACAAATATCTTTGCCTTTTCAATACTTCTTCTCTTCAAAAGTACAATACTCTGTAATCAATAACTCACGTGGTCCAATATTGCTGTCATTGTCACTGTCTGTCAACCAAAGATCAAAGATAACTTTTTTGAATGCTTTCATTTCCAAAGGAATCTTACCTTCCTGGCTTCGACTTCATCCACAATACTTTAAAGTTCAATAGAGATTTGCGTTGCGATTTGATTAATTCTCGATTGATCAATTAATTCATTTGGTCGTCTCCATAGCTGAGTCAACATGCCTCCACCGAATACTCCAACAAATGGAGCTGCTACACCTGTCTCACACATTTCTCGACCAAACACTCCGCCCAACAATATCTTCATTTTCGAAGGTTACGATCCTGCTACAACTCACATTGGCTTTGCTTACTATCCACCTCAATCGGAAGTTACACAACCAGTCCTTCACGTTCCAAATAATACCCCGGCTTCCAGCATTCATTCTTCGCCCGAAAGCTCCTACTATTCACGATCTCGTCGTTCAACTCTACTAGATCGAGGAATTATGGAAGTCATTGGAGAAGAAGAAAGAGATCGACGCGATGAAGATACTATCGATTATCGTGCGGTTGACTACGTAAATACTCCCGACCAAAATCTCATATGTCCAATTTGTCGCGTTCCTTTGGTTGATCCAGTCACCATTCATTGCGATCATACTTTCTGTAGAGAATGTATTACTCAAGCTTTGGCTGTTACGGAAAAATGTCCTATGGACCGTTATCCAATTTCACGCAATGATCCACTTCGTCCATCGAATAGAATTATTGTTCAACAAGTCAACGATTTGATGATTGTTTGCCCAAGTTGCGAAACTCATCTCCAGCGATCGAAACTTCGCAATCATCTCGCTATTCATTGCAAGGAAGTGGAAATTGCGTGTTTGGATCCTGATTGCAGGCAACTTATCAAGAGACTCCATCAACCAAAGGGTTGTCTTCATTATGATTCTTCCTGTCCTTACTGTGATGAGACTGTGCAGGCAAAGGATATGGAAGAACATTGCGAGTCTAAATGCACGTTCCGTCATGTCAATTGCGGTCAATGTGGAGGAGAGATCTTACGCATCAAGGAGTCAGAACATATTGATCAATGTCCAGAAGGGACCGTGCAATGTCAATGGTCAGAGTTTGGTTGCGATCATGAGTGTAAGAGAAAGGACATTGATGATCATAAAGACAAGTGCGAGCTTAGGAGATTGGGTCCATGGGCAGCAAAAATGCAAGCCGATAATAAAGTCAAGAGTGAAAAGATTGATCGATTTGAGCGGAAAATTAAGCATCTCGAGAATTGTATTAGTGACAATGGAAATTTCGATCGAGCCGATGCGACGGCACCTTCTCTTGCAGGATTATCAATGACGGACGATTCCTACGAAACACCTAATACTTATCTTCTCTCAGTTGTTGAGTCTCAACAGAGCAGAATTAATGCTCTTACTGCCAGTATTGCCGAAATGGAAGCTCGTCAAAGCGTTATGCTTTTGAATGAAACTATTCCATTAAAAGATCAAATCGTCGAACTTCGCAATACAATAAGCACACTCAATATGTATGTTCGTTGGCTTTTGAATGTTCGCAGAGGAGAAGGTCAGCGACGCAGCTTTGGCAATGGCGCAGGTAGTAGTAGTGGAGGTGGTGCCAATAGTCCGGATGATAGTAATGGTGGGGCAGGACCAAGTTCCGGTGGTGCTAGTATTGGAAGACGGTTAAGCGATCATATTAGGGAGGGAGGTACGAAACTTTGAGTTTGTGGTGAAGTACGTGAAAGGATGGATGGATAAATGGGATAGCGCATTTGGAGTATGGATGAGCAATGATTGATGAGCAAATGACACTGCATTGCATAGATGGGATTGGGATGGCTGGTAGGATTTATGTTTTTTGTGATTTTGATTTCTGGTTTCTGGTTTTGATTCTTGCGAAAGATATCTGGATGAATGGAAGGCGTACTAATAATTGAGTGTGGAAATTTTTGATAATAGGAGTTTTTTGGATTTTTGTAATTTTAGGAAGGTGGGGAAGTGTGGGGGAGTGGATGGACGAGGATGATGAGCGGGGTGGAATTGGAATGGGGAATGTGATTTGGTGAGAGGGGGAGGGGAAGCTGAATGGATCAGTCGTTAGCAGAACATAATAAATTGAAGGTTCTCAGGCGGAAAGACCAAGTCTGCTTGAAGGTCATGTCAGGGAAAATACTTATCTGCGTGGGTAGGTAGTATGTACTCTATTTCCATTAGATTAATCGATCTTAATTACTGATATGATGAATGAATGAATCGATCGATTTTGGTTATCATATAGGTATTTAGCTAACCTCACCATGAAATCCTCTGTATGAAATATGAAATGCGCGGTAGATGGAATATGGAATTAGCTTGTGTAAATATGACGGGCTTTCCGTAGATGTCCGATGTACTCTGTCTATACTCTGCAACTTGTTTCTGGTTTGGGTCGGAGGGCGGGCACAAAAGAGAGCGGGAGTTCTCAGCTGATTCTTTGAAATATAATTCCATTTCACAGTTACCTGCGAGGGATCGAAACATCCCCAAAAGCGCCATTACCATATCTCTCGCGTGGGCTTCATGGGAATATAATCACAGAGCGTTAAAGAATAGGAATTTGTAAGTATACATCTTCCGATTCTCCGAATCTATTGGCTCTTGGGTATCGTGTTGAAGTGTTTATTTCCTCTTCCTCCCCCCATCCCATTTTTCCCCCTTCTCCCCTTTTCCCCTTTCTCCCCCAAAACTATTAAATTCATGGACATCAAGTCAAAATCCCATGCCTCCCCTATGAATCCGATCCCGATGACCTCTTTACTCACTCGATAATGGAACATATCAATCCCACCTTTTCGTATTATTGTGGTGGATTATTGGGGATGGATTGTGCGGGGTGGATGGATGGGTGTGGATGAGGGCGTCTTTAGGAGATTGAGGGGACGAGTGTTGCTAAGTTATTTGTTTTGTGGTATAATGATGGGTGAGTAAGGGATGCTGTAGGGTGGGAGATTGATGGATGAGATAAAGGAGATGCCGATACATGGGACTATAGATTGAATGAGAGATCTGAGGAGTGAGATGTGAAGATGAAAAAGGGTCTGAGACGGAATTGTAGAAAGTGTGTCATTTTTGTTCAACTTTCTATTATCTAGATAGAAACCCCTCTTGTATTGCGAAGGAAGAATGTTTCAACGAAGTGAAATCAATGGGTAATGGATGTATCAAGATCGATTGCTTGAATATAAATGTCGCATGGATCTCGTGTGGACGGACCAAGAGATTGCCGCTCCAATTTGATGCTGCTAATATATAGGATAGACATTGGGGTTTGAATTGTAAAGGAGACTAATTATCTTGTTATGCGCATGTGGTTCTATGTTGGCTTCAACATATCTTAGCATGTGCGATAATAGTACCACGATATCTTCTATCCAGGAATGAAAATTGGATCTGTGAATGAAAAAGCCTGAATGGAAGGAGTGACATGTTAGAGTTCGAAAGATTCTAGTTCGTTCCCCTAATCACAATTTCCAGGTTATCAGGTTGGTCTCATCGAAAATATGCAGAGTTACATGGAAACCGTCTCTGAATAGTAACAATTTGAGTCTTGAGGTGTGAATAACATTAAAAGTGTAACAGTACTACATTCTTTCAACCTTGCACGCACCTGTTTTCTCCTCGTCTCTTCCCTAGCCTAGTATTGTTATCTCTCAGCCGATTTAGACGCTGATGGAGCATTACCCAATCCATGGAATTTTAAGCGGCTGATAATCTGGGGATCAATCAAACCCGCATATCGCGAATTGATATCCGTAACCCCATTTACACTCTCTAGGCTTGACAAGCTTTTGTACCTAAAGAAATTACACAGGCAATAATGCGGGGGTAAAGATCGGATCGCTTAAGTGGATCAGAAACTGGTGCCAATACCATTCTAGAAACTATGTTTAGCTGATGAAGTGGAGATGTCCTGCCTCGAGGTATCAAATTATTTACACCGGGTCTCTTATTTGATTTTTCTCGGCAGAAATATGTTTGTCGCGCATTTTGCTGCTGCCTGCAACAGGAAGAAAAACATAATGACGAAATTGAAATAGGAGTGGGATGATCGGAGGAAACGATGGATAATGTCTGGCTTTTAAGATGCCCACTATGAATATTTTCAATGAGAAGCTATACTGCTTAGCAGATCATATCTATGCTGCTGCTATACGATGTTGCTGCACGAAGGTCCCTTAAACGGGTGTAAACAAACAATCGCTGTACAACAACGACTCTCGAAAACCCCCTTTCGAAGCGGCTACAGAAAGTTCAATCGAAATTCGAACGATACTGAATAGAAGGATCAGATGACCATTAAACAATGTTGTCGACGTTGCAGGCCACTGACCTCACGAACAAACAATTGCATATTATTGCGTTGCCAAGATGCATATATTAGCGGTGGATATATAAAACCCAACAAGAGATCCATTCAAACTTTTTTCACTGGCAACATCCCAGATCTCAAACGGTCCTGCGGGAACAACTATGTTTTTGACATACAGCTAGTGGAGTAGCGACAGAGCGATCCCAGAGACTAGGCAGAACTCTCAAGGCTGACATGGAGCTGGAGACTGGGATCAGTAAAGTTTCGAGAAACGGAGTTTTGATATGAGGTTAAATTTGGGGTACTGTACGATCTTCGAAGGATTCGAGGATCATCGTCTCGAGTAAGACATCAGGATAGCACTTGGTCATGAAACCATAGCCTCTTTTGCTTACTGTATTCTCTTTATTGAACCTTGCATTTCGTCGAGAGATCTCGAATTTCAAGAAGGCTGTGTTGTTGTTGTACCTTAGTTGAAGGATTCGAAAATTGCTTAAAAAAGTTAAGCCTTATGGGGCTGGGCTAGGACAACGTGGATTGCCTTACAGGATAAGCATCGCTAGCAAGGGGATATTTAATTGCATTAGATGGACCTTTCCGTGCAAAACCCACGATATGAACATAGGAAGAATGAACCAGCCAGCTCGAATTCAGGAGGAAATTACAGTCATGATATTGAAACGTAGGAAGAGGGTGAAGGTGACTTGATACATTGGTATTTCAAGCTTTAACTTGGCTCTGTAGAAAACTTTATGTGAATTGTGAATTCTTTGAGAAAATGGGGTTGTTAGAAGCAAAGATGGGATTGTGGTGGAGAGAGAAGCGGCTCCATACAAATTGAGTGGATCACGTGTTCCGTCATTTAAACTTTTATTGCTAGGTCCCTTGGTACTGGGTAATCTGTAGTTCTATCTGCTATCTAACAGCAAGCAACATAAGCAACACAGCATAAGTAAGCTGGTAAACAAGCTCAATGAATCTCGAGGACCACCATGCGCCAGGCGTTGTTTAGTGGGGAGATCGTTGTCAGAAACCAACCACCAACGTTTTATTTCCGTGGTGAGAATGGTGGATGCTTGTTTGTTTGTTCGTTCAAATGTTGGTCGGCCGTTGGCTCAAATCTCAAGGTGCAGGTAACTCTAGCAGTAACTGGAGCTTACCTAGGAAAACCATTCTCATACGTCCACTCGTATGGAAGAGCTCACAGCCCAACAATTGACAATCTCTTGGACATACCTAGGTCTTACGATATGATTATGTACAGATCTATATTCGGTCACTTTAGCACTGTTGTCATTATCATGGTAATCTTCCTCAACTTAAATCATTCAGCCGACTTGGATAGAGCGATAGAACGGAATAGATACCCTGATAGATATGGATCTAACTGTGGATTTGCGGCGCAGAAATATATGTAAACAAGGCTTATAGGGCCCAAGAGGCCAATATGGAGCCTTGCCTGGTATCCACAGCCTTCAATCTCACCTGTTCACGTAAAGATATTTTGAAGTGAGCAGGGGAGCGGCGCATACAATAAGTACAATCTTCTGTTGCATCCATAAAATGTAAACTTTTCTTCAATATATTGTTGATTTCTTTTTGTATTGCTTTTGTTGGACTTTCAAAGATTTTGTAATATAGTGATAATCGAGGGGTGTCAACGGCGACGATGAACTCCACCTGTATATCCGGTGGACAAGCAGTGATTATTCAAGATGCAGCTTCGTGGAATACTACCGGGTGTCCAAAGGGCTTTTACTGTGAGTAAAAGAACAAGTCTAAGTATTCAATTGGCATCAGGAGAAACTAATATCATCCTCTTTCGCAGGTCCAAATAATACTCTTTCAAATCTACCAGAATACTGTCCTCCAACTCCTCTTTGTCAAATACTGAGGTTCTCAGGAGGAGCATGTATACCAACCATGGGAACCTACGAACCTTCGTTTTGTCCAGCTGGATATTTCTGTCCAGAGCCAGGGAAGCTACAAAATCCATGTCCAGCGGGATCTTATTGTCGCGCAGGATCAGCTTTACCAACAAAATGTGCAATTAGCTCGAGATGCCCGGAAAGAAGTGTTAGAGATATGAATCTTGTTCCAGTGGCTATTTTAATTGTTGTGGATGTGGTAATGTTAATGGGAGCACTGGGTATAACTTTGAAACGAAAATTCAGCAATAGAGTTCGGAATCACTCGAAGGAGAAGCGATCGAATAGGAAGACATACACAAAGCCAGGAATGTTTCGAGGAAGAGAGTATTCACAAATTCATGATGAGCAATTACAGGCAGCCCGAGAGCAAAGCGATATTGCTTTGGAAGAGAGGATTATGAACCTTCAGCGAAGACCTACCGGATTTGAGGAATTGGGTAATCTGGACGAAGAGTTCTTATATGATGGTCAGAACGCGGGGGAGGAGCAAGTTATGAATACTGATTTACAACTGTTTGTTCAATCTTTGTCGAGATGCTTCGGAGGAAGTAAATTCGGATTATCCTTCGAATTCGAGGATCTGAAATTCCATCCACCAAAGGCACCGAAGCCTATTCTTTCACAAGTTTCGGGTTTGATTGACGCAGGAAGTTTATGGGGTGTAATGGGTGCTTCAGGAGCTGGAAAATGTAATTTTCCATCAATGCTCTTTTTACCTCAACTAGAAGCTAATGAGTAATAGCTACTTTTGTAAATGTTCTCATGGGTAAGACGAAAAATACTGGTGGAGTCACTAAGGTTAATGGCGTTGCTGGTGATATCTCGAAGTAAGTTCTTCTGGCGATGGTAAACTACAGCAATTAACAATAGCAGGTACAAGAAAATCATTGGATACGTACCCCAAGACGATATTGTTCTACCAGAACTTACTGTTCGGGAAAATATCCTTCATTCCGCTAGAATCAGGTTACCATGCACATGGAAGGAGGGCGAGATTCAACATCATGTTGATGTTTTACTTGCTTGTCTTCAACTTTCTCACGTCAAAGATTCATTAGTAGGTAGTACTGCTGCTCCAGTTATTTCAGGTGGCCAAAGAAAAAGAGTCAGTATTGGTATGGAATTAGCGGCTGCACCTATGTAAGTTTCCAGTCCAAAATTTCTCATTTCTTAACTCACATTATTGCTAGGGCTCTTTTCCTTGATGAACCTACTTCTGGGCTCGATGCGACAGCCGCAAATTCTATCATGAAAACTCTCAAAGCTCTCTCTCGTCTTGGTATGACAATAGTAACTATTATTCATCAACCACGACAAGAAATTTTCGAATCTCTCGATAGTCTTGTACTCCTTGGCGCAGGTCGAATGATTTACTTGGGACCTCAAGTAGGTGTAAAGCCTCATTTCGAACGTCTCGGTTTTAAATTCCCCGACCATGGTAACCCTTCCGATGTTATGGGTGATATCATTGCTGGCGAAGGTCGTCTCTACAAACGTACTGGAGATGCTAGTATCCAACCTCTTATAGAACATTGGCAAAATCATCCAGATAACGCATATGAAGATGTAAAAGGTCCTGGTGTTTCAATAGGCGAATCAAACGCTCTTGCTTCGACCATCAAAACTCGTGGTACATACTGGTATCGACAAATTTGGTTTTGTTTCCAACGTTCTCTCGTTCAACAATATCGTGTAAAAGAGTCATTTTACTTTGAGTTAGGCGTCGGTGCCGGCTCAGGTTTCTTAATCGGTCTCGCCGAACTCAATCAAAAAGGTGCAAATTTCCGTGGTATTTTCAACGAGCCATATCAATTGCTTTCTTCATCGATCGATTATAACTCTGTTCCTCAAATGGCACTTCTTGTCGGTCTGGCTATTGGTCTCACTGCTTCAGCACCAGGAGTAAAAGTATTCGGTGAGGAAAAATTGGTTTATTGGAGAGAAGCTGCAGCGGGACACAATCGCTTCGCGTATTACGTCGGAAAGGTTCTCTCGACAATGCCAAGAATGATTCTTGCAAATTTTCACTTCACAGTATTTTTTGCGTTCATGACTACACCGGTCATTGGCTGGATGGATATGTTCGCTGCTAATCTCCTTTATTTCTGGTGTATATACGGTCTCGCATCCTGCGTCTCTATGGTTACCCGTCGTGAAGACGGACCTCTTCTTTCAGTTATGGCATCTCTGATTGTTGGTGTACTTAATGGTATGTCGCCTTCTCTTAAAAAGGTACGAAGTTGGCATTTAATTTGGCTTTGGAGATCAACTCCGGGCACGTGGTTAGCGGAGGGTTATTTCACGCAGAATATTAGTCCGATGGGTTATCTGTATAATATTGAGACGGCGAAGAATGCGGTCGGGTATGATTTAGATCATTTTACCGAGGATTTGCTTATGCTGCTTGCGTTGGGGGCGGCGTACAGAGTTATTGCGTTTGTGGGGTTGAGGGGAATGTATAGACATAAGCAGAGATAGAGGGGGAGATTTGAGAGGGGGTGGTTGTGGATAAAGAGATGGTTATGATTTGGATTGTATATACTTGGGAGTTTTGGCGCGAGGGATCGGGAATACATATTTTATTGAGTACTAGAGTACTGGGATCATTTGAAATTTAGAATACCCTTTCATTTTAGGTGTGTTAGTACAAATATATGATATAACACAGCACCTTATTCTGAAAATGGCATGATTGGATTTTGGTCAATTGTTACATGAGAAAGAAAAAACAAAGCTTGACTTCATCGTACTTTTGCCCTGTGAATAACTATCAGGTAGTCATGAATGCAGATTTCCAAACAACAATTTTCCTAGCCTCCTTATGCGTTCGTTTAACAGAGCTATTTATGGAAATTTCTTCACTGTGTTTGTTTTGGGGATTATATAATCACATCATAATCTCAAATACTATTCTCATCACCAACATGAAGTGGCAAGCCTTGTTGAATCAAATTCCATCGATGATCAAGAAATTGTAATTAAGGAAGAACCCTTAGAGGAAGGAAATCTAGTCAATCAACATATTCCTATCAATGATCCGGTTTTTGGTCCAGATCTTAAGAGATAATCTATCTCGTCTCGTTCAATTCATCGCCACAAGATACTCACAGTCATTCATTTTAATCATTGTCAATTTCTTCCATCGATTTAGCAAACCAAAAGTGACGTTTACTTATCTTCTCTTCTCTTCCTGCTTTGAAAATCGAGAAGATATATATAGTTGTGGCATGTATATGTATTTTTACAGGTGACAGTAGATGTTCTAAAGAGTTGTAAAAACAGATTAGCTGTATATATTCCTAGGTGTTAGATGAGAGTCTTGTGTCGGGATTTGAGGATCTGGGATAGAGGGTCAGAGATGGAGGTTATATAGAAGTATTCTATGAAGGCTCCTGAGAAATGAGATGGACACGGAATGGGATGTGAATAATGGTACTGGGAAGTCAGAGCTTAGAGTGAATTGATAGGTTATTTGGTAAGGAAGCTGTGGGCTGGGAATCGCTATGTTGTTACAATGATATATAAAGGGATGGTGGTACATGGAGTCTTCTGCAGATAATGTATAGAGAATTGAGAGCGAGACAAACAAGATTGCTGGAGCTGTGCTCTATAACGCTCCTGAGGTCTGGTGTTTTGATTAGGATGTGACATGTTCTCAGGGGTAGCAGTGCAGATTGAGATACATGATTGAGAATAGTATATTGGCGTATCTTTGTTCTTACTGTCATCTATTACATGGCGTTGGTATCCAATCATTGTCATATCCTCCAGATACTGTTGCTATGTTGCCTGATATCCGTTGTCAATATCTTCTATCTTGAATCTATTCTCAACTTAACTAAGCTAAAATCCCCAGAGAAGTGGCTCATTGATTCCACAAGCTTATGTAGGTTTCTTTGATTATTGCAGTCACCCTCTATGCTTCTTCTTTGGAAAACAAGATAGTTTATATAGCAACGATGTTGCATTCGTCAAGTTGAATAAGCGGGGTATGTAGGTGAAGAAAATGTTGTTTGAGTATTTGATGTACCACACCTAATCTTCTTGAATACTGCGAGTCACTTAGGTCTACTACTCACATTAATATCTCATCTTCCTATAAGAGGAACTAATATCTTCTTCTATTTTAGTCTAGTGAGATGGGGGATCTCCCACACAATACAACTTAATGCGTTTGGGTTCTCCATAACCTCTAGTACCGAGAGAAAGTAAACTGTTACGTTCGAGTGCGAAGTGTGCAACGCGAATGTGAACAGCGATTCGAGAGTTGGAAGCTATGATTATTCATACTTGAGTTTGGTATGTTATTTTTATCAATCCAATTTCTCTTCTCTTCATTCGCCTCCAGTTGTTGTCGTTTGGTATTAACTCCTACCATTTCTCCCTCAAATCCGATCTCATTTTTTTACTCCTTCTTGCCGTGTCTAAGTCTATTGTCTCTATCTATCTGATCTTTGCCATATTCCGAAAAGAAAAAGATACTTTTACATGCTCATGAATGCTCCAGGCTATCTCTACACCCCAAGTGCAGAGAATTTGGAGTCCTTGTTCGTCAGCATCGGCGCCTTTTATGGGCTGGATGAGATTTGAGATAGGAATAGCGGTATATCAGTGGTGAATTGTGGGTGAAGTAAATAGAAACTACGGGATTGTTGAATCAGGGGTAGGATTCTGAGTATGTAAATCCTTCACTTATTGTTTGTTGGCTGGTGTTATTTTCGGTATTTTTTAGGTCTTCACAGTATCTCATTTCTTGTCTATATAAGAACTGTTAGATTCTAATGTTAGAATAACCAAACCTGAAAGTAACCAGGGGGAAGAACATAGGAGATCTGTTCGTGCGTGCGGTTTTAAATCATTGTTGAGATTGAGGATACTTTAATGGTTGCGGGATCTTCTGCATTTGGATGAGCAGAGATTGGGCTTGATGGTAATCTGAAGTACTCAGTAGGCAAGATAATGAAAATCCACCGTAATCTATATAATAACAGCAGGATTGGTGTTTCACTGGGGAAAAGGACAAAATTGTGCTTCACAGTTTATCAAGATCTTCATAATTTCCTCATCACAATGCGGTGTCAGTGGTGCAGCAATTTCAACATCCTATCGATGATCTGGCTGCTCTATTTTGGTCATGGTGGGAAAGTTTATATAGAGGTGAGAGATTTAGAGAGAGGATGATGTGGTGAATTAAGCTCCTATACGGGATAAGGAGGAAACACATCCAATAAAGAGGGAAATGGAGGAAGTGCGGGGTAGTGAGTTATCAGGACTAGTCTCGTTTGACTTGCGTTCGCGTTCTATTTAAGAGATCACTTTTGGACTTTCGGATTGAGCAGTAGATACTGAACTCAAAATGGCAAAGCACAATGGGTCCCTTGGAAGTACCGCGGACTATGACTGTGCAAGCAAGAATCATAGAAATTTCGAACTTCAAAATTAGAATTGAACGGAAGTCCAGATTAGGAGTAGTTCTGTCTGATAGGACTAAAAATATTGTTGTCGTTCGAGAATCTATGGTTCTCGTCACTATTTGAGCAAATTACTGTTACTTATCTAGTCAAAATTTCTGGCGCTATTTACATCGCTTATCCCACAACCCGCACCTTCTGCAGGTCTGTGAGATACCAGAGCTCGAGAACATTACCAACAATCATAAATTTAGCCTCGATTACTATGGAGCCGAATACATTGACTTTCAGGTATCTTTTATAACCTTAGAAGCTATGGAATGCCCGCTTAACGCTCTGAGTAGAAACATCAGTCATCTGCTTTGCTTGTACAACCACCGCTCCGCGATCTTGAGGTAAAAATGCGGGGCATGTCTTTGATTTTAGCATAGTGCTGACGGGAAAGATGGTGAATCATTACTCTCTGTTCAATTTGGTTCATTCCAAATCCGGAAAATGGCATCAGCGGACGGGAATCTCGGTAGCAGGTTAGTAGGCAATAGACAGGTTAACTTTGGATTTGACTGTTACTTAAGCAGCGGCTAAACTCCTGGAGTAATAGAGCAACCAATAAAACCAAGCATGTCAAACTTCGACGATATGGCTAGTCTTCTTGTCTGGTGTATCATAATTAGAATGGGTCCGCTCGCTTGTTTAGAGTAGGTGAGTAGTAACCTACATGGTGAATCTTGGTTTAACTGATACAATTTCATTATATCTCATCCTGTTAAATCTCTTTTCGTTGTCACTATGATATATTTAATGTTTACTGTCGCTGATGATAACCTTATTAACTTTGGACCATACAAATAAATTGACATTGAGCTCAGAATCCTACAGTTACTGGGCATTGTCCTTGAAAATCTGAGAAAGTGTAGAGTGCGAGACCAATCTTCAATCAAAGAAGATTTTTCTCTTAGTTAAGCCTAATCTCTCCCGGGGTTGATGGACCACTTGATATAGAGACCTACTCCTGAATCTGAAAATCAGGACACGGGGGTATGGCTTTCACCTCGCTGATCTTGGAGGGATAGTTGGTGAATCGCATGTACTAAGTGTTATCTACCCCCTTGGTGATGGATCACTGGAAGTACATATATGTACATCTATATAGAGAGAAATCTCGATGTAAACTTCTTAGTATGGCAGTAAAGACCGTTCTGAAGCTGAGGTTCAACCGATGTTAGAAAACGCCCGCTCATAGGATTCTAGCCGGAGATGTTATTGTCCCTAATTTTGGTAAAGGGATCACAAGATAGATATTCACATGCAAGAATTGGAGAGGAAGGAACGACAATAAGAATTGTGATCAGATGGGTGGAATGACTGGGTTGACGGTATTGAGAAGAAACGACGGTGAGATATTGCTGTTGGAAGTCTTAGCATTTGACATAAAAATTGAATAGAAGATAGAGATAATAAGAGAACTGTCGCAAGAGAAGCGGATCTATCGAAACTCTACCATCAATCTACGATCTCAAAGCTTGCTGGATACCAAATATCTATATTCTGTTTTTATCTTATATCTCAGGACTCACCCATCTGGACAGAAATCCTGTGATTCGTCTTGGTGTATTGGATACTTGGTAGTACTTCATCTTCTCCCATTCGTGCTTATTTATAGCTGCGAGATTCCTTCCCAAATTACCATATTTGAAGACACGGGATTCAGCTCAAGCAAAATCGCTATCCTTCTTTTAATGAGTGAATAAACGTAAAGATAAATCAATGCCTCACATAGCTACCTAGTCATGCGAGGAACCGTAAAATTTTATTCAGTAGCGAATAAAAGATAATTTCCAGTCGCAGTTGATACTCGAAAGCTATATAAATCTACGGCACACTAGGTGCAACGACCCAGTAAGTTTCGACTCCAAAGGAAAAAAGGCTTCTGATAAATGTGCGTCGTCTATCCACCAGAACTGGAAAACTCAATCGTTCAAAATACCAAATGAAATTTATCCTGATCCACGAGTCAGCGGAGGGGTTTCTATCATATGTGGGAGGGGTACCATCTGAATCAAAATAACCATATTCAGCCAGATGATAGCAAAGTTGCAAATGAAAACAGCAAGAATGCTTAAAGACAATATTGGTGATACAAAGAAGCGATAACGTGGTTTAACAGTGGCTCGGCCATATCAGTGGATCGGCCACTTCAAAATACATATAAAACCAGTCTTTTTCAATATTCATATTTTAATTATTAATCATTATTTTTGAAAAAGAAAAGAATATTAAATAATAACAAAAATTTAATTTTTTAAAAAATCTAGTTTTTATATAAATATTTTGATTATATTAGAAAAAAAGTGGAAATTGTTATAATTCTCGTTAGAAAATTTTTTTTCCTTTAATAAATATTTTAATAATTCGAATTTCTGATAAAAAATTAGACTTTTATAATATTTATATAATTAAATATCTAATAATAGATTTTTAGAAAATTATATTAATAAATAAAGAAAGTGCATGGTTATACATAGATGTATTTTGTATGTAAAAATGGTGGCCGACTCACTGATATAGCCGAGCCACTGTTAAACCACGTTAACAAAAAAGAAATCGACAAATCTTATCTGATATCATCTAGTCTCAACGACAAAACATCAGATATTAATGTTCTCTGAGAGCAAAAGACAAAAAAGACACACATAACTGGAGGTCCGAGTTTGAATGAAACTGGCGAGTACCACATTTGTCTGTCAAGCACAAAATATTATTTGCCTGAACATGCGACGATCAAAGCACAGCACCCCTTTTGTGATAAAATTTTCGTACTCCCTGAATGGCGTAGAAATGAGTACATATATACCAAAAATTCGAGAGCGTTTAACAGTAGAGTGGAATGAGGGGTCATGATAGGGGATGATTCACTAGCGACTAGCAAGTAAACCACATATTCTCATTTGAGGCTTTCAGGTACTGAGGTCATTTTCGATACAAAAGTTGATATGCTATGACACCCAATTTGCAGCTTCGAGAATGATTCGAATCGTTCTCCTTCAATAAACTCGGGTGTTTGAGAGAAGCGCGCAAAATGATTCCTTGGTTAAAGAGCTGCCAAGGTCTCATGGTCTGGTGGAATTTCATCGTTGTAAAGCTTTAAAAGTATCCGATGATATATGTGTTCATTAACACTACACCTCTCATCTCAAAAAGAGATATCCATACCATCCTCCTCCCCTCTCCTTCCCTCCCGCCCCTCTTTCTCCCCATCTCCAATTTCAATTTCAATCCCAATACTCCCCCCACCTCCACTAATACTCCTGGGTAGCGTCAAGATCAACCTCTCATGATCACGATCATTCACAATTCTAATACCCGTCTCCACCACCTCCCTCACATGATCCCTCTCAACCGTAATCGCCATTTTCGGTTTTCTGATCCCTATCTCTCCATTTCTATTTCCATTCTCAAGTCCTCTATTCTTCTTTTTCTCTTCTTCGTTCAATATTTCTCCCACCCCCACTCCAGCAGTCACAGTCGTCGTAACTGTCGGTAAATCAATAGCATCTCTGGCATAACTATAACCATCTGGTTTCGCACCATTCACACCGTTTGTACTCGTAAACAAATGATCTCGATTCGAAAATCCCATGTTCTCGGGAATAGAACGAGGACTGGAAATAAGTGGGTAGGGGGAAATAGGAGAAGGAAGAGCGCTGGTGCGGATCGTAGGGTAGGAACAGGTATGTGAATGAGCATGTGAGTAAGAACGACGCGGGAGGAAGGTAGAAGCATTGTCTTTGGAAGTTATCCAATGGAGGACTAGAACGCTGAAGAGTACTAGATGTATCTATGAGTCTTTTGAGGGTCTTCTAAAAAGACAAGATGACACAGAGACTTACTGTCGAGATTACAACACATAAGACATACCCAACCTGGCTCGCCTTTCAGCACCAATAATAAAGTCAAATTACTATGGAAAATATCAGCTATCATCCTAAATGATCAGGAGAAGTAACTTACACGACACTAGAAGTAAGCGCACAACAACTTCCAATAAAGGTGCGAAGTGCGACGGTACGTGTTTGTGAGTTTGGGTTATTCTTGTAGGAGTACAAGCCTGTATGAATTAGTTGAAAAGTGAGAAGAACTATCGATGCAGAATTACCTTGTAGTGGAACGAGAAACAAAAACGTTAGGTAGACCTATATATTTTAAGCGGATATTTGACTGCAGCGAACACTATGTGCTTACGTTGACTAGTATATCGAAAGCCTGTTGAATGTTAACAAACGTGAGCCGCCTCGAATCGAACTCGAAGAATTAGAAGAATAAGAGATAGAATACCTACAATAAGAGGTATCATCGCGACTTGTTTCATCCCAATCCGACATTCACCATTCTCATAATTGGCGAATCGGCTTTGAAATCTGAATCAACAAGAGCTCCTTTCCAACATAGACTCGGAGCCACACTCACAAGATAAAATTCAACGCGATGACTACGCAATAAGGAACTAAGAAAAGGATTAATCTTTAAACTAACGCATACAAATCAGGTGGACTAACTTAGCATTCCAATCGAGTTGAAGAGGTAAAGCGGATCTTTGATGCGCGGTTTTGACGATCGACGAATGATGAACTGTTATCTTAGTGAATGTACGAGTAAAAAAAGTAAGAGCAAATTTACAACCCTTTCAACGAGAAAATAGTATATAAACTGCTGGCTTTAGTGAATGTTGCGGTCGCTTGCAGTGAAGAAGACGTACTACCTAGAATATTGTGTAAGTACAGCTGGCTGAAGATCATGTTGGAAATTGATGGCCCAATTCAAACAAGAAACCAACGAGTCTGATTCCTTGATTTCAATACTCACTTTGGTCGTCATATAACAAGATAAGCATAATATAATAGCATTGGAGCACATATACTGCGAATAATTGACACGAAACCCCGCCGAAACAACTGCGGACCCAAGAACAAATACTAGGGAATCAAAATATATCAAAAGAACCACTGCTCAATTTGTCTATTAGTGCCAAATCTCTAGTAACAAAAGCCCGATAGATAACCCCTCCAAACTTACACCAACAAACGAGAGGGTATCGAGACCAATCCTGCACATTTTGAACGCGACGAGCTGCATAAGAGTCTTAGTATATTGTGAATCGTGCAGCTTTTCCCGTCGGGTGGATAGACTTACTCATACAGATTGCCAAAACAGCCATTGATATCATAGATAAAACAACTGAGAAGACCGTTCCAGCTCTAGGTTCATCTGCCGATGCCTCCGCCATTCGTTCCATGAGAACTCGCATCTTCATCTTCAACTTCAAATCTCAATCTCAATACATAACAATGGCGAGTGAGAAGAATTTTCGTAAAAGATGATACACATTGGAGATGTTTTCATATGTCATATTAATATTCACGTCTTGGTATGTCGAGTTGTTATCCGATTTCCATATTCTGTTATCTTCCGGATCGATTTATCGTGGAACGCCTGGTCTTAAATTCGTCCGAGGAAAGACATGATGGCTCAATTCAGCGAATCCGATGCGTTTAAACCAAGCCCTGGCTTGCATTACGAGTGACATGGCTTGATGTTGAACAAGTGATAGAAAAATCCCACGGCATGCAAAATGCGGTATGTTGAACCGAGGAAGCAAGATACTCGTGTGGAAACAAGGAATAGAAGTAGCACTGGAGAAAGTTCTATAGGTCTAGAAAGTCAATTAAAAACAGTGAGCAACGTGAAACTGTATTGTTTGTCTCTACAATATACTGAATAAACTTAGCAAAAGGAAGTGCGAAATTATGTTGTGAAACATTGTATTCGGATACATGCGTTCAACAAAGCTATTGTGTTACCAAGTCCCCGAAAATTGCGCGTGAAGTAAGGGATGAAAAAGTTCTTAAATAGAATAATATGCAAGCCACTGATCGCAAAAGAAAAAGAATTAAAAGAGAATCAGATCAAGCAATCGGATGCGATTTGTTTTGCAGAAGCAAATGACATTTTGACAGTTGTTGAAGCCTCAAAAGATAGATTCACGGTTCATGCCGTGGAATCATCGGAACTTTGCCGATGAATACACACGTGTTATCCCCCAAACACAAGACCACCGACACTTTCAGCTTTTCACGGTAGGAAGGGACTATACCAATGTGCGACAAATAATCTTCTCATATATACAGAACTTTATTTTCCAAAATACTCACTATTTATACCCGTGATTGTAACCCGAATAGCTGGTATTTTCTGAATAACCAGGAGGGGTACTTGTCGGGTCATCTAAACTGATATAGATAACAGCATCTTTCTTTCCCATCTTAATTGATTTCTTTTCGTTTTTTGCAGCTTCCCTTTCTAACTTCTGCAATCTCTTCATTTCCTTTCTCTCTCTCCTCGACAATCGCGGAAACTCACTTCCTTCACCGACTAATATTTTACCAGGATGAATAACATTCATCAATGCAATCGCAATCAGCATAGGCAAAGCATCAAGAACCATGAAATACCATTCATGATATGGTATTGGATTCTTGCTTGGATCAAGACCAGATGAAAATTCTACCAAGCGGTAGATAATTCGTGTAGTGATGAGGGTGAGGGACGTGAACATGAGATATAAAAGGGGTCTCCAACCGCGATGTCTTTGATCTAGTATTTGACTGGCACTGACTCCCATAGATCTTTCTCGTTGCTGCATGATGAACATGAATTTGATGGCGATGGCTGTGAAAAGCAGGATGCAAAATTCTTGAAATCCAATACCGGCCATGTAGACATGGATACCGATCATTAAGACATTTGAATCGGCGCCGGGAGATATTAGTATACCACCCACAACTATGTAAAGAGTTAGAATAAAGTTCCGTTGATGAAGTGAAGTGTCTTACGTTGTGTTATGAAGGATAGCACGTCAAGCCATACGAAGATCTTGGCTATCTGAATACCTTTGATGCCCCAAATCTTCTGATCCGGAACGAAGAAGTAAATCATTCGTCCCAGAACCATATATACAAAGGCGTTGACCCACATAGGGGCAAGTAGAACAAGAATTTGAGAGACAGTGGCCAGAGCAACATTTTGTTGCATTTTCGTACTTGCTGAGCGTATCGCAAAACTCATAAATTCCCACATACACCCCATAATTAATACCCAGCAAAGTCTTAATTTCTTGTGGTAAAAAGCTTGAAAGATATGCGCTATTGTAACGACGAAGAATAGTAATGCGAAGACGACTGCCGCGGCAAATGATGGATAAAAATTATAGTTGGCATCTACTATGATTAGCTGTCGATTTTCGGTGAGAAATCAAGGACATACTGCAAGCCGATTCGGGTACATAGCCATTTTTATCTGGCGTAACGTTAATACATGATGCTGTTGCAGATACAATTGTGGAAGCACTGCTAATTATGCTCGTCGTGGAAGACATGACTTCTAGGGATATGCATAACCTGAAAGCAAGTGGTATATTATAATCAAGACTGGATATAGATATGGACGACAACGGGACTCAAATTGGTTGTAAGCCTCATATATAGTTGTCATTTTGAAACAAGATCCAGAGGATAATATCATAGAGTATTTTTAGGACAAACTCAATTTTGACTCCGCCATGAAGCTCTCGTTATATGGGAGCCGCCATGTATTGAAGAAACGGTGAGACAGTACGTACTGCCATCATGATAAACGATCCAATCGACAGGACAGCTTCACTGAAAACCCCAGCGACTTGTACATGATCCAACGCATTTCCGACATGTGAGGAACTCGTCACCAAGGATGATAAATGAGTGAAGGATGAGACCAACTGGTTTTCACGTAAATATGGAGAGTAATGAGAACCGTTGCGCTGGCGCAGAATAAACACAGCCTGGCCAGATCCACATATACCTATGAATTGTCCAATGAAAATTCGCCAATTTGGAGCACTAACTCTTCGACTTGGCATCTTTCACACGTGATTCATGTAACCACTTTGAAGCATTTAGAGATAGTGAGTGAGGGAAAATGATTCGAAACTTGTTCATCGATAAGAAGTCATGAAAATCGATAGCCCCCGAGTGAAGTTGTTGCCGATAGCGTCGTTAAAACACCAAATGTACTGGATGCTTCTGAGAGCACGTGTTGGCCCTCCATGCCGAGCAATTCCAAAATCCTCCCCTTTTCGTCTGCAGGTAGAAAAATTTAGACATCAAATCTGACATGAAAAGATAACTAGATTCTTTGTAAACGCCAGGGAAACACTTTTCGAAGCCCCCAAATCTTTGGAAACTCATAAAATAAGGGATGGCACAGAACCTTGAATGCTAAATTTCGGTTTGTCCTCCCAAGAATTTTCCGAAGAACAGACGTCGCTTTCTACCGAGGTCTCATCGTATAATGAACCATACCGGAGACTGGTTGAAGTGTGCATCGTTCCACGAATGTTCCTATTTCTGTTCTTGTACTTCTCTAGGTAGGTAGAAAAGGAATTCGGGTAATTTGAGAAGGCTTGGATGGTATTCATACAACAGAAAAGGCTAACACGTTCAGAGCCTAAGAAAGATGGCTTCTCCTAAACACCACACTAAAGAAGTAGGTCGACACAAATGCGGCATTTTGATCCTTGAAATTTTGTATATACGAGCAACTCTAGACCTCCAAACATCTCAACCAACAAACACGCATAAAAACCCTACCTCTCGAGCGTGGTTTCACATATCGTGAGACCATTACCAAGAAACGTCAAAAGTGTGAAATACATACGAACCATTGATCTTCTCATAGAAATATCAAACGGTAGTTAGAAAGTAAAGTGCGAATTAAGCTTCTGTACCAAGCTTTATTGCCAAGCCGGGAGTTACTTTGACACATGAAGATTGACTGGATTTCTCAGGGATGCTAAGGTCGGAGTGTGAGATAGGGGTCTACTACCGATGGATTCTAGAAGCAGGGTCTTGGTGTATTCATCAGGATGCAGACGTGAATTGGATTTTGTTGTAACATGATATATATTTATATTCAAGCGATTTACGACTGCTGCTAGTCTTCGATCCTTTGTGGTAGATAGGTAGGTAGATAGGTAAAACAACTTGTGATATAGCTACTAGGTATATGTATAGTTATATACTTACACATAACCAGCATCCCTACCAAGTAAGTACTACCAACGAAGGAGCATCTCAATTTAACATCAATACCAGCACCAACAATACACTATTAAGTATTCCATTCGATCATAGTCCTCCGCAACAAATATTATATCTTCAAACACCAACGTTGACTACCAACCACTTATCCACCACACACCATACCAAATTCAGTTCTCCAACCCATCAGTCTAGCTAACTAATATACATTCAGCTAGACAAATCATGCATCACCCCGCAACTCGGCCACCAAACGAAATTGCTCGAGCCTAATTCACACCCTGAAATGTATCGTACCTTCCTCCTCTCCTCCCTAGCCTCAATCGACATCCAATCATCGTCTTTGACAGACATATCTAGCCAAATATTCACGTAAGATCTCAATTTCAAAAAGTAAGGGTCTTTTTGGGTACCTACCTAGATGAGTACCACCATAAGCTTCGTTTCATTTCATAGAAACCGAAATTTCTCAGCCTTCATACTAGGCACTTCTGTACGAGGTCTGAACTAGGGCTGAGAAAGCATTCTTGCTTAGATCCTTTTTTGAATGAAGTGGGTTTGTACTCGCTACCTATTCATATATAATGTGCTGAGGATGACCTGTATTATATTTTGGTCTGGAATCTGTTCTGATTGAGGTTTCTTTTCTGTGTTACATAGGAGCTATTTACTACCTACTTTTACTTGCTTTGCTTTCCTACTTTTCATATTCACTCGAACTTTGTCTATTCCAACATTCTCTCCATCCAATTCGGTTCGGGGCTCAGCCTGTCTGTTTGCTCTTTTCTATTACCACTCTATATCTGCTCTCTACGAGGTTACTGCTAGATCAATACAAGCACCTCCAAACACCCAGTCAACCTGCTCGACTACAACATCTTCGAACCACCTCTGTCTATTCGACTGAATCACACAGTTCGAGTCACATCTCAACTCTGAACACTGCAGTCAACAACCACATCTTACCCATCCTACCTCTCAATAACCATTCATCACTTCCCCTCCCTATCCCAAAAATGACCGCCCCGTACACCGACTCCCCACACATCACCAAAATCCCCCTCGAAACCATCTCCAAACTCTCTCCCTTCTCCGGTCTCATCCTCTCCATAATCCTCATCCTTTACTTCCTCATCCGCTACTACCTCTTCGAGCCTCTCCTCCTCCCCTACATCTATGGCTCCACCTTCACAACCATGCCCTTGGGCTCTGCGCTCCGTTCCGGCTTCGTCAACCACCACATCGCCGGCCTCACAAAGATTCTCATCCTAGTTCTCGCTGCCTATCCTTTCATCTCCGTCACATTCCTGACCAGCTCTCTACATTCCCCATTCGCGCCAGGAAGCGAGACCACAATGGGAGATGTACTTATCATCGCCGCGCAAATGTTAATCGCAATGTATATATTCGAGTTACTGTATCGACCGAAGATCAGTCCAGTGAGTGTGGGACATCATATTGGAACCATTTTAATTGGCCAGAGTGCTATTGCGATAAGTTTGGACTTGGTAAAGGAGAGGGATGCCACGATTGAGTTTATTTTGTGTACGGTCTGGGGTATGTTTTCTTCCCCTACACATCTCCACCCGAATCTCCAACTCCCTATCTCTTTGCAATCCACTCCCTCTCTACCTCAATCCACTAACACAACCCCTCCTCCTCAAAGGAGCCTTCGACATCCTCTCTGAGTTTCTCCCCCACCTCACCATCATTCTCTACCGCTGCAACCCCACCTCCCACGCTTTCCTCCGCAAAATCTTCCGCATGGCAGCGATCACCACCTTCACTGGCACAATCGCCGAGACAATCGTCACGATGTTTCTCTTTGGAAGTTTGTGGAATCGATGGACATTAGCGTTTAAAGTATCCACGCCTTTGTTGCATGCGGTGTTTATGGCGGCGCAGTTGTGGGGGACGTGGAATTTTGTGGGTTTGTATAGACGTCAGGGGGTTTTGATGAGGGAGAAGGAGAAGAGGGATATGGAGGAGGGAAGGGGGGCGGATGAAATTGGGGAAGAAGGGAATAGAAATGGGGAGAGAGATATGAGTCAGACTGATGTTGAGAGACAGGGAGAGAGAGAATGTGCTGGGAGTGAGAGGAGAAAGGGAGTTATGGCGACAGGTTGGAGTCGGATCCGGGGAATGATCCGAGTTTGAGGGAAGGAAATATTTCTTTCTCGAATGGTTTCGTGATATATGTGAGAGAAATACATACAGCGAGGAAAAGGTAAAGAATATGGTATTGGTTGTGAAGGTATCAGGCGTTAGTTACATCGAGCATTTTGGTATTGGGTATCGCATAGCGTTTGGTGTGGAGTTGGAAGACAGATGGATCGATGATTCATCAATTGCATGTGTAAAATAGATCATAGACAGAAACAGACTGGTATGATAGACAGAAAGACAGATAGATGAAGAATAATGAAGTATATTGATTGAGCTAGCTTATTGACCTACCTGCTAGAAGCCGCTAAGAAGCGTACGGAGATACGATGTTTTGTAAGCCAGAGAAGCTGCCAGCAGCCCCAGCAAACTCAAGACAAACATCATATATACCGCTCACTCCCGCACATTGTAGATCTCCTACAGTCATCATCCCCATGCCGATTCTATCCAACCTCATACCAAAAACCTCATATAAAACTTCATATCCTATGCAGAAACCAAATTAGTCTCAACATTCTTCCAAATCTCATTCACGAAAATTGTGTGATAAAAGAAAAGAGTTAAAAAATAAATCAGAAGCTGAACGCGTTCTCAGCAACGACAACTTGTGTCTCTGAGTGAGCTGGGTATAACGTATGTGTTGATCATCATTTTATTTTTTGGGTTTGAGGGAAAAAGGTGTGGGTGAGATGGATTGGGGAAAATAGGAGAGGAGAGGGAACGTACGGTTGTGATTGAGGTGGAGGCTGAGGGCTGAGCTTTGGAGATGAAGATGTGGTTAGTTATTGTAGTTTCGCGCGCAGAGTATGCGGTGAGGTGATTGGTGATTGGTGATTGAATGGATGTAGATGGATGGATTTTGCGCTGTACTTGAGTATGCCCGACTTGATTGAGTTCTCGACTGATCAATCATTGATCATTAACCATTAATCATTTATCAATCGATCCATCGCTCAAAGCAATGAAGGCAGATAGCTTCGTCGCCATGATTGGGTGTGGTGAAGAAAAATTATTGCGCAGAAATAGAAGCTTGAGCTTTGGAGAAATAAATACATGGTGGAAAATTTGGAAAACGCGCTAGAAGGGTTTGGGATTAGTGTGTTTGTCATGGTTATGATTCTGGTGAGGGGTGTGGATTGGTAAATTACTCGGTGTACGCCCTGCTGGCAGAGAGGAATATTAGATGCTAGGTACTTTATCACCTATCACGGCATAGTTACCGGGTAATATTTGCATTGTGAAATATTGACGGTAGTTCTCACGATTTGATGGTTCATAATGCAAAGTAAAGTAAAAGGTTAAGGATCAGAGTTTCTTTCTTTCGATTGCTCAAGCTAAACTATTCAATCCTTCCATCCATTCATCCATCTTCTCTTATTCTCGTTCTTCGTTCCCAAATCCATGCTTGCTGTAGGAGCAGTTTCATACCATATCGTATCGTATCATTATAATAATCATTATTTGTCTAAAGGGGCGTATATCATTCAGTCATAAAGGAGTCTGTTTCCGCTGTTAGTATGTGATTCTGGCCAATGTGTGTTGGAAAAGAGAAATGCAACTCACGTAGTAATTACAAAATAAAATTCGTCAAAAGATTCATCGGCTTAAGCTTGAGCGTTATCGGCTTCGCGCTTGTAGTTGTCGTAAGTACCGTAGGAACCGTAGTTTGTGTAGCCGGTTGGGGTGGGAGTTGGGGTTGGGGTGACGGTGGTGGAAGAGGTGGAGGCGGAGGGGTAGTTTTCGTAGTTGCCGTCTGTTTTTAAAAGAAGAGATGGTTAGTAATGCGTATTGAAATGGGATTGAGTGGATAAGATGTAGTGGGAAGGAGGGATGAGATAGTAATGTAGCGAGGAAGTTCACGGACAGTTGCCGTAATCACCATCTGAGTGAACAGATTTCAAAGTCGGCATTGCTCAGGTGAACCCTTGAGACAATTGAGGACATATGAGAGTGCGAGCATGGCTTAAGGAAAGAGAGATCGAGAGTGGACTTACAGTCACCGTAGTCACCATAGTTTCCATAGTCTTCTGGGTTGGCTTCTGGAGCACGTGCCTTCTTGTTCTTGTATGCTCCGTCTGAGAAGAATGATTAGCCGATGGTCATGTGTATGATGCGTGTTACTTACAGTTGGCGTATGTGCCATAACCGGTTGGAGTTGGAGTTGGCGTAGCTGATGAGGAGCTTGATGACGAGCTGGAAGGGGTGGCGGAAGGGTAGTGTTCGTAGTTACCATCTAGAATCATCATGTTAGTACTGTATTAGAATGACTCCTGATATACGAACAGTTTCCGTAGTCACCATCTATTGGAGGTTGGGTCAGCATTTCATAGTCATAAATCCAAGATTCCAGAGAAAAAATTGATTTGAACATGAAGCCTATGAGATGTATTGGATTTGATGAACTTACAGTCTCCATAGTTTCCGTAGTCAGCACGCTTTTCTACTGGAGCAGGCTCTGGTGCGGCTTCTCTGACATTCTTGTTCTTGTAGGTACCGTCTACGAAATCATTAGACTGTGGACTCAAAAGATGTGATTGATGTGTCTACTTACAGCTGGCATAGCTACCATATCCAGTTGGTGTTGGTGTTGGGGTAGGTTTGACGGAGGAAGAGGATGGGTATTTCTCGTATGTTCCATAGTTTCCGTAATCACCATCTAGAAATATGCATTAGCACTCTACTCCAAGGCCATCATGAAGGTAGTCTTACAGTTACCATAGTCCGCTGGAGAAGCATCAGCTTTGGCTTCTGGTTGAGGTTCTGCAACAGGTGCAGCGACAGCGCCAACAGCGGCGAATGCCAAAAGCATGATAAAGTCTCTTGAGAAAAGCATATTGAATATGATTTGATTGTAGTAAAGAGATTGGGAATGATAGAGAGAGATATGAGTAATAGAAGAAGAGAGATGATGGTTGATGAGAATAATGATAAAGTATCGTGGGGTGATAGATCTTAAATAACTTCAGGATAATACCAAACGTCTAGAGTCTAGACATCCGCGTCAATGTATTGTCAAAAATATCTATCTGGATACATCTTACCGAAACAGGTGATACTTTCACCCACTTAAGAAAAGTATCATAAGTATCTATTCTTGGCAACATGTCATTCAATCGGTCAAGTTGTAACTTTCTTAATAGGCACGATATTACTCCCACGTCATGATACTTGGGAAATTCCCACTCGGGCTAACACACCGACATTGATGCTGATAGCTATTCAGCGACACAGCAACCTAAAGACGTGATAGAACTCGGAAGCAAGGAGTACGAGACCAAGTAGATTCATCCCATCCCGCACACTGTACGTACGGGGAATATCAGCCCACCAACTCAGCTTCTGAATACCTACGTATTACTATCGCGGCATCGCTTAATTCGTATCTGCATAGCCACTTGGCTAATGGTACATCTGGGTCTTGCGGAAAATAATGTCGCCGCAGCGAACATTCGTAGAATGCCATCAGTGGAAGGCTTATGTGAGGTTGGAATATGGTGGAATAGACCAAGGTTGCATAGAAATTGCGGGGTCTAACAGTTTAAACTCGTGTTAGGTGGCTCGTATCTTTTGATGATCTACGTTCAGGTGATTGATACGAGAACGCAAGAAGATCCATTCTTTCTGATCTTGGCATTCTGGAACGACCGGATAATTGGATATCTTTTCGATTGTGGAGAAAGAAAAAATAAGATCAGATATAGTAAAATGCTTATTACTTTGACTTCTCATGTTATCGAGAATGTTGAGGGTAGCACGGTAGTTACTAGGTATGGAGAGTATGAAGGGTGTGAAGGTTATCTAGGGTATCTAGTCTAGGGTAGTTCTAGTGTGAAGAATACGAAAAAGGGTGTTGTCAAAAAACCTTACGTTGACGTGAAAAGTCGTGAGAACCGGTGCAAAGCTCGTTTGACTTGTTAGCTTCTCGACCTATGTACCTAGATAGGTACAGTAGTCACAAACCTTGGAAGTGAAGTGAATTGAAGAAGTATATTTAGAAACAAGAAACAACACCGCCAAGTCAAACTGACAACACAATGTAAAAGAGGATTAGCTGTCGGACCCTATTTTCCCATCTTTCCAGCATATCCGACACTAAATGAAGAAGCGATGTGTACGAGGTACCCTACCTGGGTATAAACATGATCCCTGAAAGATACCCGCAGCCCGCAGATTTCCCCACTAAATAGTGATTTGTCGATCAAGTTACCGGGGGGTGCAGAGTCACCTCGAATTCTCAAGTTCTCAAGTTCTCAAGTTCTCAAGTTCTCAACGTGCTTGCTTCCTTCTACGACTACCGGTGTCTCTTACCTTTTACACCTTACCATATCTCACCATACCGGTATCACTAAGCCTTCATCGTTTTTTCCCACATTCATACATCGGTTCCACTTCAACCACCGAACCAACCTCGTACAGCACAACACAAGTTAAGTCTATCAATAAGTCTTGGAACATGCGTCATGAGTCTTTTCCAATCTGGTGTCATGTTTTCTTCTTATCAAATCGGATCATTACTTCCATTCGATAGTCTAGGGCTCAATTGAGTTTGACTAGACATCTGGGACTAAAAGTATTTGAACGACCTAGATAGATACTTGGATGGCGAAATCGCTGATCAAGTCAAACAAACAAACCCTTTTCCTAACCTCACTCCATTCATCTCCTCTTTTTCATTCAAAGTTAATTTGTATTTTCATCTGATATCGTCGGATACTGTGTGTATACTGTCGAATGATCCATCGTCGTCCAAGATATCCTTCCTCTTGAACTTTGAATTGTACCCCACCATATCCATTTATCGATATGTCTTATTCTCCATTCACAGACAAGTACAATCAAGTACCTCAATCAGAAGATGGTGAGGGCTTACTTTCGAATCCCGAGCCAACGTATAAGCCTACATCCAGAAGAAATGGCACCATTTGGTACATGTTATCACTGCCGGTAGTATCATTGTTGTCAGTTGGATTCGGTATATGGATTGGTTCTCGATTTGTAGCGGATACCGCGAAATTATGTCCTAGTTATGTGCAACATTACTGTATGACCCAGCATTCGATCCTCTCATCTCTTGTTCTAATGTGAAAATAGCTCCTATTTTGAATGATATCGATACATCATATCAGCCAGTGATGTTCAATGGATCATTCATGAAAGAAAATGCGTTCCGATTAAAAGCAGGCCCAGAAGTGGATGCAGCATGGGGAAGCTTGGGAGTACATTGTAAGTACTATTGTATATATGAGTCAATTGACTCGATCAAAGCTAATTATCCATAGATCGAAGTTTCGCATTACCAGCGAGTGAAGCAGAGAAATCCGGATTGACATCTGCTCATGTCCAAATCAATGAAAAATACGGAGGAGGATTCCCGGTCAATTTGGAAGGACTACATCACTTACATTGCCTCAACCTTGTGAGACAATCTCTATACTATAACTACGATTATTATCACGATCAAGGAAAAGGAGCATTCGTGAATGATGATAATGTCGTTCAATACCACGTCTGTAAGTTTATCTCCAATTTACTACTTCATCACAAACCATTCCAATCCACCTCCATAAATACCTGTATCGCAATATATCCTAACACTCTCCAGCCCACTGTCTAGATATCATCCGCCAACAACTTATGTGCCAAGTCGACACCGGCGTCCTCGGCCAAGTGTGGTGGGATAAATCCAAACCACAAGCATTCGTAGATTTCAACACCGAGCACCAATGCAAAAACTTCGATGCCATAAGACAATGGGCAGAGGACAGACAATTACCTGCAGGTGGACCACCGGATTTTCTACAGAGACCGAAGGAGAGTGATGTTCTAGAGAGTATACCATAAGGGTGAAGGGTTAAAAGAGAACGACTGAATAAATGATGTATGAATCGGATGAGGTTGGTCTGGGCTGGGCTGGATTGGGTTAAATATGGTGTTTGGAATGGGTAGGTAGGTATATGGATCCAAATGGATTGGATCTTTGGAGTTAAATAGTCGAATGTAGTATAATCTCAATGTAATATTCAGGAACTACCAAGCACCACTTGTTACTGTTGGTAGATATCTCCAGTGAGATTTGATAAATATTGATTTACTTAAGCACATTCATTTTTATTCCTCATTTCATCTTCATAATAGACTGTTATTCGTCTCATCTCTCCCTTGCGCAACTCATTGATTCCCTAGAAAAGAGGGTTTTGCATACCTATCTAATTACTCAGCACTCCTGATACTACCACATCAGGAAAATTGATCAAAGACTGCTCGATATTACTACTCATTGAAAATCTAGAAAGGTCGGGTAGTCCTTCAATACCAGATTCTATATCCAGCGAAGCTATTCACCACAGCTTCATATGGTAGCACTGTATCAATCGTAGTACTGTATCAATCATACGATCCTGATAGTTACACCCAATTGTTAGGGATATTTACATCCGAGTAATCTTCATGTGCAATGCTTTTAACGACACAATACCTAGATTTTCATGTGCGATTTGGCTCTCATTCTTATCTTATTATATTCTATCTATCTAGCTTGGTATGGTAATTCTTAGGGTTAGAGTATAACTTCTTGTTTGCTCAAATGAAAGATGTTTTGTTGTTACTTCTGCTTTGGTTGGTTTAGAGGGGAATCAGCTATGAGTTTAGCCCTCTCGTCGCGGTCATAAAGGATCATTCTCGGCACGTCTCAACTCACCTTCCATTTTCTTTATTTTGTTACGAGTAGCACGGTTTCTCTGCGGGAGGGTCTGTTTCCTGTTTATCATTCTGTGACTTTGGTGGTTGTTGTGGTGGTCGTTCATGGGATTTGCTTCGATCTTGGCCTTTCCCTCCTGTGCTCTTGCCCGCTTTGGATCTGGGTGCATTACTATTCATGATGTATAGAAATTCGAATAAATCTGAACGACTCTCTTGGATTGATAGAGATGTATATGTATGTATGGAACAAAGTAAAGGAAATTGTCTTCCTTTATCTCTTATCGGGTTGGATGTAAATTTGTAAGAGAAGATCTCGTAGTTGATATCTGGATGATATGACGATAATGAAGAATTCGAGGGAGATTTAATTGAGTTTTGAGTTCATTCAAGTGACGGATATATGCTCTATATATAAGATGGTGATTGCAGTAACGTGGCCTCTATCATGGGTGGCAATTGGTGATTTGCAGGTGGTACCTTGAGGCCGAAGACCAACATACTGATTCCGCGGACCGTGAGGACCGAATATCAGACCTAGAATATGGTAATGCCAATGTTATTTGGTTTCTTTCTTGTAATTGTTCTATTAATGGTTTTTCTGGGGTGTTTGTTGGGGTGTGATGGGGATTGTTTATGATGTTGTATATTTATTTATAGGAGAGTACCTAGGTACCTCGCGACCGGGAAAAAAAGCTGGACACCAAAATTCTACACCTTAATCAAAATTTTATATCAAAACGAAATTCAAAGGTTTCATTTTGAAAAGGGTTGTTTATTTATAATTCATGAAAGAATAAATCTATCTCTTCAGTATGAACGAAAATTAATGGTTGGCTGTTATTTGCTAGGGTTTGATATCATTAGTAGGGAGTTTGTTAGGTGGTGGGTGGTTCGGTCAGATGATAATAAAGTGAAAAGTACTCATGGTTTCATATGGTACGTTATTGATACGAATCAAGTTGAGAGATTTTTGCTATGTGGTAGTATCATTGTCGAATTCATGATCATAGTGCGAGTACGTGCTAGTTATTAGAAAAAGTCTGCCGACCACTCTAGAGGAGCGTGGTCGGTAGGACTAATTTGACCTGTAGCGACCCTCGTAGACGAGTGGTTGGTTGTATGTATTGTGAATAGTTAGCCGACAGATAAATGTTTCTTTTTCTTTCTTTTTTGGGGGAAGGGGGGAAACTAATTTATTTATATTGGTATTTGGAAAGAAGTTCTAGTAAGAGATGATCTAGAAGCTAGTTTAATAGAGATTCAACAATCGAATCGAAAGACTTAAGTCTTTAGTTGGCTCATACGACGAGTTAAGTTAATGGATTTTCTGTCTTATATTCATTTAACTTATTTAAAGTAGAATCCAATACAATTTCGTCCCTCTTATGATAATTATTTACATCAAGCTAACTAATTTTTTAATTCTTTATATTTTCTCATCGTCCGCTCGATTCCAATATTTTTATACTCTTCTTCTGTTAGATAACGAAGATTTTCGCAGAATTCCTGATCTTGCCGAATCTTAGTATCCTTCTGAACCTCCTGAACCTCCGAACTTATATCGAATTCTCCCGCCTTACGGACTACATCCCGTGCCTGCTCCGCCAAATTTTCATCCCATCTGCCGTCAGGTGTTACATCGATCAATAATCTTTTTATTTCCTTTTTCGCATTCATGCAATCCTCAAACTTTTTTTCGAAAATTGCATTCCACTTTGCTACGATGACATCCATTTCGACGCAAAGGCCTATCCCTATAGATTTATCATACTTCTGTAATATCTTCCCGTAGGCTAGTCGAGACTCTTCTTCAGTCGGGCCTTTCTTTGGTTTTTCCATCGGATTGGAACCTAGTAATTGCTTTCTGTTGTGAGGACCACGGGAGCTTGAGAGAATGGTTGTGGAATTGCTTTTTTCATCTGATCGACGTGGTCTACGTGGTTCATGGGAGCTGCTTGGGGGTTGTTTTTCATCTTTTGAGGGCTGGTCTCTTTTTCCTGGGGGTTGGGAGCTGCTGCTTGAAGGTCGACCTCTTTCTCGCGTGTCTTGTGGGCTCAACTTCCCATGATAATTCTTGTCTCTGGATCTTCTGGGCGCACTACTACTCATGATGTACACTAACACGGATAAATTCGAGCTGTTTTCTTGAACTTATAGAGATGTATGGAAAAGAGTATAGAGAATCACCTTCCTTATTTCAGATCGGAATGATAGTATAAGAAAAAAGTTTAGAACTGAGATTTTAATGTGTAGTTATAAATGATCCGATTATAATCTAATCGAGTTCAAGAAGATATCTAGTGTATGTGCCCCTTATATAGAATTAGGATTTTAGTCACGTGTACTCCATTATAGACAGCAGAAAACAATCTTGAGGCAGAAGTCCAACAGTACATGTTCCTCAGACTTTGAGGACCGGAAATCAGGCCTAGAGTATCTAGATGCCTAGTTGTAAACTCTTTGCTTCTTACATATACATTCTTGACAGTTTCTCAGATATTTAAATTATAAATCAAGAAGTAAAAAGCCTTTCAATATATCAAATATCTTCTTGAATCAAAATGTTCATGTGATATATTATCAGTGTAGGCAATAGTATACTATAGTAAAACCATGGCGTGTATTAATATATTAATATTGCAGTTAGTATGTTTAGAAAGAAGGTTATATTATTCTTGTATATATTTATAACTATATCTAAAGAATATTAGTAATATATTGAAATACTGGGATTCAATATAAACTATCTATTTTATGTCAAATTAGGCTAGAAATAAAGAATCTTAATTCGATTTAGAATAAGAAATGGAATTTTATTACCTAATATAGATAGGAATGTATATTTTATATTGAATTCAAGTATTTCAGTATATTGCTAATAATATCGAAAGTTTAAATAGTATTGAATATCTTTAGTGGTATTGAATTCAATATCACGTACGTACATATTTCGAAAAAAATCGATACGCACCACTAAACTAGCCCGTATACGAAATACGGGAAATACTATTGCCTACACTGGTGCATCAGTTAGTATGTTGGTGGAATGATACCTAGAGTATAAGAGTATATTGAGATGTGACGGGGAGGTTCGCGAGGAAGTTTCGTCAGCATCCACGATATCAGCGAGCTTGAATGTCCAACCCCAGCCTTCTTCGTAATAATTACATACAACTGTAAGAGTCACGGCCACGACTACACAAGTCATGGCCGAGGGAGCTATGGTTGTACTAGGCGCAGTGGCATTGATGGCAGTAGTAGAAAGTGTCGAAGAGGTCAACCCAGAATAGCGCGAATAGTACAATACTTCGGATGGAACTTATGAGCGAAAAGTTGTCTGCGAGAGCTTCACTGAATCAAGGTAGCTTCCATCCATCAACGCTCACAGATGGACTGAAATTTAGCTGCGATGTAGTCTCCGTACCTAGGTATCCAGTTGTAGATAAGTAAGCGAAATTCTAGCATCTTCTTAAACCACACTGCAGTTATCCCCGCTAGCGACTAGGTAAAAACTATCGCAGGTAGACGACGTATCGGTCTGATACGGTATTGATGTTGTGATGGTTGTGGTAAGTAAAGTCATGCATCACAGAGAATAGGTGGCTGAATTCGTTAGAAGGTTGCAGTCCATTCTTCTCATTGCCGAGAAGTCCACTTGCACACGATAATAGAAATAATGAAGATTTCAATCATCTCCCAATAGCTTAGTCGAGGGGTCCTCCCATTTCAGTAGTCCTATCACGCAGAATGCGGTGAGTTTACTACCCTGTTCCTCGAATAATTCTTCACTCATACCATGAAGTTTTTTTTTGGTGGTGTATGTTATGTCATACGATTGCTGATCCCAAAGATTACAATCAGTCGTGGAGCTGGGGATCGCTAAACCATCAGGTGTGACTACCTAGGTAAGCACCAACGCAACAAGGTAAAAGAACCGATGGTCAGGTATAAAAATTTCCTGACTGCATATTGTAGAAAGTTCAAGCTACCTTTGAAAGTCGGATATTATGTTGAAGCGCATAATACACCAGAATCTGTAATTATCTAAGATTCAGTCGGTATATGGATGGCTGGACCCTAGACTCACGTTGATAGCATATTGCCGGGTAGAAAAGATGACAGCAGGGGAATTACGGGTGTGATGGTAGCATACACTAGTCAAATAATACGCACACCTAGTACATGCCACTTTCCATAGGGTATCTCACTTCCGATTCAACTCCAAATGAAGTTATGGTTCGGCTCGTATGATGTTCTGACAAGACAAAAGACTGCAGTATTGGATTCTAGGATTTTAGATCAGGCTTCCTAAATTAGTGATCTTGTCCGGTGAATAATGAAGTGTTTCCGTAACATGCATTCGCTTGTGGCGGGGAGAGCAGAACTAAGCCCCCTGAAAGTAGATACTTTTACTAAAGGGATGGGTTTCGTTGGATAGATCCAAGATCGACCGGCATAATTCTTCAACTTCTCCTTCCGCATTCGATATGCTCACAATTAATACCGTTGAAGGAATGTTAATTTTAAAATGAATTGGATGAGTTTAGACAGTACTTTAGTTCGTGGACTGGAAAATTCGGATATATGTCGCATGAATGAGTAAGCCTGGTAAAATCTGCGAGACACGGTTGGTCTTGGAAGGAGGGTGAGATCCGATAAGGTAATCCAAAGCAGTACTCACTTCATTGCTAGGCGTATTGTATGATGGTGATGATACTGTCATTCTTCATACAGCTTCTGGGAATGGATGTATGATTTTATCAGTCTCTAAAGAAAATCAATCCGAGGAATGAAAGTATGGCAGAGGTATTATAAAGACTCAAGGAATAAAGAAAGTAAACGGTGTAGGCGCTCGACAGGCAAAAGTATGGTTGGCAGGTATCAGATCCCATCGATAGTATCTTATTTACATACTCGAGTGACTTATGTAGCGATATTGTTTCGTTCTTTCCTCCCGCAATGGAGCTATCAGAATCCCGTGAGACCTCGTCTGCTGTGAGCTTACAAACAGGGGGTAAGGGAAAGGCAAACCCCTTCAGTGATCTTCCGAAGCAGGGTCACATTAGCCTCTAAAGCACACAGATTACAAAACTTGGTAAAATCATACCGAAAGACCCTCGACCGGGGCTGGTATCATTACACTTCTCCACAGAGTACCGTGCCGACTCTGCATTTGTTACCAAAAATTGAGACCCAATAAGATCCTTCAAGCAATTGTGGAAGTCACATCAGCTGAAAAGTTTGCTGTGCTCAGAAAGTGTCAAATTCTGGGTTATACTCTGAGGTCATGTATGTTTACAAATGCGGGTCTATAAACATTTTCTACACTTACCACACTCATTGCCACATAGCTCACTCATTGCTTGTTCCGTCGTTCAGCCATTTCATATCAATTGCTGTCAAATATTATCACCTTTGTGATCAGATAAAACCGAATCTGGCAAGTAAATCCCCCATCAAATTTGCTAAAATCGTTGGGCAACAATAAACTGTCGATTATCACCTTACACAGTCCAATGTTATAATGATCAATCGTTTCAAGTGAAGCTAGATCTGCTCTATTCGTTACAAAAAAAACAGTACTATTTAAGCACGATTTTTATCAACCGCCGGGAATCAAGAGCGCTTGATACAAGAATCAAGCAGTCATTTGGGAAACAATCGCCGGTATCAATTTTCACATAGGACATTTTCTGCCAACTCTACAGTCGCACCAAGTTCCTTTCCGAATCCCGCTTTGATCTTAGCTGTCTTCTCTCGATGGCACCGCAATTAAAAACCACTGGCATCTACAGTTCCCTGTTCATTGCCACATTCTTGGAGTACTGTCATTTCGATCTATCCTCTCAAAACTGCTACCTTCAAAAACTGCCCCACGTCAGCTGCGCGAAAAGGATTGCAATACGTTGAAGAGGAAACAGTCATAAACACTTCTGCTATTTCATTTTGTTCATACATAGATAATCCAAGACATTTACTATATATTATATACTACGGGATCTGGATATTCGGTTTAAGAGCGAGCTAGGCCAGATATGCGGATTCACTTCCCACTTTCTGCGGGGTTGTTGAACTTTGGGCATATAAAAGTGGCGTGTAGTATAGCTAATCTGTCTTCATGATTGAGGAAAGTGAAGAGATGATCGCCTTAGGAGTACTGACAATGCTACTTTTCAATAAGTGAGACGATGATATAATGCCTGAACTATCATACTAGCATGCACAACTGAAGAATTAAATTCAGTTTTCTTCTAAATTGTCTCACTTTTTACGTGAACAGCCAGTGATTGTCAGCTTTCTACCTTCACTGTCATTTATGTTCTAACATCAGATAGATGTCTAAGGAAAAGAACAAACAGATGAGCACCAAATACCCTTCTGCTATGAGTTATGCAAAACCAGATTTAAATAATGGATTCCCAGCAGTATACACATGGGACTTTTGGATATCGCTGGTCTGAATTGGAGTATTGAGAGACTTTACATGCATAAACATGACCTTTTATGATTTGTGTGAGTCTATACACGGTTTGGGTTAGAGTCCGTATCAGTGAGCTAATTTCGATATCTCTATACGGGTCTATATTCACTCATCAACAGATCTACTCTACCCCTCATTTTCAGACTCTATCGAGAGTTTGTAGGTAACATCTGAGAAAGTGGTAGTGTGCCGCTGTACCAATCAAAGTCGGAACCTACTATAGGAATATGTGTCCGGTTGAGTTTTGAGCTATCACTATTGCTGTCGCTCTCATTTCCTCATTGTCTACATTCTTCGATAACTCGCAAAATGTGATTTTTGTTAGCATATCTTTCTTTTGGGAAATATCCGACGAGATGAATGTTGCTATATCACCCGATTTGGCAATGATATTAATGAAACTATAATATCGTTCAGAAAAAAACAGTCTTCAGATCTACCAAAAAGAAAATAAGAATTCTCAATTACGATCAATCACAGATACCGAAGAAATCGGATAAGATTTTTCACCACGCAACAGAACAGTCTTTACAGCTGTTTGTATGTATGAACATTTTTCCCTTGAATAACCACAACTTTCCCACCATCACCCAATTTTATACTCCGAGACTCCATACTCAAAACCAAAAACCACACTCGCCAAATTTCCAGTGTAATTGATAGCCACAAGCCACAACCCCCACATAACCGAACCAATACCCCACCTCAACGGATCCTCTACGTGGGGTAGGTAGGTAATTAAATAAAAAACACCATCCAGACAGAAATCCGTATCCCAAAATTGCTCACAAATGATCCCCTCATATAAGTACTTCACTTTCGAAAAAACAAAAAGACAGTATGAAGCCTGTGGGGTTCGAACCCACGCATCTTTCGATAATGGTGTACCTTGAAGGAACTTAAGACCATCGCCTTAGACCGCTCGGCCAAAGCTCCCTACGCTGTCGTATGTTTTGAGTTCATCGAAATTAATTAAATTAATATACTTATATAATATTATTTGATGGAAGGGTTGATGATTTTTAAATCCATATGTAAATCAACGATAACGAGGGGGAATCTTCGGATTGAATTAATAGGTAGTTTTGGTTATTAGGGGTTTCGGTTATGAATCGAATAGGTTGATGAGATGCTCTCTGCGCCAATAGAAATTATTAATTCGGAAATCGAGGAGATAGTAAAGTACAAAGCACTTGAGTAAGTAGTAAGCCATTTTGAAAACTAATTGTATCTTGTTATTTCTTTCTTGATTTACCAGTGTAGAAAGTACATCTCGAATATAATATACCCACTAGTTGTTTCTTGATCTAGCTTTATCAGACTTCGTTCTCCGCTACTAGTATAGATGCCAAATGCAAAGTTGTCGTTTCCGTTTATCGCTATGTGTATAGTGAGAATATATATGTACAAGTCCTATTTACCGAATTCTATCAGAGCAGAATTTACATCAAAACACAGTATCCAGATCGAAGCCATCTTATAGTGGTCATTATGGAATACACATGTTTATTGATGTAATCTTCTAGATGAATATCTTCTATGTACTTTTCTCTACTAGTCATTTAAACCCCCCCAATCTCCTCGAATGGGGCTTCTAAATGTAATGTGTAATTATCTCCAATCCTTTTATGAGCACAACAATACTTCCAACCTAGGCTACAAAACAAAATGTAACTAAGAAAAGTACAAAAAGACACCACCAAAACCACGGCATCTTGTTCGTTACTTTCCCCATCCAACTCTTCATCCAAAATATTTGAATATCATGATCTATGAATATTAATGTCACCAACCACAATACGAAAAGATCGACAAATATCCACTCGACATATACTAGGATGATTCCTAAGCCTAGAAAAGATGGTGGTTCAATTAGGCCTACAAGGACTGTTATTCCTCCGGTGATGACTGAAAGGAAATAAATGATTGTAAATTAGTTTTCTGAACCAAATTTCATTTTCGATCTCGATCCTGGCTTGGCTTTTCTGTAGATTGATTGAGACTGAAGTGTAAGTCTGGGATAGATCAATGGATGATGGTAATATGTCATAATCACTAGAGGTATCAGGAGATGTGTGCGCATCGGTGGAAGACTTCTTTCGTAGAGACGTCGCATCCGGAGGGGACGAGTATGCTTCTTTCAGGATATTAGTTCGTATCTGATCATGGGCATGATTGTGTACTTGCCATAAAAACTCAATAGCGGCAAGATCATAAGTGATAAGCCAAGTACTTGTCCGAATCCCCAATCATTTTCCTCCGAAAGCATAGCAGACATTGATTCGGATGAATCCAGATTGTCTTAAGAATTTGGAAGTTCTCGAATATTAAATATACGAACTGTGCCCCAAACAAGAGCAAAAGAGAGCCATCCCAGCTAACGATTTTAGTAAAGTGTTGTCAATGAGTGATGATTGTTCCGTACCTCCCATATCGTTGAATCAAAAGTCTGCCTACAGGCAAGAGATATTACATATAGAGATCGTAGAAGTCTATAGCTCCATTTTCGTCTTCCCATCCCATTTAACCTTGATCCTATTGATCTCATGTTCGTGATTCCGAGGCGGCTGGCTACCTTATCAAGCCATAGTAATTTAGCCGTCATTGTCATGACTTGACCAATACTTTCAAAGTATAATAACAATGCCCTTGTGGAGTAACTGAAAACTAGTATGATAAAAGCGAGTACAACATAAATCCAGTTGTACTGGATGTCTAGTAGATGATTTTGCCACATCCATGGAGTTTTTGGCCGAAAAAGACACCATGCTGGGAAACTCATTGGAGGACTACTTTTGGAATCCTTTGGAGATGCATCTATCACTTTTCCACTGACCCATCCAGCAGTATACACCATACACATTAGTATAACTACTAGAACTCCCATAGCAACTACGCGGATGACTTTGATCTTATTATTAGAGCGATTTTCTGCCCTTAAAGCTATTGATGTTAGTCCTTACACATTGAGACCTGATGACTCATGTTAGTCTTACCTGTGAGAGTTAGTATGTGTGTAAAGCTCGAGAACCAAGCAAGATTTAATACCGTTTGCCAGTGATAAGAATCAAGTCCCGAAGATAATTGAGATATTCCTGCTATGAGGACCGCGATCCCTAAAACGACTTGTTGGTCGCTGAAATTTAGAATTACATTTCCGAGGGCATACGACCAAAGATCCAATCTAGGTGTATCTTTATTTGGAGTACGAATATGGTCGATTCTAGCCTTGGCCACACAACATATTAAAGTGAGGTATACTGAAATAACAAATGTCAATATTGTCTGTAATACTTGTAAGTGAATTGAACAATAGACTAAAGTGACAACCAAAGAAATTCATCTGATCATACTCCGATACCTCCAATATCAGGGTTTGCTACCAAGGCCGGGTAGGATGTGCAATTCCACCCCTCGGCTTGCGTATCACCTGACGACATGCTGATTTATGTGTTGGACGATTTCATTTGCGAAGATAAAAAGCCAATTTGACAGCGCAAGCAAATATTATATTATACCTACCCTCCTACCCCAGATTTGAAAACGGGCTGAGAAGTGGTGAGAAAAAGTGTTGTGGTGGCCATGCAGTGGCATCCACGGCGCAGCAATCCTTCGCAACGGCATAACGAATAGAAAACCATTACCCCAAAATACGGCCAGGGTTATATTTTTAATCGACGAAACAAGGAATGATCAAATCGAAGTAACAAATGAGACGGGGGAATAATCTTCTTGGCACCACTCCATCCTATCATTTCTACCGAATTAAGCGCTGGTTTGGCATTTTGCGTGTGAACCCACATTCAGGGCCCTGGTGGGCTGCATGTAATATGTTCATGTAATATGTTAGAGTTTTGTACTGTTCGTGGAAACAAAAATCCATGCTACCTTGACCTCGATACAACTAAGTATGAGCGAAAGATAATGGAGTGGTATCAGATCCAAAAGGAGGATCAACTATTAGTCTGCGTCAGAGATGTCCATATATCAGACATTCAAAGGGGATTTCCCGCACATCTGAGGGTAATTCCCAAACTAGATATGCAACAAAAGCGCTGTGATTCTTCCCCACATGAGACTTGCAACAAATCGTCATCGCTTTGACAGGTGTGATAGTTTGTTTCAGAGAAAAGCACCAGTTGCTATGCGCAATTGGTTCTGATTGTAGAAAAGAAAACATATTGTACGTACCGCAGGGTGCAAGGTTCCTCAGGCATGAAAAGGAAGTACGCGCTAGCTCGATTAGGTTAATCACAAAACATGTGACGCGACAACTTTTTTGTCCTCATTGATATGAAATGTATCAAGGACAATTCAATCCCGGTGAGCTATTTCCAAACGATTTTACGCTTTGGAATCCCATCACCGGCGAGCTGAAGATATACTTCCAAATACATAGTGTACAGTACTAGCGAGCCGTATCTACGCCCTGCCAAATCCCTTCATTGATCTTAAAAGCCAAGAGCCAAGAGCCAAAATGCGGAGGGAACTAAGATTACAATAGCGTCCCTCAAGTGTCCCTCAAGCGTCCTTCTCCACATCAATCCAAACAGATTCAATATTCTTCTTCTTCAACTCCATCTTCGAGGTCTCGAATGTATTCTCATGGTTTTGGTCAAGCATTACCCAGCAGATATATATCTTCTCAATCGCTTTTCTTTGTTCCACAATCAGGTTCTTGATTCCTCAAGCAGGGTTCGATTCTTTCCGTCCTTGCAACCATGTTTTTGACCGACGTCATACTGTAGGCGGACCTGGCCATCTGCCAGACAACGGGAGATTGACACCGGATTTTCTGTTTTGTAAAATTAATATAAATTTTAGTCGCATGATAGAACTGTTTGATACATTAAATAAATGAATACATTTCATCGAACGCAACCAAGGATTATTTCTTCAACATGTTCTGATTCGAAAATTTCATCTGTCATTTCATTTTTGCCAAATATTTAATCTTGTCTTATCTCCTTCACAATGAACGATCCAGGTCTTAATGAGCCTATCTCCAACGACGCTGACGATATAGAGAATCAACAACGCAATGAGAAGGATGAAACCAAGGAAGACGTAGAAGCTTTCCTAGAGCCAAGGTACGCAAGAGGGGAGATCCTGCTGATATCCCGTCCTTACAAATTGAAGACTCTGCTAACAACCGATTTCTTCAGTCGCTGGTGGTTTGCTAGTACTGCATTTCCTCTCAACGCCGGCACCTTTGGACCGATGGCATCGGCCTTCAGTATCTGCGCATTAGTTGTACATTGGAGGGTCTCGATACCACCCGGTGGAGTGGAGGAGCATGGAATATATATCGACGATCCGAAATGGTACGCGCTTCGAGAACTATTGGAAGGAAGTTATGTTGATACATTGTAATAGGTTGATCGGTATAAATGCTGCACAATTGGCAATAGCCCTCATTTCGAATCTGTTCCTGTTATTGAATATGGCAGAAAGAGTTCGGTTCTCGATCGCGCAACCTATCACGATTATTGGCTGGTATCTGTCTTCTTTAGCATTGATTGGATTGACGGCTTGTGCATCTAGGCCTTTGAAACTTCCATCCCCACCGGACCATGCTTATACACAAGCATTCTACTATGCTCTATTTTCTGCTGGTCTATATTTCCTGGTGGCCAGTTTGATGGTGGTGACGGTATACGGAGCATATAAAGGGCATTACCCAAAAGAGTTCAAGCTGACTATGAGTCAAAGAACTCTAATGTTACAAACGATCAGTTTCTTAGTATATCTACTTGCTGGTGCGGCAGTGTTCTCTCATGTTGAGTCATGGCAATATCTTGATGCTCTCTATTGGTGTGATTTTACACTTTTGACAGTTGGTATCGGAGACTATGCACCAATGACACATTTGGGAAGGAGTTTATTATTCCCATTCGCAATCGGCGGAATAATTATTCTCGGTCTGGTTATCGGTTCGATTCGATCGTTGGTTTTGGAACGTGGAAAGGTTAAGCTAGGGGCGAGAATGGTCGAAAAGGAACGACGACGAATCTTAAGGAAAACTCAAAAGAAGAATGTTGAAGTATTGAAGCCTATTACCACAGGAGAGTCATCCCCGGAATCAAACAATACACTTGTCAGTGATGATGGTTTAACGGAGAGAGAAAGACGCCAACAAGAGTTCGATTTAATGAGACGTATCCAAGAAGAGGCGGCTAATAAACGTCGTTGGACCTCTCTGATAGTCTCTGGAACTACATGGCTTTTACTTTGGTTTGTCGGGGCAGCAATATTTCGTATCACAGAGTATACACAAAGCTGGAGTTACTTTGAGTCTCTCTACTTTTCCTACACCTCGCTCTTGACCATTGGATATGGGGATTATTACCCACAGTCCAATTCAGGCAAGCCATTTTTCGTTTTCTGGTCTCTGCTTGCCGTCCCCTCCCTTACAATCCTTATAAGTAACATGGGGGACACAATCGTTAAAGGAATTCGTGATATTACTCTCTGGATCGGAAATTCTACTATCTTACCTGGTGAGAAAGGAGTAAGGCATTCTATCAAAGAAACAACAAACAAGATGTCGTTTGGGAAATTATTCAAGATATCGAAACTACCTCCAGATGCTGAAGGCACTGCAGCTCCACGCGATTCTAGCAAGACTAATGGTCTCGGCGCCGCGCAAATTGAACGCGAAATTATCCAAACTCGGCGCGGCGAAGAACAAATAGAGGAGAATAATAGGCTGCCGAAAGATCGACATCATTATCATTGCATCCTTGTTAAGGAAATTGGAGAAGTGATGAAACACCTCAACAGTTCTCCACCAAGAAGATACACATTCGATGAATGGGCATGGTATCTTATATTGACAGGAGATGATGAGAGCGAGTCTGAAAATCATAGAAAGGCGATTGTAAAACCAAAAGGCGGGAAGAATTTAGGTGGCTCAAAGGGTGAATGCGATGATAAGGATGAGAAGTGGAGTTGGGTGGGACATAGAAGTCCATTAATGGGAAACAAGGAGGAGAGTGAATGGGTACTGGAAAGGTTGCAAAAGACATTAGAGAGGGAGCTAGAGGAGATTAGGAAAGAGAAGATGGAAGGTGAAAGAAGAGTGGAAAAGAAGTAGCCTATCAGATAAAGGTGCGAAGAATGAGTTGCGACTAGTAAGGCATGGCGTTTGGGACAGCATTGATACCTTGGGTTTTTGTCCAGTGCTTGGGACTTGATTGCGGATTCTGAAGTTTTAGCACTTGAGGTACCTTGCTGCACGCATTTTGTGTTAGGGTTGATTCACCTCTGATTATACATAACAACCTAATAGTAATGATGAAATGTTTATACCCAGGTTTGCGAGTGCAAAATGATTTTGTAAGTTTCATTGATCATGTCCCGTTTTACTTCAAACGTGCGAATAGCTCGTGTTTCTTTCCGGGTCGATTGGTATATACATCACGGCTAGATCGCATCGTCGTTTTCTATAGTTTACAAATATTACTATATTTTTTGACGAGGATCCGATTTATTATGAGTACCGTATTCATTTGGAAAATTCGAAAAAGTCTAGCAAGGATTGACAATTTAAGCTCATTGTGGATTAGAGTTGTAGCAACCACGAGAATTGTTTGATTTGGATTTTCCAAATGGCTACGATATAGGCGCAACGAGAGGAAGCATCAATGGATGCTCTAGAGCTCTATATTGTAATGGCTATAATTTTGAAGTAGTTGCACTGGCAATCCCAGAGGTCAAGTGTCTTCCCGATCTCTCAGCTCTTCTCTGTGTTACCTAGGTAGTTCTATATTTCCCTTATGAAATGTGGATTAATATCCAATCGCTTGGAACCTGTATCGGTTCCCGAGGGCCGGGATCAGGACCAGGTCTAGCGTGGTTTTAGACGAGGCGCTAAACCTGCCCGGTCCGTTGGAATCGAACCCCTGTTCGGCATGCTAGGGCCTCTTAAGGACCCGATGCATGTTTGTGTTGATTTACTGGTTGGTTATGTTGGTTTTGTTGTTGTGGGTGTTTGTTTTGTTGAATTTATTGTGTTATATTGTTTTTTCGGTTGGTGGACTCTGTATTTAGTCTACTGAATTGGAAATGGGATTGAATGAATTCATTTGAGACACAGTTGAGATGGTGAGAGCGTCACATCGCGTCTCATTTCATCTCGGAATTATTTTCAATCAGGCTCTTCTCCCGCAGACGATCACAGGTAAAGAGATTCCAGTAATGAAACTATTATGTTCACTTTAGTGAAGCAACACTTGGGTGTAAGGCTGATCTATTACTGGTCGGCGTACAATGAAAAAAGATTTCGTTCAACCTCAATTTGCTTCTAAGCTTGTTTCCCTTGACTTGTGTATTCACTAGTAAAGCGTCGCCTATTACATGCGATTACAGACTGGAGGAGTTTGGGCCAAGGTCTTGCAATATCATACTGATCATGACCTGTATTTAATTTCTTATTTTGATAGAGGCGGATTTCCGGATACCTGGCCTATTGTATCACGACTGCCTGATCATGGATAGCTCTGTATTCAGAGAGGGTCATATAACCGGTTACAGTATTTAGAAAAGGCCTGATAATCAGCGGTCAAATTGGTAACATCCATTATGAGGTTGATCGAGTCTAGGCTGCTCAATGGATACCTGCAGAGTAGGTAATGAGTCTCGCAAAAATGTGCAGATTATCTGCCTACAGAGCAGATAATTGGAAAGTCTAACCAGATAATCTGGAAGTAATCTCAAGGCATGTTGATAATCATAGCTTAAATTTATACTGGTATTATACTACTATTATACATGAATTATTCTGCAGAGTAGGTAGTAGATCTTGTCGATAACTTACAGAACTCATTTTCTGTAGATTACTCGTGAGTAAAGTTAATTCTTGCGTAGCCTAATTGAGTCTTCGAATGATTTGAGCGTACAAGAAGAGATTGTTGAAAAATGGAGCTCTCGATTGGAGAGAAGCATGTCGTAGCGGAGGCCATACTAGCACACGGCCGTAAAGCAATCTTCTGGATCTATAGGCAACAGTGAGTATTGCTGCGATTCTGCCAGATCTGTAGACCGATATTGGTGGTAGGTATAAGTATAAGTAGTACACTGAGTATAACAATTAGTTTATCAAATCATATATTTTCCATTCAACAACTTCCCACATTAAGAGATACGATTAAGACGTGCGAGAACGTTGAATAGAAACCGAATACACCATTAGGCACCACTTTTAATACGAGCAATAAAGAACCAACGCAGCATGATGAACTTGGACAAAATATCTCCACAAGTTGAGAAGTGTATCGTGAATATGGATGTTTCCAGGGTCTTACAAATCTTCACCTCGCTTGGGCAAACCGACATCGTATGTTCCCTAAACGAGAAATTCCGGACAAGTCGTATGGAGTTTGACAATACTTTACTCACCCTCGAATATTATGTACAACGAGGATTGAAAACTCAGCGATATCTTACGGAGCAGATGAGAACTGATACAGATCCGTCTGATTGGCCATACGATCCTAAGATAGACAATCCCTTCACAAACATCGAAGAGAGACTTATGAATAAGTTTGGGACGCGATGGCCCACGGTGAGTGGCGCTTTAGATATGATCCACAACAAATTTAAGCACTGTGTGGAGAAAAAAGAATGGAAAGATTCCACAGGGCTGACATATCGCGCCTGGGTTACTGTCGATGTTTGTCCTGACAAGATTCTATGGGGCGAAAATACCTCAGTATTTGAAAGTGAGCAGTTCTTGTCACGTTTGCGACCAAAATTCATGGTTTTTTACCCAGGGCTGGTCAACCTCGCATTTTTGGAGGAAAGTCAAATCGAAGAGCTGGAAAGGAACAAATATCAGTTCGACGACAAATGGAGAGACATGAAGTTTCGCAGAAAAGTTACGGACACAATTGCCAAGGTTATAGGACGCTGTAATAGCATCGGCAACTTCCTCTTCAATTGCGATAGTCACTTCAGAGGGGAAAAGCTTGATCGAAGGTGCAAGATTATGTATGAGGAGTTTTGTGTACAGAGAAAAAGGTTAGAAAATGCCGATACGCGTAATTTCAGCGATTTCTTTTTTGCACGCGACTTCTCTTATGCAGGCGACTTGCAAAATCCCGAGAACCCCTGGCAACCAACAGACAGCGCTGGCTGCATTCTACATTTCAGTAAGATGATGGTGGATCGCAAATTCAGAAGAGATGACAATCCGATTTACAAATCCGATTCCCTGTCCAAAATTAAAGAGTATGGAATTGTATACGCTAAGACTCGTAGAAGCAACCCCGAATCTTCGTCAGGTTCTGCAGAAAAGAATAAAGAAAGCGGAAAATTACGTGATACTCTTCGAAAAGAACTGAAAGAAAATTCATTGAAACCACGTAATAGTGATCGTGGAAGTTGGCAAACAAGAACTGAGAGTCATGGACAACAACAAGGAGATAGTAATAAGAAAGTAGAATCACAACCGCCAGCAAAGAAGGTAGACAGCAGTGACAAAGTAAAAGCGCATCCGCCAGGACATTCACTAAGAAGAGCTGAACCACTCCAGAGTGTTGGAAAGAGAGCAGAAGCAAAGAAATCGAGTAAGAAACCAGATCCTCAAGTTGTTCCATCTTCCTCACGCACTGGTGGATCGGGGGCGACATCCCGGCGCCATGGATAGGAGAATAGCGATGAAGTCAATAATCTCTTACTGGGGTAAGAGGAGAGATGTGATTCATACATGTAAGTAATATTGTATCCTCAGTAGCGATATAATACATAAGCAACGCTGTAATCTCAGTGGCGGGAGACTAGAAATCAAAGCACAGTGGCCAAAGAGGACAAAAAGATGAAATAGACTAAAACGATCAGATTGACTTTACTAAATTGAAAGAATGAGATTTGTTTTGATTTTAAGCTTGATAAACGGGTAAAAGTTCAAAGTGTTTGGATGCCATTATTCGAAAGTTTTTGAATGTTGAATTATACTTGAGTGCCTGTCCTACTGAAATAAGACCGCCTGATGTATGTTTGAATCGTCTGATGTTTCCTTAAGCTATATGTCTGGGCTGCCGCATGTTCTTTAGTACATAAGTTCTTTTCAACCGCATTACGGCACATACGACCATAGACTGAAGAGAATTGGGCATCCCGTCCGCTCTGCCATTCACAAGCTTCAGATCGGTGGATTAGTAGTTGGGTGGGTGACCACCAGCGAATCCCCACTGTTGTATGTTTCTTTTGTTTTTGTTTTGTTGTGGAGAGAGGTGGGTGACGACGATGTCGATGTCGATAGTGGGACCTCGGGGGATTATTGAACTCCCAATTTTGAGTCAAGCGTTATGGAAATTAGCGAGAGAAAGGAGTTGAAAATTGAGATTGATGGGTGTATCAATATTTTTTGGAACCATTGCCGTTGTTGAGTGGCTTCCGGTCAGCAGTTAGGTCTTTCCCGTGAGAAACGAAGTGACAAATCATGAAAGCCTGATAAGATTGAGAGTAGTACGTATCTTAGTATTGCTGTTGTTCGCTTAACTGCCGTTATGCTCGGCTGTTGCTTTATTCCTGGTATGACTAAGGTATTCATCCCATAGTAGCATTTTTACCGCTAGCAATCTATGTTGTCATTGAAAAACTCATTGTATCCGTCCTCGTCCCCATCAGAGACAGTCACTTGGTGCACGCTATATGCAAATGATATCCCATTTTCTCACCCTCTTCCCGCTGCTGATTCTTGATTGTGGCACAATATTCTCTTACATCATACATCGATCACGTGTCTCGCCGATGTTGATGATCGATCATGAGTAGATTGGGTGTGTAATGGAGTTTATAAGTGTTTATGGGTATTTTTTGAAAAGGGCGGAGAAATTGGAGGAGAGTAGGTTCAAGTTGTAGGGTTTGTATGCTCCACTTCCAGAAAATCCGGAAAGTTATTAGAAGCGGGCTATATAAACATGGCACAAAAGCATATTATCTTATTATATATTTTCTATACATTTTGAAGATGAAATTCCAGGAAGTTTTTGCTTCCTTCCTCGTGTAATATACAATAGCGTCGTGGGTGTGGAAATTGATAAGTGATTATGCTGCCGGGAGATATCAGTTGGGATTCCGAAGATATTTCGGGGCTTAGATTTTTGTTTTCATTGTCCAGGCTCAGGTGGCTGTTTTTCCAGAAATCTTATTGTCATTAACATTGTCGTCTCTTCATAATGATCAGATGATATAAAGAACTTGAAGTACACTGTTTTGACTCAGCCAATTTTTACAGCTCGTCAGTAAGCTATCTTTGTAGAGATATCACGCCTAGAATCTGTCCCGAACTTTACCTCGCTGTTTTCAAAGCTACATGTATTGTGCTCGGCTATGAGAATCTATTTGTAATCGCTAACGACAGCGGTGGTTTGATAAAATTCTTCGAGCTTCGCGATTCATAAAAAATATTATAGTACTACAGTAGAACTTGGTTATACCAGAATAAAATGTTTGACCAATCAAATCCGGTATAAACAAAACTCTAATATAAAAATTGATGGTTCAAATGTTGTTATCAATATTTATATCCAATTTTAATTCCAAACCCTGATATTTTTTGAAAAATATTATGTGATATCAACAAATCAAGTTTATTTATACAAAAAAAAAAGCTTATTAAGCTAAACCTATTACCAAAATTGATACCAGATTTACGAAAAATTAGTTCGGTATTTCGGTTTTGGTTAAAAATCCAGTATTCATATACAAATTTCAGAAAAATGAAGAAAAAAATACGGTATATCCAAGTTTCCGGTATATCCCAGTCCGGTATAGCCAAGTTCTACTGTATTGTCAATCAATGAATGAAAGTCGTTGCCTATTCACCAACTAATCTTCATCCAACTGGATCCTGCCCGTAACTCACACGCGAGCTCCAACTCGGGTTAGTACCTCACAAGCTTTATCATTCACTATCGATGGTATTATTGAGAGCCCACGCTTTACTTTCTTTAGCGTCTCAATTTTAAGTGGTGGAACAGATTTAGAATACAAGGGCATAATTTGAATTCAAACTATTTTAGATTCCTTTCAATTCTCCAATGCATTTATAGCGATTCGAAATTGTTCTTAGAAGAGGCCGGCAGATCAAACAAGATTATTAGAGTGGAGAAGGGGTCTCCATAGCTAGCTGTTTGAGCCCCGACTGGAGCCGAAAAATTGTTGGGAGTTTCTGGAAACAAATGTGGGTATTTTGACACCGTTGCAATATATATGGCCGTTTATATTGAAGGTGTTCTCCTATTTATATTAAATGTATTATTGTATGTTATCAAGGCCGATTGTGAATTCTTGCGACCGTTAGATTCGTTTACTGTCCTTGAATATTGAAATAATATCCCGATTTTCCAATAGTTCTCAACGCCATAATCCGCGATTCTAATATATTCGCATTACAGTTCAAACCCAACAATCCTCCTCGGCCATTCCAAAACCTCGTGGTAATCGTGTCCAACTTCCCTCCAAATAACCTCAAAAAGCCCCTTACTCCAACCATTAAGCCACCATACCTGTGGAACCTTTCCGATAATCATACAAGAAAATGCCACAATCACCAGAGCAAGAGCATCTCTAGCCCTGATCATTTTCAAGAATTCTTCTTGCAACCCGCCTCCCCATTCGCCGGATAGATGCGGGTTATCAGTTTGTCCTTCTTCCGTCTTCTTGAAAACGGATTTTAGAGAAGTGATTGCTGTTGTATAGAGTGTTTCGTTTTGCCCTTGGCTCAAAGCATATAGTCGATCAAAAGCAGCTTCTGCATCCGGTGACAGAGTGACCTGTTCTCTCTGAGGGGAAGGCGACTCTAGCCCCCGTCGCACATGCATAACAATCTGCCAACCTTTAGATAAAGAAATTGCTTGAACCATGTCGTCAATCAATCCCACTGAAGCCTCTTTCTTTGCGTCGGGCTTGGCGAGACCAAAAGCAAACATAGCAGTAATACTCGAGAAAGCAATACTGGCAACATCATTCCCTTTGTTCATATTTGAGAGGATGGAGTGGTAAAGAGTAAGCCCCCGGGTGTGATGTGCCGTGGCGATCTCGATATATTTCTGAGGGTCTGGATGGGATTCTGCGTAGTGAAGAGCTGATAGAGCAAGGAGTCCATGGAGAAGAAAATGATGTTCCATTGCTTCATTCAAGATGAGAGTTTGTGATTGTTTGATAGCGTGGACATTATTGGGTGGATTCACTGTGTACACGGTTTTCGTGAACCAGTGGATTATCAGATCTACGTTTTCGAGATTGAGGGATGGGGTTTTCGTGTCCGAAGCCAAAGCTTCCTCATTTTGAGGAGTTGAGCTGTAAGCTGGAGGTGAAGGGTTATTGTCATTTGATGCTGTACTGTTTGTTTCTGACGTAGATGGATCACCAACCCAGACAAGAGATGGTAATCGTGGGTAATGACATGTGATATCACGTGAGACACATCTCTGGCAGCGGGGCTTTTCCTCGTCACACTTCGAGGAGAAGCAAAATAATGTTAGCGATTGACGTAGAGTGGATAAAATCGACATGCTTGAATCCGTGTTCAAATTTCAAAGGTATCTAAAACGGGACAGTAGATGGTCAAAGAATATATAAACATACCTTGATTCGCCTCTTTTTGCAACCATGACATCCATTGCGCGACTTCTTGTGAGGTCTTCGGATCATCGGACCTGATTGAATTGTGCGGTTGTACCTCAGACTTTGAGAAAGGTGTATACGCGACTAGGCCTTGGTCACAGGCAATCCAACCAATAGAGAGATGCCCAGAGAAGTCGTCGATATGTGGAATACAGTACAACAGAGACAGTGGATTTTGCCTTTCGTATATCAAATACTATTTGGGTCTTGGATACGATCAATGGAGGATTTGAAATGTTGAAGCTAATGTGGCTTTTCTTCCTTTCTGTGTTCTGTTTTACTCTTCCAGTTTGTTTGATAAGCTTGTGTCGAATCTTGGAGCGAACACACGTATATATGACTGCTTTCGGAAATGTCATACGGGGAAATACGGTTACAGCTTGCCGCCCCACATCTGGCGCTATGCAGAATCTCTTGGCCAGTAAGCGAGTTTGGCGTCTATTAGGGTCTGTGCATCTGCGAGCGTACTCGTACATGACTTCCTAATATGGATTAGCCACTACTGACTTGGTCGATTCGGGTTAGACAGTTTGAATCAACTTCAGAAAATTCCTTTCCTCGAGAAGGGGTGGCCGAGCAGGCAATCTCTGTATGTTGTATGTTTGGTGTAGCTTGAAATTTCTCACCTCCGACTTCTGTTTAGTGACAGTTGTCACAGCATTCCACTTCGAATCGTCTCAATTTGGTCCACCCCATGCATGATAAAGTACTCTACAAATCGTCAATCTGTCGCTTGCAAATTGCCGATGAGCCAAGAAGAGCAAAAGGTCCTAAAATAGAAGCCGATTAGGTCTCCGTGCTGGTCATCATTTCAGGAAATCATTCTTGCTAGTCATGACCCCTGAATTGCTATCTGGCATCATATTGGTAGGGCTAGAGTATCCGGTCCAGATGTCAGTGTACAAGTGGATCACCAACTCTCGTACTGCGTATAAGCTGACCACAATGGTAAGTAAGGGCCGTCACCAATGCAAGTTGATATTTAATAGCAAGATACTAATCTCGGCTCTAACACCTTATAATTTTTCATTCTTTTTGACTTCCACCTTGCTTAAGGTTACCATTTTTCCAATTCCATACATCTTATTCCATTATCACCACATCTACTATCTTCTATTAATCAATTCTGGCCTATTTTCGACAAAAGGAACTTAAACAATAACGCATCATGGATATTACACTCATCCAGTCTCCAGAGGGAAACATCACTGGAGGCGTGTATTTCACTTACAACCCATCCGAACCCGCTGCCTACGGATTCACGGCTCTTTTCGCATTACTCACTTTGGCACATATAATCAACATGTTTCCACTGCGGTCATGGTATTTTATAAGTTTTATCCTAGGTGGAATATGTAAGTAATGGACTCCAGAAACACAGACAATATGAGTGTTTTTACACACCGCTAGATGTTTCTATTCAATAAGCTAATAGCCACAGGCGAGACTTTTGGGTACTATGGACGGAGTAAATGCCACGACAACATCAGTGATATTGGTCCTTGGATCCTGCAAATGATCCTTATTCTAGGCGCGCCTACCTTTCTTGCAGCTTCGGTCTATATGACACTCGCGCGACTTACCGTAGCCCTAGGAGCAGAAGAACATTCGATGATTAGTCCACGATGGTTGACCAAGATTTACGTTCTGATCGACGTACTTTGTTTTTTTAGTCAATTTCTGGGAGCAGGAGTCCAAGCTTCTGGCGACGCAACAGTCATATCCGTTGGAAACAAAGTCATTCTCGGCGGTCTCATATTCCAAATTATAGCATTCTTCTTCTTTCTTTATATGGCCTGGCGTATCGGTGCCCGTTTCGAAAAAAGTCAAGAAACTCATCCGAGTAGCCTTCGTTATCCGGAACTCGAAAGGGGGTGGAAGAAGTACTTTCGAGCTTTATACGCAGTCAGCGTACTACTCATTATTCGAAACTTGATGCGTGCGATTGAGTATGGACAGCAGGCAACCGGCGGAGGCTTTACATTTGCTACAAGAAACGATGATGGAACTCTCACTTATTCCGGACACCGTTCCAAGAAAATTGGAGATATAGAAGCGTTACTTTATGTATTTGATGCTACGCCAATGTTCCTGGTGGTTTTGATATTCCTTATAATTCATCCGGGGAAATTCATCAAGAGGGCTCGTGTTGTAAAGGGGGAAAGATTATCAGTCACTGAGATGGAATCTCTGACGAAATGATAGCGATAACTGTTAGAAAAAATGAGCATATGGTCTCACAACGGTCACTCTACGGGATTGGTTATGCAATGGTTCAATTTTATTTTGTTATTTCATTTGTACATAGACTACTTTCTTTTGTATCTATCGCACTTCTCGCCTGACCTCCTTCTTTCGTACTATTTATCGTGTTCAATCTTGATCTACTGCTAAGATATGAAAAGATGCGTGAACACATTGATCCAGGACATCAGGCCATTTCGCAGATAGATGTCCATAAGTACGGCTCCCATAATTTCTCAATGGGGAGTAAATATTTTACGTAGGAGGATTCCGTTTTTTCAGATGCAAAGGATATCCCTCCATACAGGAAGAGTTTTTGAATACCAGACCCGCAGTTGAAGTATGGAACTGCTTCGATGGTGTGGGGTGGAAGGATGAGCACAAAACACCCCTAAGACTATTACAATGCAAGCGAGATTTCAGAGGGATTTATCAGTATGAATCTCCAAACACCATCCTACCACGCAAGGGGCTCATCACTCGGTTCCTCTACTTGATGTTCTTGTTAACAATGCTCTGCATCTCCTTAACTTGATCACTACCTATCCCTTTATTCATCGCCGGAAGTACATTTTTGACCGTGATCACACTATGTTCTTCTCTCCTAGTAGCGGTATATTTACCAGCAGACCATGTTTGTATATTGGCAAAGATCTTGTCCCCGACTGCGTCGGTGATTCTTCCAGCGTTCTTGGATGTATAAGTTGCAACTGTGCCGTTTACGTACTTGGCGCTGTAGTTTATACGCATGGTTAAGGCTTCGGTTGCAAAGAGGATGAAGAGCTTGGAGATCTGTATCTTGTGGATGAGTGGTTCTGAAAGGTAGTTTGATGGACGATGGATTACGAACAGTGGTTGGTTTTAGAGTTGTTCGAAGATCTATTGAAGTGGTTGGTATGTTGTCAATGAGCTTCAGTAATGTACTTTGGTTCAATGATGTTCCTGTAAAAGATTAGAAGAATCTTTTTGCGGTGGGTGGTGCAAGACACTTATATCCTCATCTAGATCCTGTGTATTTGCACACATCATGTACGGCGTGTATTGATTCATAAGAGCGCGCTGTTCACGCCAGTCTATGAAACCAAAGAAGGTAAAGAAAGTTGTCTTGAAGGCGATCTTCTGATACACAAATTCCGAGCGTAACTAGGCAAGGTATTCTATAAACATTTTACGGTGGATTTTGGCTAAGAAAGCCATCTTGAGATGAGATAGCTGTTGACCGTAATTTGCATAAACATACTGTAGAGCATATTCTCCCTCGTAGTTCGAATGAGGGTGCAACTACGGTTGTTCCAGGATATCTCTTATACGGTACTAGTTCATATCATAGGGCGATCCCCAATAGCTTGTTGTGGAAAGAATACTGGATGACAGCGTCACACTGTGGGAGGAGAGGATGAAGTCAACACCCCTCCTCGAACGAGATTCTCACTTCACAGCATGCTCGGTAAAACTTTTATTGCAATCCCTCGTCTAAACAATTATCATGAGAAGTCCCCATTATTCCATTCCTTCAAATCCCTCGACTTCTGATGGCTTAAAGCTTAGCAGGGAACTTTTCCAACAGAATAGGATACGGACATTATTTGCACCTCATAATACCATTCAATTTTGCTGAGACTTGGTAAAAGTATCTCCTTGGATGAAACGTGTATGAATCTAGACAATGATACAATCTGGCATCACAGCAGTTGAAACTGGTACAGAGGTTTCTAAAAATTCTCGAAGAAATCAATGCAGCTTGCAGCACCTTGATTTCTCCGTCTCTGCAGAGTTTTTCGGTGCCTTCTCCCCTAACTTCACGCGTAAAATATGGCTGCTAATCTATTGCTTCTCCTTCACTAGCATGGACCTTTATTCACTTGACTAAAGATTACCTCGAATTTGTGAATTGAGAAAATATGATATCCATATACTAGGTAGGTACAAACACTAATCGGGAACATCCTCTGTTTTTGAGTACTTATTTAGTGAATTTCCAGTTAGATCTACAATCCTTCTCATTTGACTGTGGTTGTTGTTCTTCAGTGACACAAGCATCCCAAATAAGTTTTATTTGGTACTAGCGGACGCCCTATGAATATAGAATATTAATAAACGGAAGAGGAAAAGGAAGCCAATTTTCTTCTTTCTTTAGAAGTTTCGGTTGCTGCAATGCTATGTAAAGTAATCTCACCGAAGGCAGGTTGTATTCAAAGCAGTTAAAGCCGCTGCATATAAAGCTAGAGCTTAGTTAGGGTTAGCGCTGTTTTTCTTACCCGACCAAGGCGTCTTAAGAAGGTCCAAGTCAAACAACGTTCAACATCATTCAAGTTCTTCAACAAATCAACACAAGATCATTATGAAGACTAGTTTCCTGATATTCAATCTGCGATATCTATTGTGATCCCACCCTTCAACAGAAACTCTTTACAATAACCGTATAAGGGGAACTATCTACTCACTAAAATCGCGCCACATTACGCAGCAAACCGAGCTTCGAAACTGGGGCCAAACGCAATCGCAAAAAATCAACAGCGTCTAAGATATTCGAGACTCAGCAAGACTTTGTATCTCTCATTCCATTAATTTCATAGAGACTCCCAAAAACTTTCACTTCACTTACACCAGCGCCCATCAAAGAATCGCGATACCTAACAACCATGACAGCAACAACAACCTCACCTTCCACATTTCCCCTCTTCTCCAGCCTCGCTCCTGAATTACGCATTCAAATATGGCAAGAATTTCTTCCCTCCGAATTTCCTCCAGCGCTCTACTTCTACAAAAGGGGTGTTGGCAACCCCGAATTTTCACCGAATCTGACCCAGGTTACTGCGACGGAGTCAGTGAACACTTCAGCACTGAAGATCTGAACAGGGACTTGGAATTTCGCCACGATCTTCTTGACAATATCCACGTTCAGACACCTCTCTTATTTGTGAGCCATGAGGCTCGAAGTATCAGCCTCATTTGGGCACGCAGTCATGGTATCGAAATATGCGGAGATCCACTTTTCCCACGCTTATCTCTTCCTTTCAACCCCGTTAGGGATATACTTTATTTACCTGCTACTGAGGGGTACAACTTTTTCATGGAACCTCATAATCGATCTTCTGAGGAAGACATAATTAATCTAACTCCTGGAATATTCAATGAAGTTAAGCGTTTAGCTGTGACAAAATCGGGACTTGAAGCTTACTCCGTCATGGCAACATCCAACGGATTCTCTGATCATTATAGAATCGAAGCACTGTATATTATTATCAAAAAGCCACGGAGCTTACTTCCTGTTGATGATGATTTGCATGTGCAGTCGCGATGGGAGTGTGCGAGCTTAACATCACGTGCTTTTATTTTAGACAGCAATAGGTCGGTCTTTGAACTGAAAGGGAACGGAGATAATAAGGATGAACAGAGACACCTTTTGACTCAGGAAATTAGTCGACATTTGACACCTGAATTTATCACCAACTCGCCTTCAATTCGTGAGATTCGACCTGTTTCGGCTGTCAAAGGTTAAGCAGGGGTTCATACGATGTCACTCAGTTCCAGATACCACAAATCTAGATTATCAAAATTCTATGCGAGACCTTTTCAAGAACTCTCCTATGTGTATGTTTGACTTTCCCCCATTTGTGACATATTAATCAGGCTGTTTAGAACGTGCTCAAATTCCCTGCAATTGTCTTCCTATCCTGAAACGAGAGTGTCTACGAGATCTTTGAAGCTATGATCTGAATTCAGGAGCTTTCGTTAGATGCTCATTCTTAAAACTTCAACATTTCCAGAGCACTGGGACGTAATACTACCAAGATACATGATATCACTGGCATGGTTCCGATGACACAAGATCTTACTATGATATCACTCATACCAATCATTCATCGAACCTGCATGCAGCTCTTGTATAATTCCATATCAATTCTAAACCATGGGTTGTATGGCCTAGTTCTTCTCCACATTCTCTCAAAGGGTTTACAAATCATCTTTAGTAACATTCACAACGGCCATCTAATGTATTCTACAATTAGATAACTAGTCCAGTCCTGTATCTTGTTACTTCTTTTTTCGTTTCGAATTGTATCCTGTATGAAGATCTAACAGCTTGGCCCATTTCCATGTGATCACCATAATTTGTCATACTCTCATCTGATCTGCTCCCTTACAAAACTTTAGCCATATATCCATTTGTAAGAACAACCCGAGAAGGATATTTACTGCTTTACAATTCCTACACACCGCACAAGTCTATATTACGAAGTTCAAGTGATAGTTCGCCTTTATCTTACTAGCGAGGAGGCACTAGTGAGGCTACAATGTAGCCTTCCTCATAATAATATTCACGACATCGACAAATAATTATCTCTCTGCTTTCATCCGCAAATTATTCGGGAAACTACCATCCTCTTCTCAACCACTTGTGATTAATTAATTACCTGCCTCCACACAACGCCACCCATCTTCAGCTATCTTTTTGATTGTACTCGCAAAAATCCAGTTTCCATCTCCCATACTCACTCTTATCGCAATGGTGCGATCCAAAGCCGCCGATACTTCCACAGCGGAAGCCCGCAGCCAATCCACCAAAGCACGAGCAACAACCAAAGGCGACAAAAACAAAGAATGGGAGGTTAAAGAAATTCTCGAAGTCAAAAAGAAATGGAAGAGTCTATACGTTCGAGCGTCTTGGGTTGGCTATCGTGAAGAAGATCCAGAATGGTATCCCATCTCCGACTTCAAGACCTCGCCATACTTGTTGAAGAAGTTCTATCGGGAAAATCCCAAAGCGCTTGGTCCGCCTGCACAATTAACTGCTTGGGAAGAGGCTTTTTAGGCGGGAGAGGAAGACTATGAGCACTTGAATAGTAATAAGTCTATGGATCCATTCTCAAAGTCTAGGTATCTTAAAAAAATGTTTAAGTAGCTTGATGAGTAAGGTCATTTCTTTCTTCGAGAAAAATACGGAGCCAAATATTAACTTAAATGGCAGGGAATTGACTCAAAATATACATGTGCCTGGCGAATGAAGGAATTTCATTATCAAATACCCTTTCTCCGAACTGTTCTACGACTATTGTGCGCTTGCTGGATAGCTTTCGATATAAGATATAATAATCTCACGACCTGAAGAAAAAGAGCCATTAGAACCTATGTACTAGATTTCTTATAGAATTTCATATGGAGAGGAAGAATATGAAGAGTTTCCATGGTCTGAGCTGGCTTCACTGTATCTATGAGTGGACACCATGATATAATACACTTTGAATTCAACTCGGATCAAGTCTATGTACTTTCAAGCTCTCGATGTCATCAGTATAAAGTTTCTCCTTAGCGTACGACTATCTCATCCGTCGCGCGACACTAAACAAATCTCGCATAAAAACTGCCAATCAAAGCCCCCCAAAGGTTTGTGTTGCACATCTTTAGTATTTGAATTACATGCTCTATCTTGGTAAGTATGGAATAGTCCCCATTAGTTGATACTCCTTATGGGATGGTTCTGTGTCTCGGGCGTGGTGGACTAGTGTTCTATGAACGAATGACAATAAGAAGTCTTGGAGATTAATAATGTTGCACATCTCTGGTATGGTCACGAAAAGATTTATCCTAGTAAGTATGAAATGCTCGTTACTAATCCATGCCACTAGAAGCTAGATGAATCAAACGTGCTCTTTTTTCGGAAACTAGACTGGTCCCATGAGGACAAGTAATCATTAGTGCCCCTCAAAAAGATATGTTGCATATCTCCAGCTTTTGTGCTACGTACTTGATCCTTGCAAATGTTAAATATCCATCGTTGGTACATGTCACCACTGTTCGATAGTGACTGAGAATCTTTCAAAGTTATTATAGTACAGCTAGGTAATTTCGCTCTCTTGATTGAATACCAAACTAAAACAAAGCTTAATCATCTATAAATTACTGCCAACTAGCCCTCACCAAGTATACGGCCTCTACGGCATAAGCAGTACGGTCTTCGGCAATCACTAAACAAGCGAGTAGTCAGGAATTCAGCAGCAGTACAAGTAGAATATAAAAGAACTTCTCGCTCATGACTAAAAAGGGTTCTAAAAAACCATTCAATAAGTTCTCTCTATCTCTCTCCGCCATTATCAATCTTCAACAATCACAGATCGCAACAGAAACAATTTCCTTCCAGGCAAATTATAAGCTCTACTACCCTCACGTCACCTTTTACAACATACTCCATCAAAATGAACACCATTCTGTACATCATCGCAGCACTTTTAGCTTATGAAGCCATCTATTTTCTACATGTTGTCTCAGGGAACATCTTAGGTGGCTACCTCGAAATGAAAGAAAAGAAGTTACAGCATGCTATGAATCTCAAGAAAGAGGAGTCGGAACAAGCTCTCCAATTAGCGAAGTACAATTTTGAGGGAATATGTGCGGAAAGGTAAGATATCGAATTCTTGATGAATAACGATGGCAAACTCCTAGAGGTTTACGTGCTAACTGCTATTAGAGATCGATATAAAGATGATCTTGCGGAGATGAAACTCAGAAACCGGGAACTTTTGAATACTCTCCTCAAGAACCTTTCGGAAAGAAGCTTAGGAAAGCGTAAAGCAGATGTTAGTGGGGCGGATAAGGATTTTGAAGTTTTATGAGGTTTTTAGGAACCTTTATCTTAGGGGTCAAGAAGACCTGGGCATTCATCGACAACAACAAAAATGTTTTACTGTCAGGGGTGCACACGCACGTAGCACGTATTTGGGATTAAAGCTGAAGAGGCATGACGTCAGATTCTTTTCGAAGCTTAGCTCTTCTCTCTTCATAGTTTATAATATCAATTGAAACTATTCGATCTCTACAGTGCTTTGATACCTTCACTCTGTTAGTTCTTTAATATACAATATCCGATTTATAATACATTGAATAGTTAGTTGACTCGATATGAAGTCTATAATAGTTCAAGATGTGATACAATCGAGGAAAACTGTTACTATTACATGACTACTAGTATCAATGGTCAAGCGGATTAAAATCTAGATTTCAAAATCTCCAAGAAGTGAAGAAGTCAAAGGCAGTAGTAGAATACACGGCGTTAGAAGGAAGAAAATTACTAAATTTTTCTTTTTTCGATAGAGGGGAAAGTAGAGAGAAAAGAGAAGAGTGAAATGGAAAAAGAAGAAGAAGGGGAAGAGATGTAGCAAAAGAAAAAGAAATCGAAACAGGAAAAGCTGAAGAAAATAATCTCTTGACTTGTGATTTTCGATTCTCGATAGGTACTATTAGCATCCAGATTGTCGCACCACATATCTAAGCAAATGAAACAATCTAAAGCGAAAGCTTGTTATTGAAATACGGCTATGTGAAAGTATCAACAACTTAATGAATATCTGCAATGTCTTAACAAAAAGCATCTGAAAATTGTGTCCAAAATATTCACTCTCGTGACTCAATCTCTAAAGCCACGTTGCCATATCATTAAGAACAATATTAATCAACCGAGTTTTTAACTGCTTAAAAGCCATCACTCTTTACGATTCCAACCCAAAATTATCTTCGCCATAACAACTTTCTATCATCCGTCTACAATTTCATTCTCTCTTCCTGATTTCGATTTCCGTCACGTAACACATCACCACAACATCATCTACCCACCATGTCCTTCGGCCAAGAACTAGGTAAACTCTTGGAAAATTGGTTCTTCATCGATATCATCCATAGGATGCTCGCAATATTCAACGATAACGGCGAGAAGAAGAAGCTCCGAGCAGATCTTGAGGAGGCGCAAAAGAAAATCATCAAGTTGAAGGAGAAAAACTCAGCTCTTAAAGCTAGATTGACGCAGTAAGTTTTATATTTATTGATACCTGCAAGGGTGATGATAACGTCAAACTAATGAGTACATAGACTTGAGAATAGAGTTGCGGATCAATTCCTCTAGGGTGGTTTTGGGAAGAGCTTTTTATCGTGATGTCCGACTGTTTTCGATTTTACACTATAAGATTCGATGTTACGAATATACGGTCTAGGATTTGCAGACGAAAGGATGTCAATTTCAATAGTGATTAGGGGGTTTCAGCAGTCGTCTTGAGTAGTCAGGTTCTAGATATCGGGTACCGAGTGGAGGGGTTCACAGCGACTGTTTTGGAGGGTTCAGGGATGACTTTGTGTTTTGGGAAATTAATGGCTTTTCGGAAGGAGTTGCCTGCGGTATCTATAGCTTTTGGCTTTCACAATCGTAATGTTTTTATGAGAGACAATAGTCTATTTGAGCACCTTTCAATAAAGCTTCACACGCTTACTGTCCACCTCAAATTTGGCAAATTCTAGTACGTCCAATGAATTGAAGTTGATCAAGTATATTTTAGAATTCACGTATAAAATAAATCTCGAAAACAGATGTAGGAATAGTTGTCTCAGAACTCATGCCGTAATCATGTTTTCTTCTCCAAGGCAAATGTTGTGAGAATGTGTAGAAGTGACATCCATCACACTATCGTACATATGAGTGATTTAGGGAGACTAAAATAAGGGAAGAGTATCAAGAAAAATGATGGGCATCAAAATTCTAGTTCCGATATGATTTGAATGTATATCATCCTCTTCGTACAATAGAAATAGAGTACAGGCTTCGAATCTTCAACCGAAAGTACTTAGCATCAGGACATAGCGGTAGCGTGTATTCGAGTAGCACGTAGTTCTGGCTATGAGAACACGCATAGCACAGTTGTATTGTATTGATAATGAATCTATAATAAATGGATTTGTCAGGGTATAGATAATAATAAAGTGGCCTACCGCTTCCGCTTGCTCACCCGGTTCGTTTAGTTGGTTGTGAATTTAATCAACAAGATAACATTCCGAAAATAAACCTTCCTAATATCTTCGCTATCCGAAGTTCTTCTCGACCACATACACACACACACACGCATACACACACATGTTAGTTTCAGATTATCCGAGTACTGATACCGCAAGGAAATTCCGAGTCAGTTTTGGAAGCCCATATACGTACATACCTTCCATACATTAACGATAGTAATCCAAGATTCGCAATCTATCAGATCTAACCTCTCTATCTAATCATAATTTACCGAGAGAAAATATATCGAATTCGAAATTTCGAATTCATTCATGACTTTTGATTCACGAGTGACACGAATAAATGTTCCTTTCTGATCATGTAACTATCTAGTATTATCAGCAACAGGTGAGTGAGTAACATTATGATCGGGGCATTTGATGTACGAAGAAATATCATATTACTATGATCCTCACTTTCAGAAGCCTCTATAGATAGCCTATCACTTAATAAGAGGAAGAGTTCAAAAGAAGAAACTCTATCCTCATTAATGAATTTCAGAATATCTACTTGAGTTATTTCAGAGGATCTAACCTACCCGTATCGATAAAAAGTATCCTATTCCTATCTTGTATAATTTTGGACCCTCCCCTCTCCCCCCCCCCAAAAATCACCAAATGAGAGAATAACCAGAATCACAACAAACAGCCGAAGAAGATCAATCATAATTTTCGTCTAAGCGAGCGTATCGAAAACTTTAAATCAACACCTACCTCAATGTAAGTTACACCAGCCCGGTAATCAAACAAACGTATTCCCACATCCTTCTCTGCCACCATAAAAATAAAACGTCTTCAAGCCCAAATGTTTTCTTCTATCACTCAAGTCAATAAATGCCGTACCTACCTAGCGAGGTAGGTACCCGAAACACAACCCCCTCACCAAGCACGTGCGAGAAATCAACATCCACCTTAGCGGGGGCATTACAATTCCGCCGCGATAGAGTTTGACGACCAGGTAGGTAACATACCGCACCTCATGATTGGACATTGCGTCTATTTTATTACATGTGTATATATTTTTACTCACAGAGTAGATTATTACTTATTTACTTACTTCCTAACTTACTTACTTACCTACTAAATAAATCCATCCATCAATCTTACCAAGCATGCGGAATTAATAATTCCACTTTCTTTCTACCAGGAAAGTATAAGCACGATCGATGATTCAAGTTCCACTTTAAAGTGAAGTAATTATATCTACATGTATACTTATATAAACCTTCTCACCCTCGTCCTCATCCTCATCTAAATCCTCTTACTCCCCCCAAAAAACCATAACCATAACTCAAACCAGAAAGTTTCCTTCAAAATTCATTCCCTCACATCTATCATTCTAATTACATTACAATACATTACATTACATCTCCCATCGCCCATCCACATCCACATCCACATCCACATCCACATCTACTCCCATCCACTCAACTCAAATCCAGACTTTCCACATTCACATCCACATTCACACCCCTCTCAACACCATGTCCGGACTACAATACTATGCATATCCCACAGCGGGCGAAGAAAAACTCAAGCAGCATGGTTACAGCCAAGCCGTTCGAGTAGGCGATCGTATTGAGTGCGCGGGCCAAGGTGCGTTGTTGAATTTTCTCAAAAGCAGAGTACTACGTACACTTACACATATACATACACATGAATTCCCTCTCCAGTCATGTAGATTCAAATCCCAAATCCCAAATCCCAAATCCAATCTCCAGATTCAATTCCCCCTCCCACCCCTCCCCATCTCATTTCCCCAAGCACACACACTAACCCCCTCCCCACCAGGCGGCTGGGATCCCCACAGCAACCTCTACCCCCCACCCTTACCCAGCAAATCGACCAAGCCTTTTCCAACGTACAGCTCAACCTCCAGCACGCCGGTGGTCTCGGCTGGAGCCAAGTCTTCCGGGTGAATTCGTACCACGTGGATATGAGCGACGACGCGCTCGCGGCCATGACGCGGAACTTCAAAAAGTGGATGCCGCACCATGCGCCTATCTGGACGTGCGTGGGAGTAGAGAGGTTGGGGGATCAGGAGATGAAGGTTGAGATTGAGGTGGTGGCGTTGGATGGGGAGGGGGCGGAGAGGGCGAGGGAGGCGAGGGAGGGGGGAAGAGGTGAGGGGAAGGAAAAGGGGGAGGGATGATGTGTTGGGCTTGCGTGTAATGAATGGAGTTTAGAATTCAAGCAAGAATTCTAGATCCAGTTTTTGTTATCACTGGTTTCATATTATAATACACGATATGATACTATATAATTCAATAAACCCCATCCATAACAAAAATCAAAATTGTATCCACGATTTTTCTTGGCCACTAAACCCATAATATGAAAAGATCTAATGAACTATCCCACATAATCTCTTTCGCGAGGATCTCTCTACCACTATCAAATTAAATTACCCAACCATAATAAGCTTCCTGACGCATCTAAGCCGAATGATCCATCCGCAAATCCGGGACATCAAAAACCACCCTGTCCTCCAAGATCAAAATCACGAGCAGGACTAAGAATACCAGGAAACTGAGAAGAATCTCTCCACAAAGAACTTGAGTTGGCATCGTCGTTCAGCATGAAATCAAGTTGGCCCATCCACGATTCATCTCCATCTTCTACCGAGAATGCTGCGGTACAGACATCTGGATCAAATTCTTGGAGTGGGTCAGCCGCGTGTTGAAGAAAGGTGTGAGGATCACAGATATCGTCGCGACTATCGGCGAGAACTTTTGGAGTTGGGATTGTATTAGTATCAAATATTTCTGATAGATTGATTGTAGAGCCTTGAGTAGTATTTGAACTATGTTGAATCGAATTGCTTATATCAGCTTGTTGAACATATGTCGAGTTTGCCAGCGTCGATACTGGGTTTGGCTGGGATACCTCGCCAACGAAGCTCCACTTGAGCGGCAACCGCATCAACGACATTCCACTGCACAGCCAACTCTTGAATCTGTGCAATCGCTTTGCTAGCCACTGGCCACTGATCCTGTAGAGCCGTTAGAGTCTCCATGCAAATCTGGAGTCTGCGGCGCGTGAGGGATATTTGAGTTGATGTGCGCGAGGTACTGAAGAGAAGATGCATGATAGATGCTGTGAGGATATGATGAACGATGAATGGAAGTGCCGCGGTAGGTTTACTCTGCTTAATATTGCCCAAAGATGGGAGTGTGCATGTGGATTCTGCTAGATAGTGTTTACGAAGTAGGTGGATATATTGCGTCATGCGAGTTGCAGCAGATGATATCGTCGCAAAGGCAAGTGAAAATGAGTCACTTGCAGGTGGATCGCCGAGATAAGGGCGATGAATCATTAGAAGAGACATTTGGTAAGACATTTGGAGGAAGAGGGCGGAACGTGGTGGTATAGATGCGGCTGTGGAGGTGGGAATTAGCAGCCAGGATGGCATGGCTCGTTTAAATGCTAGAAGTTCTGCTCGTGCCAAGAGTAGTAAACGACTTCTTTGGGGAAGCTCCAAGGCTTTAAACTCGAAGGAATATCTGCTTCTATGTTAGTATAAATTTGCTCCCTGTGTGGGGGGCATGTGTTACATTTGGTCCATGAATTGGTCGTGCAATTGCCAAAGTCCACAATTATAGCTGAAGGCAAGCTCATCATGTGAGGCCTCTGCGCCCAATAGAGAGTGTAGAATCGGTACCTGCACACGACGCCATGGAACCACACAACTGATGCCAAGCATAGTGGCGGCTATTCTATAAAAATGAAAAAGCATTAATATCGAGTGTCTGTGGAAATGTTGTCATGGGCCATTTGAGATGAATGAAATCTTACCGATCGATAAAGAACAATGACCAGAATGTCCCGAGTCGATTTTCCTGCTCTTGTTCCAAAAGTCTTTTAGAAGTGTCAGACTTGGAAAGAGCACCTAGACCAATCGCATGGAGACCAAGACCCATAGCAAGACCACCGGCCATAGCTAAAGAACACCATTTAGCAAGATTATACAGATTTTGACATGAAATCTTACAGATATATAGAGAGGCACAACTATCATGTTCCTGACTCAATTCCCTCCATGCAATGATACTTAGTGCTTGAACCACCGGAAGAGACGGTTGTTCACGACAAGCCTTGACCGAATTCATATCCATACATTCTTCGAATTCCTTCCCAGAATTCCTCTCTTCCTGAACCGTCGAAAAAAGAGCTCCGGCCGCAAAAACAGACCCGTACAAAAGATCCAGCGCCGGCTCATCAAAAGGATAGAGTTCGGGATATAGTTTATAAGAAGAAGGAATAAATTGATGCACAGGATTGAGCTGAGTTAAAAACAAATTCATGAGATTCATTTTCAAGCTCAGATTGTAACAGGCATCGTGGATGGGCATCATGTTGTTGAGAACCTGTGACCTTTTACGCGCTTCAGATCTGGCAACCACTGCATCGGCGGAGGAAGGAATACAGAAATTACCAGATGGTCCACTGAACATCGGCTCTCCCTTGTCACCAAGATCAAGTCTCCACACTAGTGTGGCAATATCATTAATAGCCGAAGAAGACAACGGGAGTTCTGTACGAGCCGTATTCCTTTGCTCCCCATCCAAGACATTGGGTCGATGAGATGATAAGCTTGAAGCTTCCGTCGTGTTCGCCAACGACAAAGTACTGGAAGGATTTTCGGACGACACTAAACATGAAGCTTGGCCTGCCTGCAGCTGTGCCACCTGTGCACGAAGTGTAGAGTTCTGCTCTTCCAAAACAGCCACGTACTCTGCATCCCATTGCTTGCGTCTTGATACATATACAATCAGTTCATACTGATCAGCACGTGATGATACTGAGTGCAGCATCACTCACTTGCGTGTTTCAACAGTTCCTGCATATTGACAATCCTTCTGAGATACATTACAGAGAGTGCATGATGGGCGTAGGCCATCACACTAGGAAATTTCAGCGAATGCTCCGCGGGATTTATAGCTAGGTATATATGGGAATTCTGCCCTAGCCTACCTTTCGTTTTCTCTTTCGACACTCCTCACATGCTACTCCGATACGTTTTTCTTTGCGGTGTAACTCAAGATTCATAGCTACATAGGATGAGAAAGTAGCTGACAGTATCAATTGTACTTCACCCTCTATTCTTCTTTAATTGAATTGAATAAACAGTTGAAGGTTGAATCTTTTTTCTTGTCATAGTGTACGAAAGTATGGAATAAGTTACATTACACCGCTTTTGTTTTGCCATCAATGAAATCATGCTGCCCATACAAATGATCCCGGCTGGCGAAGGCGGTAGAATATACTTATTCCATATACCTAGGTACCTCCGTAAGTCAAATTGGTCTATCTGATGACCCCGAAACTTCTTACAAAAAAAAAACGGTACATTCTACAATATCAAGACAAAAATCGGGATAATTATTTCACTCATTTCACTCATCTCAATTAACCTACCTAGATATCATCAACTCACTCCCTCTAATAAAAGCCCTTTCCTTTCCTTTCTCACTCTTTCTCCTTGTTCATACTATCCCCTTCTCCATCCCATCACAACCAAATACTACCTAAGTATTATTCCAGATCTTCACAGCTATCTAGATATCCACAACTACCTACCTATTCACAGCACATTCAAAGGTATCCTGAATCTTATTCCGATATCAATCTACCTACCTACCTAGATAGGTATATTTTTTCCCATCTTATCCTATCCTATCCATTCTATCCCATTCCCTAGGAATCCCCGTTCAATCCTTTCCCACCTAGGTATTTTATGTTCTTTATTACTCTGTTCATCATGGCCCGTCCCCTTCAACAATAGCCCCCAATCCAGAAACCAGCTATTCAATCTCCACCGCCTCTCTCTCCTCTCTTCCTCTCTCTCTCTCGCTCTCTCTCTGCTCTCCTCTCTCTCCTCTCTCTCTCTCCTCTCTCTCCTTCTCTCTCTCTCTCTCTCCTCCTCTCTCTCTCCTCTCTCTCATTCCTCCCTCTCATAACCCCCTCTCTATCCCTCCCTAACCTCCCTAAGTGTAATTACCTATCCACCAACAAAGCCTGTCCTCCTCCCTCTCTATCATTCCCTCTCCATCATACCCTACAACTTTACTCCCTTCCCCTCACTCCTCCTATCACTCCCCTCACTCCCCCCCTCACTCCATCCCCTCCAAGACACAATACACAATACACAAACCCCATTTTTCATAAACCCCTAAACCTCTAGACCCCTCTAAACCCCTCTGAGTAACACTACCTATCTCACCTATCTCACCTATATCATCTATATCACTTGCATTACATCACTCATATATATCACACCACACTACAACAAATCAAATTAATACTTAATATCACCGAGTGAGTAAGTAAACAAGTAAACAAGTAAGTCAATAAGTCAATAAGTCAATAAGTCAGTAAATCAGAAATCCTACCCGTTCCATAAAACCCTATTCCCAATAACTAAATCGAAATCGATGGACCAACTCAAACTCAAAAGTAAGGATTAATCTAATCCAAACACCTACCCCCACCCGCAAAGAATTGTTTCTTCCTAGTCGGATGATTTGAAGACGAAGAAGTATCAATGAGACAGACACACATACACATATACATACATACACAAACATTAACAAATTCACATCGCATCACATCATATCCACACTTCCCAAACCCCCAACAAAACTTCAAACTTTTGTTGCTATTATTTTGTTATTTCGGATTAGATACTGGATCATCCTGAACATCCCTGTAGGCGATCTCTCTCCTAGCTAACCTCTCTTACTATATATCTTCTCATTCTTCTTCTCAATGAATGATATGCTCAATGAGTAAACTCACACAAACAAACCACCAACACCATGCTATCCCATCCCATTCCATATGTATATCTGCCAAACCTAGCAATTCCCAGACTCCGTGTACCGATTGCTGAATGACCATCTAATAATGCTCAAATCCCATCTAGGAAATTCGAGGGGTATCATCCAATTCCATATATTCATAAAAAGCAAAGGGAAAAAAAAAAGCACAACTCCACACCACCATAAAATAATCGCCACGTGAATATCATGCGAGAGGATCGTTGAATCGTCAAAGGGGAAGCGACCCATTAAAATCGACCTGCACAAACTCAAGCCGAACGGTGTCTGAACATTGGTGGGGCTTGAGCTTGAAATCCCACAATATAATCCTTTTCCTCTCCGTCCATCGTCGTAAATTTAAGTGGTACCGTCGTCAAAACATTCAAAAATTGCTCTCCATTCTTTCGATAATTAATAAGAGCAACCTGTGATTCCAAGCCACGTTCGAGAGCAGTTCGGATGGTCAATTTCGCCATGGCGTTAGGATCATTCTTTGGATTTTGTATTCCCTTCATTGTTGGTGCAGTGCCGAGGTAATCAAAAGTGTTTGGATTGTAAGGTTGTTGTAGAAATCTGCAGTTTTTGCCAATGATCTCGGATTGAGAATAGCCTGTGAGGCGTTGAAAAGGTTCACTGCAGTAGACGATTGGACAGTGAGGACGGGAGGAATCGCATAGGACGAGAGCTACACCACTATCGATATTTCCCAGGGGATATGTTGGATTTGGACGACGTTGGATTTGAAACTGAGTCATGTTAAAAACGCATGTACTTTCAAGAGAAATTCAACCAAACGAGAGCACTCAAGCTGCTTCGAAGTTGGCGTGGAAAACGTACCAGAATTTGTAATACATCGAAACCACTTGGAGCATACAAGCCTGGAAGAAACATGGAATCGGAAGAAGCAGAATCTCGACTGTCTGGTCTGGGACTTCCACCTTGTCGAATTTGTTGATCTTTAATGGCCGCATGTTCTGCATACAAGGCTTGAAGCTATTGTGAAATGATAAGCCTCATGCATACTTAAGATGTACGCATGTAATGAGAGATACATGACAATGTCACCATCTCTCTCTCATACACGAGTAAGAGTAAGGATAAGTAAAAAGACTCACCTCTTTCAGCTTCCTAAGCTCCTCCTCATGTTCAGGAGATAACATCATATTGAACGAGTATCTTTTCTTTTCAACGGTTCTTCAGAAGATGTATGACTCGAGGATTGAAGGATGGTAATACAAAGAATTACTTTGTGCTTCTTGACATTGGTGATGTTCTTTTTTCCTTCACCCTTTCCTTTATATCCATTCCCTCAAAATGCTTGTAAAAGGTTAAGAAATTATGATTCGATCGAAGTGGGGGAGAGGGGAGGGGGTTGGAATGGGTGGAAACGACGTTTTGGGGTACCGTTATTTAAGTATTTATGGGATTATGGTTTAGGATTTAGGATTTAGGATATAGGATATAGGAATAAGGATATTAAGGATTAAGGAATAAGTATTAGGTATTTAATATTTAGTCTCAAGTGGCAGGATAGGTCTAGGTACTAGGTACATTCTTGGGAGAATTGAGATGGCTCGAGATGGTGGTGGACGTAGTGGAAATAGTGTAAAAGTAAGAAAGTTTAACCAACCTTGAATGACAATCGAACTAATAAGAAAGATTATAAATGTACCAGTATCGATGTATCATGCGGAATTATTGAGATGCCTTCTGATAGTATATACCCCTGACTTCCTCTTAATCGTAAAGCTACTTGGTTCATCGTACCTAGGTATGTACGAAGTAAATACTCTATGATTAAAAATAAACATAAGCTGATGAGTAATAGAGAGAAATTATATAAAGTGTCGTATCTGATAAAATGTATTATTAATAAATATATATATATATATATAAACTAGATGCATACCCACCTATCAATGAATATAATCCCACCCAGACAGATATAAAATATTGAGAAGGAATGAAATAATCAACACGGCAAACAGAAAGAAAGGAAAAATGGACGATTCGATCGAGCATAGTACCGTCCGGACTCCGTACCCAGGTAAAAGGATGTTCAAAGCTTTTTCCTTCTCTCGATCCCCAGGACATCTCACTTTGAACCAAAAGAGAAGTGACGATCGACCAATCATATCGTCAAATTACCGAATTATGCGAGGAAAAAGATATATTCGGCACGTTTCTCGTCTATGACCACTGGTTACGGATGGATGGACTGGTCCTGATATCGAAAAGAATGATAAAACATTATAAATATTGGCCAAGTCATACTTCTGCTCCGATTGGGACTTGCATGAATCTGGAGAGGCTCAATCGGAGAAATAGATGAGACATCTGAATCTCGGGATACCTACTAGATATTCTCGTGATCTTGAAACAATCATAAATAATAATAAGCTGGAGTCAAGACGCAGGACATCATGTTCAGAATGCTGACTCATCATGTGACACTAGCATGGAGATGATGAAATCGAATCATAATAAAATATCCTAGGGAAAAACATCTCTGCTGATCAATCATCAATGTGAAGGTGAAACTCACATGCACATCTCAAGGCACATACAATAGCGAGAAAGATAACATTACCATCCATATCATGATATACCGGTGTCCCTTAGATATACTAGATGCTTCTTTTCCGGGTTGTTGATGGATGTCGATGTCGATGTCGATGATGATGATGATGATGATGATCATGCCTGTCTCTCTCGCTGGGTTGACACTCTCGACACTTTTTTTACATGCAGTGACGGTAGGTACGATATTCATATCCTTGCGTGCGTGCGTACATTGCACTTACGCCTGCACTTGCCCTTCTAACTCGAACCAGGTAGCTACGTACCCTCGCCCTAGTCACAAATCCAAATAAGTGGGGACTCACACCACATTCCGCGAATCGATCTGGACTTTAAAGTTTATCCGAGTACCGAGCCTCCTTTCATCTTCATACAAGTGAGTTACAAGTTACAACACCCACCTCCCCGCCTTCAAGTGTGTTCTACTTCTAGTCTTCTCCTCCGTACCTAGGTAGGCCCTAGCCTCCTGGGAGGTGCGGCACATACACATACCTGGCTAGCGCACTAGTATCGATTCGATCAATCCTAGATATCGATATTGAATATCGATACGATCGATGATCGAGAATTGAGAATCGATGATTGAGAATCGAAGGACGCTTGACATTTACCCATTACTCCTTTTTCACACACGAGAGTCGAGACATATTTGGCGTCGTGGATATGTACGGAGTAAGACCTCCTGTTTGAATGCAATTGAAGTCTTGGACATATTCACCGCTTGTTACGACTCACGAGGATTATAACATTGATTTGATTGCGGAATCTTTGCATTTCATGTTCAGAACAGAAAAGCGTTGAGAAAAATAAAAAAATCGTATGTTTATTACAAATCGTACCTGGGTATCCATCTAGTCACGTGTCATTGATCTCATTGATCTCTGGATTATATCATATCAATATGATTATGAATCGATTTCCTACCGGTACTATCAAATACTCAGTCATCACGTTTGTCACAGATGAGTAGGTACCTAGGCATAATATTCCAATTACAGCCATCAACTCTATTATGATTATGGATGAGTATGATGTCTGACTCAAGCCATCACTCAGGTATCCAACATGCTACCAGTACTAGATAGGTATACTCAATCGTAATCACCTCATCGTTCTACAGAAACCACGATTTCGGGATTGATCATATCACGAGTAGGATCTGGAGAGGTGATGTGATCAGATAGGGAGACATGTTACAACTAGGTAACCATCACATTTCGGAATCTGGAGAGGAAGTGGTAAAAGCCACACATGAATCATCTATTCAGCCATCATCAGCTATCCTCAGCCATCCAAGAGCTTTTCTCCATGGCCCGGGGAGCCCGACCTCATGAGATGTTTCATCTGCTACAGAGTTCTCTAACTTATCCTACAACTCAATCACGTGATTCTACTGAATCCCCAATCACGAGTGCAGACTAGATGCCTACCTTTAAGCATCTTGAGTCTCTTCCAGAAAGATGGGATTCTCCTGTTTGAAATGAATGGCAATAGGTATACATTTTATATCAAAACTATCCCATCCCATCTCATCCTATCCGGAACATTTTCATCACCATGCCATTTCCTGAATAGTCACCAATGTACCTACCTACCTACCTAGGTACACAAAAAATGACATTTAGATACCCTCCCTCTACCCTCTACACCACCCAATCAACAAACTTCCAAACACGCAAAAACAAACGCCTGCCTACGATCATAATACCTAGATCAATCAATCTAGAAGTCAGACTCATTAGGAGACCCAACAGATCAGGAAGACCCTCGACCTTAAAGATTGCCCAGTGCATCTAGGGATATCATATCTTCTCAGTCCGTTCGATCAACTTTCTTCTTCTCCTCATCATGAAATGTAAATTGAAAAGATGTCGATTGATCGTAGATAGGTATCTATAAAATCACATCAAATCATCACTCAATCTATATCTTATACTCTATATCTTAGTTTTAGTCTCATATCTCCAAAACACAAAACAAAAATGAAAAGTAGATGTAAAAATACAAAATCAGTCTTCAACAATGTATAATAATTTCCACCGTCTCAATCATCATCACCTGGACAATCATCACATATTCACCTCTCGACTCCCTACCATCCAATCCAATTCAATCCAATCCAATCCAATCCAATCCCCCCGGCATATCCTCGGCCCCCAACCCACCTCACCCCAAAATTAAAAGATCAAAAAATGCCTCAGGCCCCACATCCATCGCACGCGCAACAATTTTACATCCAACCCCTCTAAAGTATCCAGAGTAGAGCGATACAAACCAAACACTCATCCACCAGCAGCAGTTCTCCCTCTCTCCACCACACCATACCACATCCCAAATTAATCTCTCGATTTCAATATGGCGAAAAAAGGTATTTTGTCTCGCGTTTTCCAATCTCGTTTCTTGGGTTTCGGATACATACATACATACATACATACATACAGCTATCTACGCCTTGATATGCCATCCCCTCCTCTTCAATTCCTCATCTCAGAGATCTCATTCATAGCTTCCCCTCCCTCCCTCCTTTCCCCTTTCTTCCCCGCACACAAAATGCAAAAACACAACACAATACCTACACAAAAGAAACATAAACTAACACCCCTCCCCCTCCCCTCACAGCGAAATCCCGTACAATCCCCGTCCGACTCATTTCCATGGCGTTAACGGGCTATTATAAGACGCTTATTCGACCGCGGGCGCATCGCCCGCTTAGTATGTTGAAATATGATCCTGTTGGTGAGTTTTTTTTTGAGATTTCTTTTTTTCTTTGGGGGAGGGGGAGGGGGGGGGCGAGGGGCTTTGGAGGGAGAAGAGGGGTTGGAAGAGGGGTTGCAGTGGGAAGAAGAGTTGTATCGAGAGAGATGATGGGAATCAATTGAGTTGTGCTAGTGAAGGAAGAGAGAATGCGATTGGGAAACGCAAATTGGGATCGCTTTCTATGATTGAGAAAATGGAGTCAGAGTCAGAGCCAGAGATGCAGATTGAGAAATACGATTCGCGAACGAAGCAGAGAGGATATGGAATTTGGAAAGTTACACAAGCTACGACGTCGAAAATACATCTATTCACATTCGCATTAAATTCTGTCGAACAAGGAAGGAAGGGAATCTCATGGAAACCGAAATTCATTCAATTTATACTTCAATTGCTCTACGCAGCATGTATACGGCCGGTTGATTGTCTCGTCTCGTCTCGTCTCGTCTCGCTTCGCATCATGGATACTTCATAGAATCCCAACACGTCTGCGCGCTTCGGCCTGTTCCTCCCTCCTCTCTGAATCTATATTCGATTCCTTCACCTCTTTCTCTATCTCTCTACTACCGCCAACTCTAAATCTCAATCCGCCAGCTCAATCTCATATCTATCTCTCCTACCCACTTCTCCTTCGCATTCCATCGCAATCCCTCTCCAGCACTTCCACGCCCTCAAACTCAAGCTCAACCCTTCTCCCTCCGCCCCTCTCCTCACAAACCCCACTCAAACCCCCGCTCTCCATCAAACTTCGAAATTCATGCCCCTACCCCCCTCAAACGCTCCTTGAGTCAAACTTCGCTATACTCCAATCTCAAAGCTAACCCCCCTTCCCCATCTAGTCCGCAAAAAGGTCCTCTTCCTCGAACAAAAGCGTGGCGGTGGTGGTAAATAAATAGATCAATCACAATCACAATCACATTCGTAAATCTATCTATCCATCCACCTATCAATCAATCAATCAATCAATCAATCAATCAACCAAAATACCACACTTAAACCACGCCCTCACCTCACCTCACTCCATCACAAAACAACACAACACAATTTCAAAAAACAACGAACAATACATACACCTACAAAACCCCATAAAAAAAATCAAAGATACCACAAAAGGTATGCATGTACGCAGTGATAGAGATACGTATATATGCATGTAAGGAAAGGAAAGGACAGAAGGAAGGAAGTAAGGATTTTATGGCATACCTATACCAAATAAGGGAGAGAAATGATCATTTGACAAACTCTTCAGCATTTGCTGCTCTGGGATAACTTCAAAGAAGTGAAGAGAAGAAGAAGAAGAAAATTTACAAAAAAATGCCTTTATACTACACGAGAAGATACCATAGATCTTGTTGACATGGCTGTGAGTGTGGATACCATTACTCAAAGAAAGAGTGTACGAATAGGTTGCATGGAATGGCGTATGGAATAACCTCATGAATACAATCACCATTTTATTACTTGAAGCCACACGGCAAAATGGAGTGAATATGATTTGTTGGAAAATATATTAATGCAAATTCTAGGTTTCTAGATTATCTAGCTAAATGATACTTAACTTTTGTCCTTGTACTTCCCCGACATATATAAGCGATATTTGCGAAACAGCGAAACATATATGCTACATATTGTGGACCTGATCTCATACTTCTCTTACATCATGTAATAATTTTCCGCCATGCGATCTCTTTCAAGCCAATGAAAAACAGCCACTTCAAGTATGTTAAAAATATCCTTTTCTCCTTCGATACACGAATCGCAAGTTCTCAAAGCAATGTCATTTCTCTTTCGTACCTCCGAAACTGTGAAAGTTTGCAAGCACATACAGGAAGGGCAACAATAAAGTAATTGTTGACAACAACACCCGAAGGATAGGTGCTATCTTCCGCCTAAGTTGGGCAAATTTCAATTCTGAAGTAGTCAAGTCAGCGGTTGAGTATGATATTGCCTCCGGAGCGGTAGAATATCCACCTCACTGAGAATCTGGAATAATTGTCTTGTTTGTTGGCTGGCGGCGGTTGATTCTTGGGGCTTTCGCAGGTCTGGTGGATTGTAGATCCTGAGTATGAAGGGACGAATTTGATCTTGCTCTCTTCATAGCATTCCGCTTGATCTCAGGTGTTGGCTCATATCGAGGTTCCGGTGCCCTTAAACTTGCAACTTTTGGTTCTCCACTCGCAATACGATTGTAGCTGCCTGTACCAGTCCCACGGGTCGCTTGAAGTCCGATACTGGAAGCGTGATTGTTTCTTAGTGCCGGCCTTTTGAAAGGTCTCTCGTCTTGGTTATGAACTTGATCTTGTGAGGCATCGTGAGTAATAGAATAGTCCTGGTGATCGCCTTTTTTCAGAGCGGATTTGAGTGGCTTATTCGTTCGGCGTTGAACAGATTCTTCTGCAACTGAAAGAATAGCCCTGGACGCTTGAGTTGGTGTGTCGACAAATTCTCCTTCGAGAGTAAGCATGACTTTGTTGATTTTAGACTTTGGGGTCCCAACGTGTTCTTCTCCATAAGGATAGTACTTGGATCGACTCTCCATCTTTGCGATCTTATCGTTGGATAACTGACGATTTTTGTTGTATGCTCGCTGTAAATCCTCCCGGCTATGTGCAGATTGAACCATTGGCATAACATCCTCCAAATCAGTCAAAGGGCTTGTTGCAAGAGTAGCAATAGTAGAAAATGGTTTAATTGGCGTCTGACTTCCGCCATTGTTGTCGCTATATGTTTGCGAAGACGACAAAGTTCGTGGAGAGGTTTTGTTTACTTCGTCAGTCTGGAATTCACGGACCGTATGTTGGTTTTCTCCCATGCCGTTTTCAAGAGGTTGATAATGGAAATTGCTATATCGCCGCTCAGCAGGTCTGCGTGAAGACGATCGATTATCGTTGCGCGATGTTGGTCCAATTTCATCAACACGATGGGAATTGCCAATCATTTTTTGAGTACTTTCAGTCATCGCATTTATATCCTCCAAACGCTTTCGTAAACGATCGTTGTCCTTCATCAGGTGCCCATTCTCTTCGTTAATTCCACGAAGTCTTCTATGAGCGCCTTCAAGTTCAACTTTAATTCTAAGACCTTCCTCTCGACAAGCTTGTAATGATGCATTCTGACTTGCTTGCTCTTTGCGAATTGATAGTATCTCTTGTTTGTGTTCTTGTTCGAATTTCTGAAGTTGATCAGGAGATATGGAGCTTTCCTCCAAGCTTTGAAGCTGAAGCTTCTGCTGTAATAACTGGTCTTTGTATGTAGCTATCTTTGACTCAAGCTCGTTGATAGTCTTAGTATGCTTACCAGTCGTCTCTTCAAATGCTTTTAATTTTTCAATTGAAGTTTGAAGTCTCTTCTCAGTTTCTGTTTGTTTGTGTTTGAGGTCATTTACTAAGGAGTCATGTTGGGCGAGTAACTCCTTTCTTTGAGAGAGAGCAAGCTGGGTGGTCTCCTGTCGAACTTTTTCTGTAGTTGATCTGCAATCCATTTGAAACTTTTGATTCTCTACTTCCAATGCCTTCATGGCAGACTCAACATCTCGAAATTTTTTCTCTGTATCGCGTAACTGTTTTTGAGTAGTAGTGATTGTCGTTTGGTGAGTTTGGATATCTTTCTCGGCTTGACGCTTGTCATGATTGGCGGCGGTAAGAAGGCCTTCCAGTCTAGAAATCTCAGTGGTCAATGTATCGACCTTTTTCTTCAATTCGGGGTCTTCTCTCGGTTCAGCAAGTGAAATTGTGAGTTGTTGGGTTTTCCCCATCAACTCCGAATGAACATCTGCCAGCTCTCTAGTCAACTCATCCATTCGGGTGACATTATTCTTCAAGTTCGCTTCTTTTGATTTCAGATTCGCCTCAAATGTGGCATTGCTCTCTCGGAGCATATTTATCTGCTCATTGAGCTTGATTTTTTCATCTATATCACCGCTGATTTGAATGAGTCGTTCCTTAAGATCATCAAAGAGCTTGACAGTAGACTCCTGGAAAGTAGTATCCTTGCTACCGTTATCATCAAATTTCGTTTCAATTCTAGAATAGAATTCTTCGAGAATCTTCGTCAGAGTTTGTGGCCACTCCAATGTTTGATTGAAAGAATTGGTGAATGTTTTTGACATTCGGTCAATCTTTCCATTGACGCATTCGGCAGAATTCAAAACCTTTTTGAGAATCCCGTCTTCTTTTGTAAGTTCTCCGAGAGTGTCGACTGGTGGTTTTTGGAGAATTTCCATGACTTCTTTGTGGCGATCCCGGCCGTCATTGATTTGATTTTGAAGTTGCTCGATGCAACTACGTTTTTGTTCTAGTTCCTCCAACTTTAAATCGTAATCAGCTTTGAGGCGTTCATTCTCACACCGAAGTTGATCAATCTGTTCAATATTCTTGTCTCGCTCGCTTTGTTCTTCTCGAACCTGCTTGATTTCGTTCAATAAACATCTCATTTTCTTCATTTTAGCATCAATCTCCCTAATCTCTTGAATCTTCAATGCTCTCAACTTTTCCATCGATGCCTTCATCACTTTTGAATCTTGTCTAAGAAACTTATGGCAAACGACGACATCATTGATGTGTAGTCTGTAGTCATTAGATAAAGCATTCAATCTCTCAACTCTCTTTGACAATTCATCTTTGCTTGCCTCTAATTGTTCGTTGATTAGATCTGCATCTTGCAACTGAGTATTGAGAATTGCAATCTGATTCTCTTGATCTTTGATAAGGTCTTGTTGTTCCTGGAACTCAGCGATGGCATCATGAAGAGCATCGAAATCTAGGGAAGATCTCTTTTCGCAGCTACTGACGTGATCTCCGGTTTTGTTCATTTCGTCTCGAGAATGCACAGATGCTAATTTGGTGACTTTGGACGCACGAATATGACCTAATGTTTCCTCAGATATTCCTTGAGGTTCAAGGTCATGGGGTTTAATTGGCTTATTTACGACTTTTCGCTGAGCCTCATATTCACCCTGAGTTCGTGGAGTTGCTTGAGATCGAGGTGTCTGGGTTCGGGATATGTTTGCTTGAGATACAATGCGCGAAGGTTCCTGATATACTGGAGAATGTCGATCTGTTTGCATAACAGGATGGCCTGGCTGGAATGTGGGATTCGGAATCGATTGATTAAATTCCTCAGCAGAATCTTCTACTTGTGGATTATCTTCATATTCTACAGGATTCACCGTGAAATCTTCCCTTCTGCCATCCGAGACTTGAACTTGAGAGTGTGACAGAGGATCAGCATTCTCCACTGACTGGTCCATCGATCCTCGCCGGACAAGTTTGTCATTGGTACGAAATCTCTGGGGTTCTGATCCCAAAGCTGGTTGAATCTCGTTTGAAAGCTCTTTCTCAGCAAATTGAGGCTCTGAATACTGAGGTACTGGTACTGGTACTTGAGGTTTGCTTGGCTTTTCTCGGTGTGCTTGCAATTTTGGTTCGTCCGCAAAAGCTTCTGGGAATGGACATTTCTTGACTAAGTTACCATAAACATTGATTTTGCTCACGCCGAGACGATTCATTCTACGAGAGAGTTAGTCGGTAAACTTGAGACGAAAGGGTAGATATACTTACTGATTCGAGGACTTTTGTCTTAGCCGGAGGCGACCCGCATAATGGATTGGCGTAGCAGCATTTTGTTGAGGTGGAGGTAACTCAACCAGCTTAGATGGTTCATCGTGAGAAGCTTTCAGCACCGGAATGTTGTTCGATTTATTGGAAGAGGCCACTTCATTACGGCTTGTAGACTGCGGAGTGATATCATTTGGAATTGAGATATTTCCTTCCGTCTGAAGTGGCAGATTTGCTATGCATTTGGTGGGATTGTGGATAGGAGGATGGATCGCTGAGTGGTTCTGAACAATGGGTCGTGCAGCTTCCTTGGGACCGCAGGCGTTGACTAACGAAACAGGATCACTATCGGGAATTTGATGACGTTGAGAACTGCTACACAAGGCTGAAGAGACAGATCTCGGAGGATGACCCGATTTTTGTAGATGTACGTTGCAAGTATCAGGAAAACGCACGTTGATTGCCGTGTTTTGAATGGCAGGGGGTAGTATCTGCTCTGGAGCTGGCTTTTCGGATGGAGCAGTGAGAACATTGGACTTTTGGTGGTGTCTGGAAGCCTTGAGAACTGGTAGAGGGACGCTTTTGGGATGTTGAGCCGAAGTAATTGGAGGCATATTGTGGGTATCAAATGGTTGTTGACTCAATGGCATAACTTCAACAACAGGGATTGCTTCTCTACCCCGAATCGGCCTAACAGATGCACGGACGCGAACATCGGTGATGGGATGAGTTGCAGAAGCATTATGGTCACCAGCGGATGCCTTCTGCGTATGGTGCACCGAGTTTGTTGAAGGTTTACCGTGAAGCTTGGGGATGGGAGTTACTGTCAAACCATTAATATCCAATTGGCCTGATAGCTTTGTAGCTCTGTTGCGATCAGCTTACCTTTCGCCAATACTTCGTGGGATCTCTGTGTTGTTTGAGCTGCAACTTTCGGTCCAGATGTATTCTGGACTGTCGATCCATACTTCCCTGGTCCAGGGGGATATTTAAAAGGAGCTTCTGTTGGCTCTACTGGCCTAGAAAACATTATGGGTGGCGACATGCTGTTTGGGCGGGCGACATCAATGGCTGATCCGTCATTCTCCGATACATGCGGCCCTTGACGTGATGGGTATGTATGATCGAATTGAGCAGAATCCTCAATAGGCTGAGTATCTATCTCAATGTCTGCAAATTGAGTCTCTTCAACAAACGATCGAGAACCAAAACTGACTTTTTGAGTGTCTTTTTGATCAGACTCTTCTTCATTCCGAATTGCTTGGGTATCTTTTTCGATGTCTGCAAACTGAGTTTCCTCAACCAAAGAATTGTTGCTATCTTGCTGACAACGGTGAGAATGGTGTTGCTGGGGCATTGATTGTGTATCCAAGACCATTTCATCCGCCTCGGAGCCAACGTCAATCATTTGTACATCATCAGCGTCAAGTTCTTGTTCTTCATCTCCATTTGAACCGTAATACCCATCGGCACCGCCAGGAAATGCATCGTCAAGGTAATCTTGCTCAGGGGGAGGTGAATGGAGCGGAACAACGATTTGGCTCTCCTGTTCGTCCGGGTTCAAAGCCATTTTGACGAGTGTGAATCACTAAATTTGTATAAAAATTAGATATTCTCAGAATTTGCAAGATCTGAAGTAGCTCCTACCCAAGGAGGTGACAGATATTTTCATCTGCGGAGAAACGACGAACATGCGGAATTGATTAGAATCTTCTCACGCCCGGGATTGAAAACGATTGAGTGGTAGGATACAATTTACTTGATCTACCTTCACTCGCCAGCTCAGAGATATGATTCTGAGGTAAATGGTCGATGAAGATGATAACGATATGAAGTCGGTTACTTCAGGTACATGACGAATAAAATGCAGATGGAATGAAAGTATACGGAAACAAAGAGAGAATCGACGAGATGTCAATTATGACATGGAGAAATGAGGGAATAGAGTGTGGGGTACAAGTGCAATTTAGGTAGAAGATGTGTGAGTTTGACTATGAAGGCAGGAGCACCTTCGGTCCTTCCTTTTCTACCACATTCGCCAGCGTGAAGCAGTGCAGCTTTTGTTGGGCAGACCCAACCAGCATTCGAAGATGAAGGGGATCTTGGAAGTGGTATATTTTATAATAACTATTTGTATGGCACCATTCAATCTCTCCATATTCTTGCAATAAATGAGGATAAATTATTGTTGGATGTACAGACACGTGATAAACGCGTGATTATCAAAAACTGCTCGACTTCGAGATCAATCAACATTTAAAGCCCATCAGGAGCTAACTAATAACAAAAGTTAATAGAATATCCATTTTTATAGATCAGATCTATGTCAGTATATAAAAACTCACGAGATCTGAGATCCAAAACTCAAAAACATCCGAGAATATTCTTCACCACATAGTTGTGCCGACGACAAGCATTGTACTGACCGTCACATGCAAGTCACCTGCTGGCGTTTCCGTCTCCCGCAAGATCTATTTTAAGACCCAGACTTTCCTTATCGTCCCAAAGACGGTGGTATCGACTGCAGTGTTCAAATGGACGAGGGAGTCGATCGTACACCAAACAGCACGCAAGCACTCGGAAACTCTTCAAACGCTTCATGAATCAGCAATATCCAGATCTGTTTGGAAGATTACTACATTCCCAGCCCAAATTTCCAAATATACATCGAGTATCTCCAATTCTGATATCGATCAAACGACACACACATGTAACTACCCATCACATAATCCTCCCCGACGCCTCAAATACAACCACATACCTAAAGTTCTAGCAGAATCACAAGCACCCGAAACGAATCTACTTTTAAATGTATTTCCCAAGCTCCTCTCAAGCTTGGCCTCATTTTATATTATCTCTCGATCCAATCGATCTCATCAAAATCAAATATGTTGCACATCTTGCGGAATATTTGAATGCTGTACTGTATGTATGTAGGTAGGTAAATGAGGATTAAAACATCTTATCCTACTTTGATATTGCGTGCAGTTCTATATTGCGCAGGGGACAATACAATAACGTAGTTTAACACTGAATAACCCATATCACTAAGTAATCTATTTTCATCTCAATTTATACTTTCAAACTCATATTATTCAATAATGATTAAATTAATTGATTAAAACTATTAAGAATCTAATAATCTAGGATTTATTATATTATTTTGATAGATTCTTATATTATATTCTATCTTTTTGTATTTATTATAAATATAATTAAAAAATATTTTTAATTTAATTCAATATTTTATAAATCAATATACTTAAAGCTTTTTAATATATTTCATATTTTTTAATTTAAGAATATAATTCATTATATTTTTTATATTCTTTAATTTTAATGAAAATTGTTTTAAATTTATATCAAATATATATTAAATAATTATTTCTTTTTTTAATTCTATAATCTTATAATTATTAATTCGAATTTCTGTATAAAAAGGTAAACCTTTTATTTTATATTGAAGAATTGTATAAAGAATATTATAGAATATAATAGCTTTTCAAATATTTAGTTTTTTATTTTTATAAATAAATTTGATAATAAGGAGTATACAAGCTTTTTGATTATTCGAATTCATTATAGGTTATTGATAAAATATATATTGAAAGAGAAAGGTGTAAATTGAAGTGAAAATGGGCTACTTGGTGATATGGGCCATTCGGTATTAAACTATGTTACATGTTTCTTCAAAAATATCATCGGAAAACTACCGACCGAACCACATACATGTACCAAAGTCCCCCAACCAATCCCTCTGCTTTCCCTCGCAAATCCCCAACTCATACCGTCTCACCACATCACTCTCAAGTTCTCACAGCCACTCCAAAATCATCTCTTCTCACTCCCGCAAGAATAAAGATTCTCGGCAGTCACCAAGGCAATAAGCATGCAATTATAACCTCATCGCCTTTTCCCATAGGTCGATAATTACTAGCGCCAATATGTTGGCGCTTAAATTATTCCCCTCCACGAATCAAACAAACGAACCACAACTTCATGCAATACCATTTGCAGCAAACCTTATACCACTATTTTTGTGTGAAACTCATGTATGGAGTATGGATATAGAGCTATACAAATAGAAGCCACCCATTCAGCGGCCACAACTAGGATATCTCCCGTAGCAGAATTAAGCTATCATGTAGTAAAAGTATACAATAGCGCTTACAGCCATCTGTACACCATAAATTTACAAAATGGAACAAGGAATAAATAAATCCCCTCTCTCCCGTCATTTAATCACACCATTCGCTTTCTTCAGCTGTTATCTGATTTGTCTTTTTCTTTAGCTGTCTCGATTTCTGTATGCCACCATCACTATCACAGCGTCAGGTGTTTCGTTAATTCTTTTCTTCTTCATCCTTTCCTTGAATGTCATTGGTTTCTTGGATTCTTCAACAGGACTCTAGCGTTCTACATTTGAGTTTTTATATTTGAGATTTTGATTCAAGGATTACCTAGTGTTTTATTTCATTATGAGGTCCACCGTTTCCCTTACTTTTATTGTCCTCCCTTTCTTTCTTGATGTAATTTTTGCTCAAAATTCCTTCTTAACATCTACTTCCACTTCGGCACTCATATCTACCACATCTGCGCTAGTATCAAGTACCGCTACAGGTTCCTCACAGTCTCAATCGTCAACCGAAACACCGTCCCCATCACTTACGACCTCCATATCCCTTACTCCAGCCATGTCCTCCAGCTCCGTTGCCTCATTCTTTGCCGCGCTTGCAACAAACGAGCCTTCAGCACCCAACAGTCCACCAGCTGGCGATGCCGCGAGTACGGGCGGAAGTGCGGGAGCCGATAGTGATGCAGGTGCGTCTGGGACTACGAGTGGTGGTGTTCAGTTGTCGAATGGAGCTATGATTGCGATTGTTATTGCTGTCATTGGCGTGTGTCTTTTTGGAAGTATGAATCTCTTTTATCAAAGAAACGACGAGTAATTAACATTATGGATAGTAATTTCAGCAACACTGTTCTATTTCGCCAAGAAACGTTCCTGGGAGGTGCGCAAGAAGCTACGGGCTTCGGCACGCAAAGTAGCCGTTGCCTTAACACCCAGAAGAGCTACATTCGGTAAAGATGTGCATAAGAGACCCGGGGGCCGTGGTTTGGAGAGAATAGACGAGGTACCGCCCACGCCCAAGATATCGAAGACATTTGTGAGTGTGAACGATGTGGAGAAAGGTGAAGGGAAGATGATGGAATTCGAATTGTCGGATGCGCCGAAGTCCAAATGGGCGCGGAAAATGAGAAATGAGAGATAGATGGTGATGATGGCTGCTGGGACGGCTTTGGTTTTGTGTTTTGATGTATGAATGTTTGATACCCATGGAATGATTGATATGAATTGGATAAAGGTTGTGGATCATCCCTTCGTTTTGCGAATAATAGCAACTGTTTTTGTGGGAGGCATAGTTTGCAGGTATTTGAGTTTTGGCGCTTGAAAATTCTCATGTTATGTATTATGAAAGGGGTATCATGAAGTCTCAACTTCGGACTATTACAATCTTCTGAAAACGTTCCCACTGGCGCTTCGTCTTGCATCTTCGCGTCTACTCCTGCTGTTGGCAGGCTTGGCTTCCGTCTTCTCTTTATCTTTTTTACCAGCAGGAGCGAATGTGACTGAACGCTCACCAACAACATCGCCCCTGTTTTTGCTAACCCGACCAGTGCCTTGTTTGCGGGCTCCCAAAGCATTATCTTTACGTTGATGACCCGATTTCTTGTAAGACGAGGAAGATATACGCATCTCAGCAGCTGGCTTAGGCTTCGATACAATCTCATCTTCATCATCGCTCGATTCATCCTCACTATTGACCTTGCGCTGTTTGTTCTCCTCGCCACCACCGGAGACCCTAGTACTAGGGTTGAGAGCTTGGAATTCTCTGCTACGCTCATCAATAGCGAAGTCTTCGTCCTCGAAAAGCTTGCCGAAACGAGAATCACCCAAGACACCAGCATTCTCATCAACCTTCTCCCTACGCTCTTGTCTCTTGAGTACTTTATCGACCAAGTTCTGGTTGACCTTAACCTTCTTGCCACCTCTGATTCTACTGGCTCGCTCCTTCTCAACCTTCTCCTTGACTCGTTTGGTTCTCTCGTCTTCCCAGACATATGGATTAGCAATCAACCTGGCTTGCTCGTAAAGTTTAGATGCCACAAAGTAACCATGCATATATGGTCGTAAGAGATTGGTAGTTCCGATGAGATGGCCCAGGTTGAGAGCTTTGAGTTCTGGTACTGTCAAGAACTTGTAATTATCGTAAGTTTCACTTGGTGCTTCCTCTGCCATTTCTTCAACCATATTATCCAAGAATGAACACCACTTTGGTGCAGGACCCAGTTGTGGAATGAAGAAGGCATGTTGTTGCTTTCCTTCGTTGGCCGTGAGGAGCATGCCACTATTCTTGCACCATGCTACTGAGTTGATGTCCACTGCTGGTTCGACCGATGTCCAGGCTTTTCCATCTGTTTCGTCCCACAATTTGATGATTCGTTTATCTGCGGATAAAATTTTCTTCTCTTGTGAAGAAGTGGTCATGTGCATCAAAGTCTTGATCGCATAACCATATCCTTGATCTTTGGTCAAGATTGGCACAGGTCGTCGAAGATCATACAATTGTACTATTCCTTCGGAGGATCCTGTCGCAATTGATATTCCTGATCTGTCAAAATCAAGCGCAGTAATTCCTCCTTGCTGACCCGCGAGAATTCCTACTCTTGCTTTGGATCTTGAATCCCAAAACTCCACCGTACCAATTGATGTCCCAAAAGCCATGAGATTATGACTTTCTTCGGCAATAGATGCACAATTGACACTTCCAGTATTTATGCCTCCTTGTAAAGCGCCGCCGCCGGAAGTCGTCAGGTCATCGCCGCCAACGTCTATCTGGTATGGTTTCATGTAACGTCCTATTTCGAGATTCAATCGATATACTTCTCCAAGACCGTCTGCATTGACACCAACTGCAGGTATTAATGCTTCCGTTGACGCTCTATCGTAGACAAGGTCACGCCCGTACCGAGGTAATCGAGTTTGATAATGACATCCGCCCTGCGTGTGAAATTCTAGTCTACGATCGGTCTGTAGATGAAGTGATTTTGTGTAATCGCTAGACAGGAGAATGAAGGAATGATTAAGGGTTGTTGTGTGTCTTGCGAATGAAAGAGATAAATGAGGAAGATAATGTGTATGAATTTGCGGTTTATATGTGCCAGTACTCATAACCCATTCCCCATCCTCACTAACTCTTATACAAGAGCTAGCTTCTTCGAATTCGAAGTCCTGTAAAAGTTCGACGCGGTTGGCATATTCTGGATCGTTTTTCAAACTACGCTTTCTTTTGCGAGCAAGCCAGTCAGGTAGAGGGCGTGCAGTGGAAGCACCCGAAATGGTGTACACAGGTACATCATTTGGGTTTGTAAGCTTCATGTTGAGAGATTGATGAAATCAAGCTAGTATGTTATTTTCAATGATAGATATTTCGATTTCAATTTGCCATTTTGTGAAAGATGTCGCATTCAAACGGCTTCGAAATGAGAAAATTAAATGTCTGCTCTAGAAATTATTTTCTTATCGAAAAAGCGCGGTGCCCGGGGATACTTTCAACCGGCGGCCGCGGCGGCCGCGGCGGCAAAGCAGGATTATCAAATCATGCTGACAGGGATAAATCAGCCTGTTCGAACGAATAGTAGCTGGGCGAGCTGGGGCAAAATCAGGGTAGCGCAATTTAATTGCTTAGTCCGAGTAATCGGTAATTTTGACTATGCCCCGAAACCATGTTATCAATAACTCTTGTAGTCTATTGAGACTATCGTCAAATACAGGTACCATCTGCTTAATACTTTCGACCATTATATTTTGCTATCTCAATGCTTTCAAGATACCCAATTCATCTGCGATTCTGTTCTGTGCCCAGCTTCTGATTGCTTTTCGCGATTTGTAACAACAATTTAGTCGCACCTTGCTGAACAGCCAGCCACTGCGACAGCCGACATCTTCATTTTGAGATGGAGCCCTGCGAGTCCAACTCAAGCTCCCCGACTCAAACATCTAAGATTTACCGATTTGACTCGATAGGATCATCAACAAACTTACTTGGATATATAAACGAGATCATTTGGGGTGCATAAAAGGGAAAAATAGCTTGTGGCGGAGGAGGGGGGGATCGGCGCATTACATCGGCTGTTCTGCATGTTCATTTTATGAGTTACGACCTGTTACGATATGGATCTCGGGGATCAACCTACCAATGTATTGTGTTGTGTAAGGATTCTCGCTCGATTCGGCTTAAATAAACTTCGTGGCTAACTATATACTCAGGACAATTTTGCATCAATAACCTATGAATATTTCGAAACCCAATGGCAATCACCTTCCTCTATAGCAAAAAAGCATTTACAAGACGTGGAAACTGCTTGGAGAAAACATGGTTCTTTAGTATATTACGACGCAAAGCGAGAAGGGATCTGGGTCTTCCAACCAAGCCCAAATTCTCCGAACAAAGCTCTCGATGAAGGGGACAATCTACTGAGCCAAGCCAACCTTCCTACTGTACAAGGTGTCGAGTTGTTAAAGAAGGATAGAGGAACATATGAACCTTCCTACCTTGCAAAGAACAAATCCATACTCGCAGCTAGTTTGAACACTCCCACTAGCACGTCTTCGCCTTCACCCCTCGAAAATGCACTACGCAATGCACAGAATGTCAATGCAAGGGCCATGCAAGCAAATTCGACCCAGAATCTACATGATCCGGCAGGAGCGTCTCCTGGTGTTAAATCCGTGGCAAGCCTAGGTGACACTTTCGCGTTTCTGAAAGAAGTCCAGGAGCGCTTCATATCATCCGTTCAGGGCTCCATCATGTATAGGCTTTGCAACGACCACGGGTTGATTCCTCTCAACTCACGGACCTTACTTCTCCCCTCAGAATCACCATCTAGATCAATGGCATATTATCAATCTCCAAAGGTTTCTGACGACACAGTCACTCTGGTCGACTTAGACATCAGTCTCACTTCCCTGGGAGCCCTAATGATAAAAGCTTGTTCTTACGTCACCCCTGGTCTTCAGAGTATAAGTCACTCAAGCCCAGAGAAGCTCCAAAGAATTTTATCCCAGGGTACTGAGCTATGGCTAGCACCAGGGGGAAACCCAGCGAGATTCTACTCATTTTATGATGATGAGCAACTGCCCGGAATCCAACCTATTTCGGATTTACAAAAATATCCTGAAGATCACAGCTGGCGATTTCATGGAACGACAATTAAGTCCTGGCAATCTCGATGTTTGGATTGGTTGTCGACCAAGGGTTTTTATTCAACTTCAATCGAAGAAGGTGGTTGGATGTTTGTGCAGGTGCTAAATGCTAATTATGGATCTTCGAACCCCGAATACGAAGATACACCTTCTTCTGATGAAGGTGCTATTGTACCTTGGCCAACTTTGTTATGCTTCAGGGCCATCAAAACTTCTGCACCTGACCTGCAGCCTTCAAGTGCAAATTATTTTGGGCTTGTAGATCCTCTGACATTCGTGGAAGAATGGTCTATTAACGCCGAAGAAAGAGCGAGGATCATGTCGAATAGGCAGCAGGAGCGGAATGTCTTAAAGGCTGCTAAAGAACAGGCTGATCAGGAAGCTCAAAACATTCAAGCCAACAACCATTCTACAGCATTATTGGAAAAGGGTAGCAATGCTGGCGCAATGTATCCTACACCTCCAGATGCCATACATCACCCTGGGGGACCAACACCATCATTCGACGGTGCAGTCACAACGCCTGGGAACGCTACCCATTTATTCCCGCATGATCACGAAGCAACGAATCCCAGCACATCTATTATGAACACCGTGGACACTGATAACTGGGTAACTTCAGAGCAGAAACATCGCTCAAATTCCAATATGAACTTTGGAGAAAATGACAATGATAATGACAATCTCTTTGGAGATATGGGAGGAGATTTATTTGGCGATACAGACATCACTGATGCTGACTTCAACTTTTTCGACCAACCTGATGACATAGAAATGGATCATCAGCCAGGGTCACCGGTCGAACCTAGTCTGCCTCCTGCTCATCAACATAAGGTTGTTGAAAAGTCTTCTGTCTCCAGCAAGCCATCAGTGCCCCAGCCAACAACAAAGGATACGATCATGAAGGAATCTCAGCCGACAGAGAGCAACATGGAACAACCCACGTTCGACCAGCGCTTCTTAACTTCAGAAATGGATATGGATGTCGAAATGTCCAACAATAACGACAGTTCGATAGCTTCTGCTCAATCACCTTCTCCACCACGCATTGTGGCTCCCTTCGACAAAGAAATAGTATTCGGCCAGTTGGCAAGACGAAAACGAAAACGAAAATCAAAATCGCAGTCATCCAGCGAGTCCAGCGTATTTGATGAAGTAAAATTTGAATACTCTTTAACAGAGGTTGATGAGAAGTACGGTTCCAATGGGCGATTTCGATATTCCGACGATGATCTAAAACCACAGCCTGTAGAGCCACACGATCCTACGAACCCAGAATCTTTTGGTAGACGAAAAAGTGACAATAAAGCACACGAATCTGATGTGTTGACTCGAATTCTGAATAATGATGATGCGCAGTATGAATTTGAGTTGGATAATGAAGCAGAGCTAGATATAGCCAGCGATTCTAACAGTATAAGCGACGCTTCGGAGTCTGACGAGGCACTACCAATAGGGGTTTCGACCATGGTTAAACTCGGCATGAAAGGAAAACGCTATTTTGATGAGGCCAGTATAAGTTCATACAACGCTTTTACTGGAGAATATGAACCCTCCGCGGGGACTCCTCAGTCCGTAATTGAACCACATATCCCGATTTTCGAATCTGATCCCGCAGATTGGTCTCTGACGCCATATTTCACTTCCCCCGAACCAGATATTCAGCCTAGCGGGTTATCGGATCTAGACTTGATCGAAACGGCCCAAATTATTGCAGATCAAGCGGCTTCGGGGTCTCTTCGTGTTAACGATCAAATAAGTCAGACTCCCGACGCGCATGATCAGGCTACCTTTGCTACTAGAAGCCTAATGACTGATGTCTTGCAAGCTACGAAGGTGTGCTTGAAAGATGTCAAAAATTGTACTCTGAGGTCATACCTTACCATCCCTGGGATTCCAGCTGTAAATGCAGCTTTGCGTTTACCACCCCAAGGTCGACCAATGCCAAATCCTAGAGCAGCACAGCATACGGATCCTTTAAAATCTAGCAATTTATTTCCCATCCAACCTCCACAGCTTGAAGTACGTAGAGGCGACTCCAAGCTGGCAGTTTTACCTCCCGCAATACACTTTTGGGATAATTTAGGGCTGGCGCCTTACACTGGAAACAAAGATGTTAATGCTGTTTGCATCTACCCCAATATCGTAGGCATCAATGAGAATGCTGATATCTTCCTTGACCAGATGCGAGGGGCGTACGAGTCGTTTAGATTTGGAGGACACGATCGTATCATGTTTCCGGATTCACCTAGCGGCCTTCTCAATTACCCATGTGATGTCAATACAAATAAGGCAGCTTATCTGAGCTCACTTAAAGATGTATTGACCCGGTTGGGCAAGAATCTTTCAAGTATGACTACGGAAGAGAAAAATGTCGTTGTGTACTTCGTTTATCCTCTCAATAATCCGTCTCTACTCGTAAATATCTGCACTGCTTTCAAGCACCTGTTCAAGGTCTACAGGAAGTCGTTGTCCGAAAAGAAGCTTAAAATTTACAACGAACTGGTGCTGCAGCTTGTGCCGTTGGATTTTATGGCTGCTCCTAATTCATTAGTAGTGCCGTCGCCGGCGGAATATTCACGTCTTGCTATGGAAGTATATGATCGCTGTGTAGATTTCACATCATCTTCCACTACAGCAGCGATTCTTCTGGAGAAACCTCTTCCCCGGAACATTGATTTTAAGTTGAATATCAATCCATCTCCTGCATTGTTACAAGAGAACTCGTGTCTTCATATTGCCTATGCTCAAAGTATCGACGAACGATGGATTACTGCCGCATGGTCAGATAATAGGGGCACCAAACAGATGACAGCCTCGTATTGCCTTGGGCGGAAAAACGAGCCATTCACTCTTCTCTTCACGGATGTTGCGAATGAAATTTGGGAGACCACTCTTGACTTGATCTCGAGCAAAAAGGTTCACTGGCGTATAATCATTGCAAAGACTGCTGTGATGGAACAATCTGAAGTCGATTTTTGGACAGGTCTTGCCTCCACAGAATCAAATGGTTCGATCAGTCTCACACTAGTCACTGTACAATCAGATCCATCTTTAAGGATATTACCCCTACAAACAAAAATGCCGCCGCCATCAATGTCAGCATCACAGCCCGCTACGACGCCCGTCTCCACACCTCAAGCATCTCAAACTTCGGTTTTCTCCCCAGGCAATGCATCAACACCAACAACGAACGCCCCTACCCCTTCCGAAGCACCATCCACATCTACATCCGCTGTCCCTCCCGAACCTGATGATCAAAGCTCTCGTCTCCTAGATGTCACAGATCAAACTTGGGGCGCAATTCTCTCTCATCGTCTCAACAATTCGAATTCACTTCTCGAATTTAACCCTGCTCTTATTTCCGGCTACCTCGTAAAAAATAGTGGTACGAGCACCGATGATCCGCCGATCATATTGGAAGTCAATATCATCCATGCGGAGGTTGTGGGAAATCCGCGCACATTTCACGATACATTGTTAAGGGAGATTCTATGTCATTATAGGGGATTAGCTACTTTGGCAAGGGTCAGAGGCGTGGTACATCCTGTTATGGACGGGAGACCTTGGCACGTCGCGGCTGCGGAGAAGGCTGTCAAAGCTTTGTATATGTTACTTTGATAGGCTGCTTCTGTTGGAAAGGAATTCGGTGAACAATTGTTTAGCGATTCGGGAAGACGGTGGTGGGACAAATTAAATTGAATTGCATTAAATTAGTTGATAGTGGTGGTGCCGTTTCTTTTGTGGGATGTTGATACATACCCTGGGGTTCCTCTTTTCTATATATACATGGTCACCCATTGTTGATTTGGGTCGGATGACATGGATTGTTTATACGATGTTAGCTGGGTTAAAAAAAATAGCGTGAAGAGGGAAAAGAAATTCTGGCATAAATTTGATATGATGATAAAACTTGATTTGTCTTCGGCTATTCCTCAAGAAATAACGAAGAAGTAAATACTAGATAAGCTTTGCAGAGCGTCATTTGCCAGCATTGAGAATTAAAAGGTTGTTTCACGTGGTATTGTATAAAAAAAAAAATGGATATTGAGTCCATCTCGTCTATCTATTTCAGCGTATATGCATACCGTTGATGCATCCAGGTATCAAAGTCTTTCCATTCCTCCCTTGCATAAGTTCTCCTTACATCCTACAAATCTTCTATCTAAGCACCCCACACCCCGGGAAACAAGTACTCCACGTTCTTCTTTCCCTCCTCTCCTCTTCCCTGTTCCTTCGTCATAAATCTAATCATGCCCGTGGTGTTTCCTTCCCAATGTTTCGCTAAAACCATCTCACTATGTTCCTGCTTACTCAATGCGTCAAGCACTGCTCCAACCAAACGTTTCGCATTTTGTCCATTGGCGTGCATATGTCCCATGACCATTTCCACATCCACATCGGCTGTGCTGTGCCAGCAGTCATAGTCGGTTGCCATACAGATCATTTGGTAGACCATTTCAGCTTCGCGCGCAAGCTTGGCCTCGGGAAGCGCGGACATGTTGATCACGGAGCCGCCCCAGGAACGGTACATGTGTGATTCAGCACGGGTGGAGAAGGCGGGTCCTTCTGTTTGTTGTTGAAAAGAGTACGTTAGTGTATGAGCTCTATCAGGGGCGAGGAAAACATTAGCGAAGGCAACTTACCCATACAAACGATCGTTCCTTTGTCATGTAAAACAATGCCCTCTCCTTCAAGCGCATGTCCACATTCCCTCACTACCTTCGCGATCTTCTCATCGAATGGATCCGCAAAACCCACATGTCCCACAACACCCTTCTCAAAAAAGGTGAAAGGACGCACTCCCTTTGTTCTATCAACAACCTGGTCTGGTACTACGAAATCGCGGGGTTTGATTTCCTCGCGCAGAGAGCCCACGGCACTGAATGCGATGATGGTTCGGACGCCGATGCTGCGGAGAGCAGCGATGTTGGCACGGTTGGGAATTTCGTGGGGGGCAAGCTCGTGGTGAGTACCATGGCGGGAGAGGAAGGCGACGGGAGTAGAGTTGTGAGAGAGGATGTGGATGGGGGAGGAGGGGTAGCCCCAGGGAGTGAGTGGGTTGAGGGTTGCGATTGGGACGAAACCTTCGAGGGATTGGAGACCGGTACCGCCGATTACGGCAATGTGGACAGGGTCTGTTGGGGGAAACTGTGGTTAGCTTGAGAATGAAATGGACTGAAATGCAATAGACTGGCAGATCTTTGTTGTGAAAAAGGAAAGAGGGGAGATAGCAGGGTAGGATATTGGGTGTTGGATAGGTTGAAATTTTCTACATACCAGAGAAAGTGGTAGGAAGTGATTCGGCCATATTGGTCTTGTTCAGAGTGTATTTGGTGAACAAAAAAGAGATCGAGGAATGAGGGTTCCCGAGACAATTTATTTCGAATTAAAATCTTCCTGTATGGCGAAATTAGAAAAGCGACAAAAACCAACAAGGTCAGTTTGAGTTCGGCTTTTTTTCGAAAAACTACCCCGCCAACGCCGCTCCTGCCCCACCAAATACTTGCGAACAGGGATTGCTAATATCTCCACGTGGGAGGCGGAGACTATATAGACGGGGAGGGAGTGAGTGCTATCAAATGTCAGATATTCATTTGCGTTTTCTCTTAGGCGCGATACAAATACACCTGGGTAAAAATGACTCGTATGAGTACATTCTCTAATTATATTGAAATCTCATGTTCACTGCAAGAAAATACAACCTAATGCGAAGCAAACTTGCTAGATAGAAATTCCACGGTCGGTTTGCTATGCTATGGTATACTATGCTATGATACAACAGTAAAAAGGTATCGCTATCCATCTTTAAGATCATAAAAATCACGCTAGAAGCAATCAGTGCTTGTGGTGTATACCTAGGTAATTGGTGACTTGAACCCTTGCCATCTTCCATAAATCCTCCATAATCGGTGCTTTTACACTACGACGTGAACCTACACGTCCATCCCATAATCCATACAAGTATCAATACAGTGATAAACACACACATAATAATCATACAATTCGTTGCATCGTCAAGGTTTCATCATCTTTGCCACCATTTCTTCCACTCAAGTCTTCAGGGCCATTGTGTTAAATGGTGAATAAATGGGCCTCTATCTCGCAGATGAAAATGTTGCTCTGAGAGAATTGATCTCCCCTTTCCACAGAACATCCTAATCAATGCCCCGTCAACAACTTTCTATTTTTCTTCAACACAGCTAGAAGTCTCTTCTCCAACTCTTGTGTCTCCTTCTTTGCGATTTGCATTGCGGACTCCGACTCCTTTTCAGTCAGTAACTGAACGTTTCGATCCTGTCGTCCATCATCAGGATTTCGGTGTCCCACAAAACCCGCGGTATAATTTGCAACCCTATCGTTGAGGTCCATATCATGAAAGTCTTGAGCGTGGTTGTTTCCATTCAAAGGGGACCAGCTGGAAGTCTCGCCCCCTTGAAGTGCAGTGTCACCTGCCAAAACGTTCGCACTAAGTGCCTTTTCTAACTGGGGATTGCTAGAGAGGGATGGTAGCACATATTGGTTGATGTAGTTCAAAGCTTCATCACGCTGAATCTTGCTGACCGCATCCATAGGTGTGGTATTGCCGGTAGAAATGGATGTGGGGAAGTATGAAGCAGGTCCATTTGGAACCGCGCGACCACCAACCAAATTAAATCCAACGCCTGTGTTTTGCAGTCCGGAAACGAATGCAGTGGGGCCGGCATTAGCTGCAATTCTCGCTTGAAGCTCCAAGTATCGCTTCTCTTCGTCAGGGGTAAGATTGCGAACACAATCCCCATTAGGTGTCAACATAATCCGTATTGATCCCGAAGCAATCTTGTGAACAGTATTTCCCGCGTTCAACTCGGCCCGTTCTTCAGGGCTTACATCAAGTTTTGCAAGCGCTTCGGCGAAAGCTGGTCCAAAATTATCCTTCTCTCTCTTCCTCTCATTACTGATACCAGGTGGAGTTTTCAATATCTCAGATAAATTAGAGACAAAAGGAGCAAGACTGGCTGGACTTGGACCTGTACGCTTTTCTACAATCTCCTCATCTTCGACAACAGGAACTTGTGGTGACTCAGGTGGGGGCGTAGGTTGTTGTGCCTTTGCCTTATTCTTACCCTTCCCCTCACTTTTATTGACAGGTTTGTCGCTGCCAGTTGAGACAGGCTTTTCGGGCACGATAGGTTCTGCGGGCTTACTTTCCTCACGGGCAATCACTGCAGGTGGGGGTGATGGCGGTCTGCTAGGCGCCGAAGCAGAAGCATTAGATGCACTATTAGTATTCGGCCTATCCCTCTTCTTCGTCTTTCTGCCCATAATTGGCTCTTGTTCTCCAGCTTTCTTGGCTTCAGCTGCAGCTGCCATTTGCTCTTCCAGAGCCTGTTCCTTCTTTGCAGCCTTATCCCTTTTTGTCTTTGCCGTGTTGCGAGTAGGTCGCGGCTGTCCATTCCTGGACGGACCAGGTGAGCTCGCTCTCGAAGCTGTTGCAGACATGAGAGACGCATTGTCATGCTCACTGGTATTATCAGGAAAATGTGCCGGGTACGGAGCTACAGATGTTGCGGAGGTTGGAGCAGGGCTTCCCATTGGAGCCGTGCCCCCCTTTGGTGTTGAGGGACTTGTGGTCAAAACTTTGAGAACGAAGTTAGATCTCACTGTTGATGCCGAAGGCGTTGGTAGCGCGGGAAAACCAGACATTGGAGCAACATGTTGAATGGGTTTCTCAATACTGTCTACTATATTAGTAGTAGGATTCCCGGAAGCTGAATTGGCCGAAGAAGACAGCGCTGTTTTCTGCTCGCTTGCCTTAGCACCCTTCTGGGCATTCGAGATTTTCGGTGTAGGTGGCGCCTTCGAAGAGGAGGCAACTGGTTTTGAAACTTTTCTAGGTGCAGGTTTGGTTTGATCTTGTGCCCCGAGGGCTGGAAAATCATCTTTGGAGTAAGGTGTTGGAGTTGCAGGAGTGATTGCTGCAGGGCGCAAAGGGGTTGTCGGAACTACAAGCACTGTACTAGACTGAGCTGCAGTATCCTTCGGCCTACTAGAAGAAATTTTTTTGGTTTCATGTTTAGTTTTTGCTTCAGACGCTGGTATCTCAGGGGTAGGGGCAGGTAAAGCTTTAGACTTGACAGGAGAAGGCGTTGATGGTTGAGACATGGCAAGTGGAGTGGCAACACGGGGAGGGTGTGCCATGCTGGCTTGTCTCGATGGTGTGAACGGAGAAGCCGCTGAAATTGTTCTAGAAGGTTTTCCAATTGGATCTTCGCGAATTGCTGGAGGGGGATGTCCATGGGGATTTGGTAGCCCCGGTGGAAAAGCCGGAGTACTCGATCGAGACACCTCTCGGGACATTTCGCCATACCTCATGGGTGAGTCATCTGGTACACTATCTGACACTAAAGCGTCCACGCTGTGCAAAATGCTTTCATCGAAAGTTGAATCTTCTAAACAAAGTTAACGTTAGCTTGTTTCCATTAAAGTGAACAAATGTGTGAAGTGATCAGTGGGCAGTAAGATTAAAGGAGCATCATCGGTTAACACACAATGCTACTACAAGATAGGGACACGGTCACATCACGAATCCATCATCGTCTTCGATAATTGAAAGAGCGGGCTACTGAAGGTACAAAATATGTAAGAATGATATATTTCTCCAGCCACTGTCGTTGGCGTGGGAGCGGGGACTATAACGTACATGAGAGAAGCGGCCGCGATGAAGACGATGATGGAATTCCCTGCGTGACCAGTTTTGATCTTGATGCGCATCCAGACGAAATAAACAGAAAAGAAACGATGGCAGCAATCCCATGAGGTCCTCTCACTCATTTTCCAACCGTAATATGACGCCAATGCATCCGAAGCATCCATCTTGGAGCTATGCCATGCCCGCTAAAACAAATGTGTGCTATACCGAGCAACAATGCAACACTCTTTAAAGAGTTTTTGCCAACGCCATCCTTGTAAATGAAAAGAAATATCATTATCTACAAAAGCCACGCCAACTATTACGCCGAACTGACATGGTCATCTACCATCTGGGGAATCCTGCATTACCGCCATACATTAGGTTGGGGTTGTACCCACCTTGAGCCTGACCACCAAACAGCCCCTGTCCGACTCCGGCATTGCTCTGTTGTTGATGCTGCATTCTCGCCTGCAAGATACTTGGGTCCGCAAGATCGACTAAGCCACCTCCCCCAGAGGAGGAAGTGTTAGCATGCCTGTGCTTCTTTCCCTTCTTTTTCTGCTTTTGGCCGAAGTCATGAAACGCCCCGGTCTGAGGACCGTAGAGCGATGCCAGAAGACCTGAAGCAGGAGCTGGAGTGGAGGAGGCAGATGGGAACTGTTGATGAAGAAAATTAGGAAACATGTACTCACGCTTACTTGTATCAAGACCCTGATTGCCGCCAGCACTAGGGCGACCCCTCAAAATTTCACGAAGCATCTCACTACCATTCTCCTTGCTAGCTCCTCCAAAAGCCGAGCCGGCACCCATCGCGTTACCAAATCCATGACCTTGACCAAACATCCCTCCGCCAATAGGTGGGGTATTTGATTTTAGACCCGACAGTCCGGGAGGAGCTGGAATTGAAGGATTAAAGGACTGGAATCCTTGCTGAGGATGACTTGAAGGAGGCATCATTGAAGCTTGCTGTTGCATCATCTTGGAATTGGCAGAAGGTTTGATAGATGATGGCCCAGCGGCACCATCTCCAGCGAAACTATATCGAGAAGATTGTCTGTTGTGGCCTGGCTGTTGGAAGAGTGCGTTGTTCTGGTTTAATGGATTTCCGAGTCCAACCGGGGAAGAAATGTGATCCATGAAGCTTGGCGGGACACCCGATGGGGATTTGAACATTGAGAGTTGTGATTGCTGCAATGGAGTGAGCGATCGTCCATTGACAGAACCCAAATTGCTGATATTCTGGTAGTTTTGTTGTTGCCCAAGACTTGGGCCAAAAGGCCCATTGGTAGAGCCACGTTGGATTGGCAGCTGAGAACTTTGACGACGTTGAAATCCAGGAGGTTGATTGATCTCTCGTCCATTATCCTCGGGCTCACCACCCAATTGCAGACTACCACTCTCTGGTTCTTGTTCTTCCACAGGTTCAGGTACAGATTGAAGATCGGCCTGCGATTCCTGCTCCATGTGTAGACGCTCCTCCTCCTGTTGTTGCTCGCGCATCAAGCGGCGCTTTTCTCCACCATGATCATCGAAAAGTGGTGGAAACGACGCAAGATCATCTTCGTGGATCTTTGGACCATCCCAGCTGAGCACATCCGAGTTGATTGACCTAAGGAGTTCGGCGCCAAAGGGTTCCTTTTCAGGATGCGAAACATCTTCGATTGAAGGGGTCGGTTCTCGAGCTTCAATGGGGCTAGCTTCCTCAGACGATTCTTCTTGATCTTCAACAAGCTCTGGGGTTTCTTCTTCGACGGCTTCAGTTGTCGAAGGAATAGCGTTCGAGATAGCAGGACTTGGGGCAGCAGCGCTAGTGGCATGACTTCCTCTTCTACTGCGTTGCTGCTGTACGCCACGATTGGCCCAGTTGGCGGTTGATGGGAGAGCGGGACCATCCCCATTGTCCGAATCATCTTTGCTTCCTTCCCGTACCATTGGTTGTGCAGCGGCAGCCAAAGGCTGTGCTTGTTGAATTGGTGGTGCTGCTTGTGCTTGAGTGCGGGATGAAGATGCCTTGGTCGGCAAAGGTCGTTGCGAGTTCACACTGTTAATCGATGACAAATCTTGTCTAGAGTAACTATCATCATTGTCGCCTGGTTCATGCAAGAACATGCAATTTTTGTTTGTGCAGGGTTCATTACGCAGATATGCCGAACAGTATTTCGTGGTTCCTAATTGCGCTCTCAAGACTCGGTCACCGTTTGTAGAACCGTTGACAGCTGTTATGCATCGTTCGGCATCCAGCTTCGAAGCGAACGTAACGTAAACTCCAAAATTTTGACCTGAATCGTTCTGTTTAGATTTACTAACCACGATCTTGAGGATCTTTCCATACTGGCCAAAATATTTTTCGCCGCGTAAGGTTTGAAGGAGCTCATCCTCTCGTATACTGGGACTTAGACCGTTGACATATACCAAGTTCTTCTGCACAACTCGTAACCCCGCTAGATGCTTTCGATTCAGACTTTCCACTTCTCGCTTTTGTGCTTCTTTTTGTCTTATTTCGGCTTTCTTTTTGGCATTCTTTTGAACATTGGCCTTAAATTGAGCGACCCTGTAAATTGCGGTCAGCAGGTCGATTTTGTGACGCTTTCATTCTACATACTCTTCAGGCGTAACAACTTTCCATTTTATTGTCTTCTCGTCATAAGCTCTTCGACAGGCAGGACAGAGACCGTTGATATTGTTCTTGATATTATTGTAGCAGAACTGACATATCTAAGGTGGTGGAGATTAGCATCAAGCCGGCAGATAGTGTCAAGAAGACAATAATTACCTGGTAACCACAAGGACATGGTTGAAAGTTCTTGTCGGATAGATCGAATTCTTCAACGCAAAGTGGGCTGTCGAAATTTGATTAGCAAAGTGTTCAAAAGATACAATTTGCAAAAGCTGAATACGGATCAAGAGGAAGTATGAGAACGTACCAGGTATCATCATCTTCGTCGATGAAGCTGTCTTGAGGTGCCATTTTGAGTGTTCAAATGTGCGATTGAAAAACAAGACAAAATTCCAGAAAGTATGAATTTGGTTCTGATACGATGGTTTTTGGTGCGCTAATGAATACAGCGCGTTGTCAAGTATTGTGAGAGTATTATTAAATTATCAATACTCTAGGTATGAGATGCGGATTTTCCGGTATCGATACGTAGAATTCTATGTAATGTAATGGTATTGTTGTGAAGTGAAATAGAGATGAATTAGATGAGTGTGGTGTGGTAGGAACTTCTTCGAGGATCATGAGTTAAAGTGTAAAAGTCATGTTCGCTCTTGGTTTGTCCACGCTAAAATATCGGTTATGTAAGCTGGAAGCAATGAGTGGCGCGAGTGTAGAAACCTCAGGCACCATCTCTAATCTTCCAGGATCATTCAAGCACCAATCTGAATATCATATCATCGTCAATGAATTTCTAATCTTTGCAATTGAACTTCATACAATTCAATTCCAAGATGGCGATGAGGGTTTCGAATAGTCGGGCTTTGGCCTCCGCCATTAGATCTACCAGAAGCTCTTTGTGCCAACCTAAGAAGCTCAATATTCGAACATTTGCCTCCACACAAAATGCCCGAGTTGTCGTCTCTCCAGATACTCCAAACATGCGCCATGCCCAGAGAGCTCCTGATGTTCCAGGAGGGCTTCGGGTTCCTCCCGTGAATCCTGCAGACAAATACGCAGCAAAGGCAGATGATATGCACAGATATGGATCATGGCTTATGGGCTGTCTACCAAAATACATTCAACAATTCTCAGTATGGAAAGACGAGCTTGTTATATACATCTCTCCTTCTGGTGTAATTCCTGTATTTTCATTCCTCAAATGTAAGAAATTTATGCCTAAAGATGTTACGGTATCTTTGGCCAACTCTATCCGGTTTCATTTCACAGGAAGCTGATTATTCACAGATAATACCAACGCGGAATTTACTCAAATTTCAGATATTACCGCCGTTGACTTTCCTACCCGCGATCAGCGTTTCGAAATCGTCTACAACCTTCTTTCCGTACGCCACAACTCCCGCATTCGCATTAAGACCTACGCCGACGAGGCTTCCCCCGTTCCCAGTCTCTGCAGTCTCTATGACGGCGCGAACTGGTACGAGCGTGAAGTCTACGACCTCTTCGGAGTCTTCTTCGTTGGTCACCCAGATCTTCGCCGCATCATGACAGATTATGGGTTTGATGGTCATCCATTACGGAAAGATTTCCCCTTGACAGGTTACACGGAGATTAGATTTGATGAGGAGAAGAAACGTATTGTGGTGGAACCATTGGAGTTGACTCAAGCATTCAGGAACTTTGAGGGTGGAACTGCTGCTTGGGAGGTATGTTTACGTTTTTATTTTACTCCCGCCACTTTCGAGCTATTAAAGTGTATGATACTAAAACTAAACAGCAAGTCGGACCTGGTGTTGATAGAAAGCCCACCACATTCAAACTCCCTACACCCAAGCCAGAGGAGAAGAAAGAAGAACCAAAGAAATAGATTCAAAGAGTCTATTGTATATAAACTGTCTACAAACTTGTTTTACATCCATACAAAGATTTCTAAACCCCATATAGATGTCTTGTTACAGACATACTAAAATCTTGCCTCCGCGTTGCCGAAGTTATGTCGGATTGCATGAAAACAGAAATCGTTCGTGCCACTATAATCGGTGATGATTTCAGCTCATGTCATACATCTCTAGATTCACTTTAGCCCAATTGTTACTCACTTCCCGTACTTGTTAATATGGAAGCTGCCCAAAATTCCTGTTTTTAGTATTAGTGGTATGAAACTAGGCCCTCATTCTCGTCATACTCTTATACAACCACTTCCATCCACCCGGTCTTTCTCGTCGATATGTCGCCTCAAGTTCCCCATCATAATATTCGATCAGATGATCGACGATAGTCCTTCGCATTAAGTTGTAAAACCAGTCCCTTCTGAATCTAGACGAATGTTGAAAATCTTTAAGTCATATATATTCAATACGTTTCCTTGAAACATTGCTCTCTAGTGAGATACCATCTCAAGAAGATAATTTAGTTCATTATTCCATGATTTTGAGTTCTGGTCTTTTCTAGCTTTTTCGATCTTTTTCGATGATTTCCTGAGTCGAGCTCCTCACGTGTCATCGTAATTGCCCGAGTGCTGATTGGTCAGTCTAACTTCCTTAAAGTATTTTGTTGCATATCTCAAAGGGAAATGCAGACAGTGGCATATCCGCCCGCGCCCAATGCTTTTTTGGTCTAAGATTTGTGGATAGAGAGAGTATCGCCAAAGATGTCATTTCAAATATGCAGTCAGTATTGCAATTCCTCAGTTGCTTTCATGATCATCGGTGTTTCAGTACCTGAATATTTTAGACAGATTGCATCGAGTAACCAAGCATTACAATATGAACTCATATATATATTATTCTTCGACTCTTTGAAATAACGACTAATAATTCGATGATACTTGACGCCTCAAAGTTTCAACTTATAAATAATAACGAAATCTTTTATTTTCCCAATCGGTCAATACAACGCGCTCAACTGTCAAATCCACATCATCAATATCCTCTACGTGTTTTGGCTCGGGATCAATGTAAACTCCTTGTTCTCGATCGCGTCGCTTGTTCTCTCTGTCCATATACTGTCTTAAAATGATTGATAGCACAATGGAGATGACCAGGCAAGCGATCATGCCGTTGTATACCGTCTGTTACACTAGTAAGTTTTCAACAATCGCATGATAGGTTAGAGAGTCCATATGTGGTACTTTGGTGCTTCTGCGGATTGAATAGCTGGGGCCCACCAATGTTGCCAGCACAGTATCCGATGAAGAAGATAGCATTGACGGTGGTTTTCTTGGTGAATCCTGCTGTATCTGTGAAAAGGTATTAGTCCACATGGAGTGCTAAGAGAAATAATTAAAGAGCTCATCGCGGGATTCAACTTACTGCTAGCCATCAAACTGAGAAGAAGAGGGAAGGCGGAGGAAAACAAGATCATCATCCAGCATCCGACCAAACGTCCATATTTGTTGGATGTTGGAAGTTCCTTGACCAACAATATACCAATCAAAGCAAATATATATCCAACAACGATAACTATAAGACGAGACCTTCGAACTTTGGAAGCTGTGTAGGTTGCAGCAATGACAGCTGCAACTTGGAAACCTCCGTTGGGCATGCCAAGTAAGATGGTATCCAGTTGGCCGAAACCGAAGGATTTGATGATCAAGGATCCGAACTTGATTCATCAGCGAAAGAACAACATTATTGCAGTAAAGGGTCTTACATTTGAAACCACACCATTGGTAATTGAAGCCACAGCAATGATTAGGGATATCAACCACGTTTTAGGATCAACCAGAGCCTCGATGCATTGAGATCTTGACCACTCATTTGTCTTGAAACTATGTTGTGTCTTTTGCGGTCGTCGATCAGCAATTTCTCACCCGCGTTGAGTGAGGGATCGAGCAGTTAAGGGGGCATCCGGCAAAGTGAAATAAAGTAGGACACCCCAGGCGACAGTAATCAACCCGAAAATGATAAACAGCCACTACGAAGTATGCGTTAGATACCAATTCTGACACTAATTAGAAAGATAACTCACTCTCCATGATCCCAAACTTCCTCCAATGTGAGCAATGCCATAGGCTAGTAACCCCCCAAAGGTATTGGCAATTCCATTTCCCAGAAACCAGATTCCATGTCTCCAAGCATGCTCAGAAGGCTTATACCATATTCCCGTCAACAAACTGAACCCAGGACTAACAGTACTCTCCGTGATTCCCAAGAGAACGCGGAGAACACACAGTCCAACAAAGTTATTGGCAGCACCATGACATCCTAAGACAATGGCCCAGATGACAATTGAGACCGACAGGTACTTTGCCAGTGGAAACTTGACGAAGCCCAAGGAGGCTGGGTAGTTGGCTATCAGATAGCCAAAATAGAAAGCACTTCCTAACCATGAATATTCCTGTCCCACAAGCCCAGTGTCAGGTATCAAACCCATTATTGAAGCATAATTAAGACTGCTTTTATCGAGGAATTGCAGGAAATAGGAGGCGGTCAGTAATGGCATCAAACTGTTTTGTCTGTTAGATTTCTCGTACTACATCAATATTGTGTTACTTACCGCCAGTCAATCTTTCTCAATAGTGCTTTCTCTTCTGCAGCTGTCGGATGGCAATAGACCTCGCCGATTTCCATATTCTCAGTGTCTTTTCCTAGTTGAGAAGTATTTGAATCGGTACGGACAGCGTCTCCGCTAAGGTCCTTCTCTTTGTCAATTGAAGTCATGATCGAAGGTAGAGTGTTGAATGAGATCTGAAGTCAGAAACATTCCTAGTGGGCATTCGAGGAATTATATCTATGCCAATTGCTCGAGTCTAAGATAGAACATGTTCAAGAGAGTTCAGAGTGCTATCTTTGTCCTTATCAGTAATGATAGAACTATTACAGAAATCTGTGATATTGAGCACTGGGGAAGGTTGGGGAAAATCTCCGAGACGTCGTGATACTCGGTAACCCTGGCTGATGAGTCGCCAGAATTGACGACGAGATAAACCACGATGTATTCGCCGTTATCGGCCCCCATATCAGTTCGTGGGACGTGCTTATCTTTTGAATGTTCACGTGATACTGTTCCTTCAATTAAGGTGGTTGTCTTAAGGTAACTTGATGAATCTATAGGTGTGTGAAAACATAAGTGATGTTTGATGTTCAAATGGAAGTAGATCGCTTGTCGTACATGCATGTCTGGCGCTGACATCTGCGTTACCTCCTCGTCTCATTGAGTTCTAAGACATCCGAAGTGCCGTGTTCAATTTCAATTGTAATTCCAAGTACATGGAATTAATGCTGTACGAGATCAATATTTAAAATTTAAATACATTTGATCAATAAAGTTACATAGCCAGGATAACTTCTTTTACTTTGCTAAAAGATATGACGCCCAAATTGTTCCGCTTGAATGTAGAAATCCCTTGCAATGATTTGCGAAGGCGATGATCAGTGATTCGACCCTGTAACCATTCTTGATGAATCATGTCATTCGTTTCAATGGCTGCAGTGAACAACGACCATTGAAATTCGTACACCGGTTGTTGCGATCCCGCAGGAGAAATGTACATGGCGAATCGAAGTAGTTGGCTCAGTGCGGTTTTGATCTCAGTTGTACTTTCTGCTCCAAACGGACTTGACCTACATCGGGCGAAACATATCTGCAGAGCATAAAACATGGTAGCTGAGTTTGCACAGTTGAGCTTCATGGCTGGTTGCAAAGTCATATCTGAAGATCCATAGTAAAATACAGCACCAAAACGCTACGATAGGTAAGTACTAGTTTTCCGAGATGTGTAACAACTTACTATTTCTAAAGCTGCAAACTCTTTTTGCAGAATTTCTTGCATTACATCTGCTTCAGTACATGGAGTTTTATGGCTGAATTCGCTAATTTTGCAACATAGAATCAACATATCAGACATCATATCGACTGGTAAACTCTCAATATCTCGAATGCTTTGTGATATTGGGTATTCTGCTCCCCAGTTCAGTTGCAGAGCAAGACGAGATTCTGCTTGTATTGCTAAAAGTTGATCAGGATGTGCTTGAAAATGGTTTGCCAAGTTGGGCTTGCATCCCAAAAAGCTCCCTTGAGCATCCATTTTTAGCAACCACATGATAATACGAGCGATCAGACTTCGCTCTGCACCACTTTTAGTCGAGCTTTGCTTGGTTAAAGACGATTGAGCATGTGTTACTATCAAATTATGCTTTGTCAGATGTTCTATTGCTATAAGACTCAGTCGGTCTAATTTTGATATAATTGTACCATTCGATCGCGACATATACATATGTATGCAATAAAAAGCAGCCAGTATTGCGAGATGGTCTGCGGGATTCTCACACTGCAAAGCTTGCATGAGTTGCTCCGTGCCCTTTTCGTAATGTTTGTGCCCAGTTTGGCGAAGACGGTTAACACTTTCAGGATTGGAAGGCATATCGTAGAGTGAAACAGCCAATATGAGATGAAGAAGCATCTCCGAATGCTTCAGTGAATGAATTAACAACAAGGTAGGAGTAGACCACTGTGAATGTCTCGTCGTTTGAGATAGTGAAAATGCTGTTCGGTAGTGTTCCAGAGCCAACTCTTCGTCGTTGTTTAAGGACATCCCATTTTCCAGCGACCTCTCTTGTGTCGACAGTATATCCGCAATAGCAAGCGGTTCAAAAGATAGAGGGCTGTAATTTGTGCGAGTATATACATTCAAGCTCTGGGGGTCTGGAAGTAACCATTCGGCAACCGGGTCCAATAACATATCTGCTCCTGCCTCAACAATTGGCGCTTGGTTTTGAGATACGCCTTCTGGGTGTCCCACTGAAAATGAAGATGCTGATGCTGCTGCCAATCCATGGTCATATCCCGAAAGATAATGATTCAACAGTGCTTCTGATCCTTGTGGTTGTTCCTCTGATACTTGTAAAGCTGGTGAAAGTGACTGAGGAGACCAGTCAGAATCTCGAGACTTTATTGGGCCAGCACCACGTCTTCGTTCTCTTACACTTGGTAGAATACGGGAGCATGGCTGCTGGCAGTCAAGCTTCAAACGCTCACATCTTCCGCATGAAGGAAGACGCTCATCACATTTGACTTTTTTTGCACGGCAAGTTAAGCAGCCTTTTGATCAAACGATTAGCAAGTGCTTGATTGTATTGATGCTGGATCACTTACCGTATTTGGAACGACCAGTCGTGTTCGATCGTTTTCGTTTAGAAATGATATTATCGGACATGAATGAAGGACTGACACGATCAGAGTGTCATACAAATTGGCAATATTATTCACATAGTATGATCAATACAAAACGTTCTTGAGAGATTTCGACTTCCCTCTATTCGTCAGCACATTTGAGCTTGCGAATCAATACAGAATATACGACCAAATCGCACAGAGTTTCCCTAGCTCGTCGATGATTGTACCTTGTGATGACAAAGTTGGTGCACGGCACAAGGAAAATCGAAGATAACCCACTGGACCCCCACTTTCTCAACACTGAAACACTATCAAAGGACACAGACTCCAAAATATTAAGCGAGGGAACGTCGGTAACTGCCGGGTTTGATTGGCTGGAATACACGATGTGCTCTCGTATCTGTCATTTCTCCTCTTAGAAGGAAAACACGACCCTCCATATTAATACCTTTTTTATCTTTACTTGATATCAATCTCACTACTGATATGGACTTTTCGGACTCTTGAAGTGAAAGTGGGCTTGAAAGTCAGTTTATCGCAAGAAATCAAGTGGGATAGAAAACATTTACACAATTATTCAGGCAAGGTCTTCGCCCTACACGACCTCTTCTATTGTCACCTACAAAGCTTTTGAATTTCTCGTTCGATTCTCGGCTTGAGATCAATCCAGTTTCTCCAAGTTGCTAACATAGCTTAAAACCTTCCTCCGGCGTCATGGGTAATACTATGTCATACAACGTTGCGGAGCATAAGCTCGATCTTGGCGACGGAAAAGGTTCTATCAAAGGTCTTCAATATGATACGAAGGCACGTCGGTATGCTGGAGTGCCATATGCACTTCCCCCTATAGGAGATTTGCGTTGGCGAAAACCTCAACCATTACCTGCAGACCATACTTATACATCACATGATGGCACGCCGTTCGATGCTACAAAATTTGGACCGATTTGTCCATAGGCCGCTTATATGTCAGCCAAGAAAATTGGAACCCCTGAAGAGGCATTTGGTGAAGACTGCTTGAGACTTAATATCTGGACACCGATCGAATCGGCCAAAGATAAAAAATGGCCAGTTATGCTATGGCTCCATGGAGGGTGGTTTCAAATGGGAGACCCATCACATGAGCCGGGAATGGATCCAACCGAACTCATCTCAACGGGAAAGTTGAACGCTATTGTAGTAGCTATTGGTTACAGACTGAACTTATTTGGCTTTCTCGCAGGTGATGCCTTGCAAGCAGAGAACGGCAGCGCCGAAGCAGGTAACTACGGATTATGGGATCAGAGACTAGCTATTGATTGGGTACGCGATAATATTGCACGATTTGGTGGTGATGTAGAGAACATTACCCTTGCAGGGAGAAGTGCAGGCGCTTATGCCGTACATGCACATGCTATGTACGAGTTTCAAAATCCTGCATTCGCAGCCGCATCTCCGTCATTCCATCGAATTGTCATGATGTCAAATGCAATCCCCGCACAACCGAAGACACCCGCTGAATGCCAAGGCCAGTTTGACGAACTGTGCCAGTTCTTTGATATTCCAGAAGACTCCAGTGGTGCCGAAAAGCTGGCATCGCTGCGCAGGATAGAGTCGAAAAAACTTGTAGACGCCATCATGAAATTGAAGAATCACACATTCCAACCTGTGACGGACTCATCATTCATTCAACCAGGCATGATGGACTACCATCGCAATGGCACTTTTGCGGAAGAATTCAAAAAGCGAAATTTCAAGATACTGATTGGCGAAATGTTAAATGAAGAGACACTTTATGCTGCAACGAATGGACCTGAAGCAAACGTGGACTCTCTTCGCCTTCAAGTTTCTAACTACTATGCACCTGCAACAACGTCTCGCGTGCTAAAACACTATAAACTCCCAAATACAGAGGAGAGGAGTGATTGGACGGCGATATATGGTCACATAATCTCTGATGGACAAGTGCGCGCGCCATCTCGAATTTTGGCAGACAGCCTTTTCTCAAATGGTGTAGGAATTGAGGATATCTGGCGGTATAGGATTTCGTATCGACTATCATTTATAACAGACGCTGTAGCACCAAGAAGCTTTGGTGTAGCTCATGCGATGGATAAACCTTTCTGGAAGTAAGTTTTTTTCCTTCAAAACAATGCGAAGACGACACTCGACTGACATATCTCTCACCAAAAATAGTTTCTCGATAATGCACGGTCCAACTGAGCAAGAACTTGTTCTGATGAAAGATTGGATTCGTGACTTGGTCGCATTTGTGGGCGCTGAGGACGGCCATCTATATGGTCCTAAGGAGATTGGTGAATTTAAAGTTGCTACACCGGAGGGCAAGATTGAGATCCAAAAGGACACAAGGTGGAAGGAACTCTTGGAGCTTGCTGATATATTTTCTGGATGAAAGGGTTTAGGACTTATTACACAATATAATCTTCAAAATTGAACAACTTCAGTCTAGACTTAAAACCTGACAAACTTCCGAAAACAAATATAATACCTCAAGTTGATCTGACATTAACCCAATCTGACAAGAAAGGTCCATCCTCGACATAATATACAAGTATGCTAGTACTCCAGAACCTAGCGAGTGTCAGCGCAACACGCGAGGTAGTTGCTGGATGCTTGCATCATGTGTGTGGTAACCAATAAATATCCAACTGCATATTGTTTCGCATCTTGTCGCCACTTTTATCACCAGTCTCTACTTCCTGATACCTGTGTATCTTACAACTGTTGGTCGAAAACCTCGATTACCTGTCCATCCCGGTTGAGATGTCGCAGATTGTTGTTCGGAATCTTCTGCGCTGTTGGAGTGACATTGGCCTCATGAGCCCTCATCGCATATTTCCTGTCAAGAGAAAGAGAATTCAATCCATAGACGTTCGAGTCACTGTTACAGCAGACCTGCAGCGTTGATGCATCATTGCCTCACCAAAGCTCTCATCATTTCGTGGATAAGACTAATCTTATTTTGAAGTTCGAGAATTGCCTAACTGGCCTAAAATTCCAGATAGTTGACAGATTCAAGCACGATGCATCGGCTCTTTCCATATCATTTCACCTGAAGTTTAGCTGCATTGGCTCCCTCGAACGATTTTCGTTAGTTGTGCTCTTCTTGTGTATAAATGTTTTCAAACCAACGTTTTATTAGCTTTTCAGCAATTGGTATTGCTCTTGAAATAGACTATCTGTCAGTAATTTTCACTCATTGGCCCACATTCCGGAAAATCAACACAGATGCAGCTTTCATTTCTGAAGCAGTCTCGAGTCACTGATGAATGACTCACTAAATCATTTTAGGGTTCAGGCACTTACAGACTACTCGAGCTCCAGACTTTAAGTCTATACACAGAAATAAAGAGGATCGTAATGCTATAGAACCGTAGAGCTCTGGTGCTTTCAATAGTGTTTTAGAAATCTTATATATGCATAGTATGCCCGCTGAGTTTGATGCATTCTGATTATTAATAATCACAACAACAACTGTCGGGATCTCAATCATGTGATCTAAGAGGGTACTGTATTAGCAAGCGAGCTGCTAGCGCTTCCTTATAGGTAGCACTAGCTTCCCATAGTTAATAATGATCGAGAACAATTACAACCATAACAGACTAAAATACTTTGCCCTTATCAACCAACTTCTTTACACAACTGTGCTGTGCAAAGTATCATAAGGTTATTTTTAAAGCTATACTAAAATCTCCAAATACTTTATTCACACAAAATATCCATCCGAATGGACGCCAAAATAGCCGCAACTGACCCACCAATAAAGACAGAACCTTGGGTCAAATTTTCATCGGAGGAAGCATGCTTTATTCGCAAGCAGCCCCTTGACAATCTCACCAATGATTCCAATACCTGTAAACTTCCGGTAATCACAACTGTCATCGAGTCAGAAAACAAAAGCACCAGACAAAGCAGTGAAAATACCAGTCTCAAGAAATTTCCCGTCGAACTTATCGCCAAGATTCTCAGATTTGCCTGCACCACGAACTCTCATCATGAGACCCTCCCGATGTGCATACTCAAGATCAAGACTGAGAACCAAGGAGGCGGCATTAGATATTGTTCTGCACATTCATATAAGGTCTGCGGGAAGGGAAAAGAAATCCAGACATACAGAGCTCTGAAGATAACATGTGCTAGCTTCCGCAATATCATCGACGCCACAGATATTCTTTTCAAAGACAACACATTTGAATTTCGTTCATTTGTGGAACTGGTCATCTTGAATACTCTCACCTCCAAGCAACGCAATGCTATTAAATCAATCTACTTGACTGATAATTCAGACGGGTTTGTGACGGGAGGTCCCAGCGTTCCTCAGGGCAGCCCGAGCCGTGTTTCTCCCGCTCACCGTCTGCAAGATGTAGAAGCCGGATATTAAACTCTTGGCAGCTGCCATGGTATTCACAGCTTATACATCAATATGGACCGACGCAAGGATAATTTCCACAGCTTTAATGGGCCGAATGATCAATTCCCATTTATCTTGATGGCTGGTTGTAAGAACCTCGATGCTTTACATTCTATCTGCGGTCTTCAAAACTTTCACATAGCGACATCCAATCACCAGCAGCACCCACGCTCAGGTGGTTTTCCATGCTGTTTCGAAGGAAAATGTTTGGGTGACATCGATTACTTCTACTACAAGATGGGTATTCTCGAGAAATATGACGAAGAAGATCATAAGCGAAGTTGGTATTGGAGAATGAATCTGTTACAACAGGAAGGTAAGATTACTTTCCCATCATCTAATCGACTTGATTTGGGTATTCATACTAGTGATATCTTGTACCCCACCTACAAGTTACTTCTATCAAGCATACTCCAAACTACTTGCAAGAGTCATTGCTAACTCCTACATTTTAATAGTACGAAAAATCGTCACACGACCCCGTTTAGAATCTGCATAAATTTTCAAAATATTCTGATCATCGACAACCAGTAATTCTCATCTAACGCCGGAAAGTTGAATTCGCAGAGAATTGCCAACTAGGAATTATTCAAGATAATCAAAACCGATAAACTACCCTCAATACTGGCAGACTAATTTTTGAGCCAACTGTCAATAGGCTGACATCTTCCTTATTTTTCAATCTCATTCATTCATTCAAACGATTTTTACGCTCAGGATAAATTTCTAGAAGACGCAGCTAGTATAGATAGGGATAATAAAAATCTATTTCATCTTAATCTTTACATGAATGATATAACATGAAATAACAATAGAGTTTCAGACTCAATATACCGGTCATTTCAAGTGATGCTATACAACATGTTTATCAATAGGTACATAACTTTGAATATTGAGAATGAGATGATTATAGAACTTTACATAGATTGGCATCTTGATACAACAATTGACATAGTAATATCGATGTGATCCAACACAACATAATAGTATAACTTGATATACTTATCATTTCAAACCTCAGATAATAAATGCCATTTCGCCATCTCGTCCCCTAAACACTCATCAAACCACACTTCTCTTTCCAACAACATATCACATAAAAGTCTCCAGTGATCTAAAATAGCCCTGAACAACGCTGCAACAGCTCCTAACTATCCACTAGCCGATTGCCCCAACTTTTTTATTTCAAACCATCCAATTCCACATCATCCCCAAACTATCTACTCGAGTAGATATACATCCCTCTATCCCTCTATCCCTCTACCCCTTTACCCCCAACCCTCAACTCCCATCCCACAAAAACACCACCCAGCTCCAAAATATGAAAATCCTAGATCCCCCAATCAAAATCAGGGCAATCCTCACCCACCTTCCTCCCCAGACACCCCGAGGTCGCTAATCCAAAGATTATTCCTAGATATCAAGTAGCAAATACTTATTCATCAACACTACACTCACTAGCTTAACATCAATAACCTCTCATAATCAAGAAGCTCAAAGATACAAGTTTTAATCCTCCTCTCCTCTCTTATTCTTCTCCCCTTTCTCCCTTTCTCCCCTAGCCACCCCTTCCCCTTCCCCATCAACCCATATCACACCACTCCTCTCCCCAGACACCCCCCAGACACCCCTCTTCTACAATCCAATCTCCAAAAACCTAAACAAAAACAAATCTTCTACAAATTGACAACCATTGCCTCTGTCTCACGTTTGTTAGATATCAAAAAATAACAATAACAAACAAGAAAAATCAAAATCAAAAATCAAGGTCTTCATCGATTTGCACCAAGAGCTATCAATATACCAATCAATCTCATTTTAAATGCATCATTAGGGTTCCATATACAAGTAAGGAAGATCTCGTTAACAATAGTATTGCTAAATAATTGGCTTGTAAATACATCTAATCTAGTCTCTTGAGACTGGTAGTACTTGAATTACAAAGCTGTGATCGAATATACCCCATTCTCATAATTACATGTAACACATACATTCACATTCACAACGCAGTCACACTCACGCTCATCACCCAAATGTTTAAGAATATATGAGTGGATCAATTCATCTACCTAATATCTAATCTCAAGACTAGTGTTTGCAAAGTAGTATTTGTAGAAGTAAGGCTACCTAATAAAAAGCTAAAATCCCATCCCATCCTGTTCACCAGTCCATTCCAGTCATATTTGCAAACCATTCCCCTTCAAGTTCCGGACAGGAGAAACCGGTTTACAAACTATGCGCCCAAACGACCCACCCATGCAATTTGACTCCTTTCTCTCTTCTTTAACTTCCATTACAAAAAAGTAAGTAGATAGGAGGATTGAAGAAGAAAATGAATCTGGCTGATGAAAAAAGAAAGAAACAATTGCAAAAAATAGCTCGTGAATACATACTGGTTTGGCTCGGATGAAAAGTAAGCAAAACCAACCAAATCCCCCAATTTTTCTTCATCCTCCAATGAGAATAAATACCCGAAAATCTTATTCCATGTTTGACCACACCTAATGCACGCCAGATTCAGTTCAATTTTCGCCATTAACATGCGCCTTAAGACAGATGGAAAGCTCCCTGTCCTTCCCTAATGGCAGTACCCATACGTCGTCGCATGACATCTAAATCAGTATAATCGGGCAATTTGAGATAGTTGACACATGTCATTACACTTGGTAGATAGTCATCGGAAGAGTAGGGTGGTTCACTAGGTTTGCAAACCACAGTGAACATTGGTGTAAGACTCTTGAAGCCTGCAATAAGTTAGCTATCAGTTGTCGTAGAAAATGGATACAGGTATGTATCTAACTTACCACCAATGGGGAGTTTTGGGCTTCCAGTTGTGAATTGAAGGAAGTCCCTACGATCTGGCAGACTGAGCTCACTCATCGTCTGGAGCAGGTTCTTCACACTCTTGCTGTCCATATGGAAGCCGTGGTCTGCTTTGATAGAATCGGTCAAAGCTATGCGCGTGTTAGTATTATTACATCATACAATCAAAGGGGATTAAACATACTTTCAAGAGACCAATCCTCTTCAACTCTACCAAACAACATAACCAGCTCATCCGGAGTGAAGGCCCTCAAAGCAGAATATGGGAAGACTTGAGTGAAGCCTTCACGGAATGCATCGATTTGTTTTTGAACACCACTTCCCAAAGTCATATCAATGACTTTCTCAAGGTAGAGATCAACGTTGTCAATAGTGACAGAAATTGAAGAGCCGTCAGGAAGAAGATCAATGGCGTATCCAGGAAGTGTGAAGTCCAGACTGAGATCTTCAATCTTAGCCCCATCAATTTCCAAAGCTTCTGTAGCAAGGACTTTCTGAGTAGCTGTCAAACTCGAGTCCTCGGCGATAGCCTTCTTTGCAACAGAGAACTTCTTTATCATCTTGAGGGACTTGGCCAATTGAGGGTCGACAGTTTTGACCGTACCAAGGGAGGGAGTCACAGGATTTGATTCGTCACCAATGCGGAAAAATGTGGGATTGAAAGAAACGTCGATAATGCGAGAGTCGATCATGGACCTAGAAACGAACTTGCCGAGCATCTTGAATAGGTGCAAAATTCTCTTTCCATTCTCATTCAATGATTGTTCTTCGCTCATAGGTGCTGGGAAAAGTCCGCGGACACCAAATGCATACTCATCGGTATCGTTATCGTTCTCGCGCCATAGCTTGAGCTTCTTCTTGGAGAACTCTTTCGAAACCGAAGAATAAAATTCAAGTGTTGGCCCGAGACCAGTTCCGACCTCTTCAAAGTACTCAACCTCTAGGATACTCTGGGATGCACCGTAAAGCTCCATGACTTTCAAAGCTGATTCTAAAATCTTCGATCTGGATATCCGGACTTTCTGGCGTTGAAGCCTACCTAAGAAAGGACGTTCGTCGCGATGACGATCTCGGCGAGATTCGTCAGCAGATTGGGCGTTCTGCCACCTAGTCATTGAACGAGCATAGCCAAAAGATGTTGACTGCAAGAATAGATGACGTGTCTCGAAAGGAAATAAGAACGGGTAGAGTCGAGCAAGATCTTCGCTCCAAGTTGGAAGGCAATTGCTGGCAACCACAAGAGGTTCCTCAAGCTGCCTGTTCAACTTCGCAGTGAGCTTGGTGTTCACAAATTGTGACAAAGGCTCAGCATTCAATTTCAAAGCATCCTTATTATCAGCCAAAACATCATCTAGGTTGGCATTAAGAGCGTGTAGGATGTTAAGCAATCGAAGGATTGAGGATGTTGCAGGATGCTTATCTAGCGATGCCGGAATGCCAGATGCCGTAGTTTCTGTACTGGCCTCTGATGCCCGGGAGAGAGAGCTAGGCTCTGGAGGGGGTGGCCCTGGAACACGCTTGAACTTAATGGGGTGAATCGCGGACCAAACACTTCGACTCGATTGATCTTCCACCGTGTTGCCCATGGTATGAACAGCCCGGTAAATAGTAGTTTCATTAGCAATTACTTTGCCATCCAAGCTGAACTCAATGTGCCAATCTGATGGAACAGCTTGAATCGCAGCTGCATAAGACATAGGTCTGGACGATGTGGTTGGTGTGGACAATGCCTCTTGAGCAGCAGCTGCCTGGAGTGCAGAGCTACTGCGGGAAGTGCTTGGTAAAGATTGTGATGGGGTCGCGACTCTTGTGCCATCTTCCTTGCGGGCTGTGACCTTGCCACCAGCAGCGACCTCAAGATTTACAGCTGTTGGATCAACAGGTGAATCCTCTTCCATTTCTTCTTCCATATCACCGACAATAGCGTCCAGTGCAGAGCTATCTTCTAGCTCCTCGTCCTCACTCATCTGTCTCTCATCAGCACACTCGAGAGCCGTAGCAAGGGCATCCTCTTCTTGCATGGGTGGTGGAGGTGGGGGAGGTGGATCAGTTTGAGCTCCCGAACGTCGAGCGGAGCGCCGAGCAGGTTTATCTACTGGTGTATTCGCGGTCGATTGGTCGGCTGATGCAGGCGTTGGGGCGGGACCAGACTTTGATTTTGCCCTACGAGAAGTGCGAGGGGTAGATGCGGTTGGATTTGCTGCAGCTGCAGCGGCAGCGAGACGTGCCTGGGCATTGGGAATACCGGCATATGGATTGGGTAAGCCAGCTGCAGCAAGAGCAGCCAACGCACCAGAAAGGCCGTCTCTCGCTCTAGGTGGCCGAGGACGGTCAGACAAGCTGATTCTGGGACGAAGGTAATCATCCAAAGCTTTGAAAGTAGCGATGGCATGAATAGAAACCATAATGTTTCGGTAGGACCTTGGTATTTCGGAATCTTCATCAGCTACTAGCTTGAGACGAATTTGTTTAGCAAGCATCGATGCAGCACTGCTCCTATTTCCTTCAAAGCTATTTGAGTGAACAGTAACTACTTCAAAATGTTCTGAGCGGCTCAACAAATCTTGTAATTTGTGGATAAGAAGACCAAATGGAGTTGCAGGCATATCTGCTCCACTGATTGACTTCTTAGTAAGAGTTTGGCCCATGAAGACTTCGAGGAATGCAGATCTAGCATCATTGGCCAGCTGTTCTTCGGGATTATTGAAAACTTCCAATAGAACTTGGACGATTTCGGAATTCAACAACTCGGCACTCGTAACACTTTGTAAAACATCGCCATCAAAATATGATGCGAGTGTGGTAAAAAGCTCAATTCCATTGCCGGGGCCTTGATGCAGATAAAAATTTCTGATGTCCGATGCGAGAGATTGTAAGCTCGTCA